CAATAATGGAACCAGAATCGTAAAATATAGAAATATTTCCAAAAAAGACTTTAGGAGACAGGTAAATTTTCAAGAGATTGAGAGAATTATGATCAGAGTCGAACCATTTAATTCGATTCACATAGTAGATTCCAAATGAACATAATTCATCTTATTCTGAAACCTTCCACATTACTCTTGTTTCAAAATTAAATTGGATTATATACTTAGGATTCAACATGTTTTTATGCTATATTATATATTCAGTAGACTTACATCACTCAAGATCATTGAATCTTCAAGGACCTACAAATAATAGGTTTTGCTTTTCAGAATGTGTTTCCTTACACAATTCATTTGATATAGTACTTGCATTTATATTATATTACTTTTATTACTCTCTTATTAATATATATTCAGATATATTAATTAATTTGTTATATTTAAATTCAAAATGCAAACCTAAGACCTTGTTGAATATTTAGAATAAGATGTCAAAAGCTGTAATCAACTCTTTACTTTCATTCCCTATCAACCCTCATTCTATAATTTCATTACTAAGTATCAATTGAAATCCATTCAAATCGAATTGAAGAGTGAAGAATTATTACCATTATCTATATTAATGAAAAATTGCAACATAAAATTAAATATCATCAGCAATTCAAACAAGCCTATGGTTTAACTAGCTCTTTTGAATTCGAAAATACAATCTCAATTGATATTATTTCTTATGACATAGAAGAACCTTATAAAGAGTAAAGAAACTTTAATTTTTAATTCGAAAATTGGAAAACGATAACATGTATCCCATCTTATTAAACTTTGCAGTTGCTAATTCGAATTGGAATTCTGACTCACTTGCTCTATTTATGAATGAAAAAGCCTGCTCATATAACACAATTAACATTGATCTGCTTTATTTGAATTTATTTATATTTGCTTTGTACTTTTAAAAATGCAATCAAATCACTAAATTGTTGCATTATCCATCCATCAAATCTAGACTATAGGAAATAAGACATACTAACAAATTTGTAGAAACTTCGCTGACTAAAATTATTACAAAATCGAAAACAAGTTAAAAAGAAAAGGTTCAATATAAATTTGGATTTCTCTCTCTTGATCAATCTAATAGGATCTTCCCTTTAATGATTCAAGATCCGCTTATCTTTTAATTGCCATTAATGGTACATGGTTATATTCAAATGATCCTTATGATGAATCATTAAATAATAGATAATATATATGGACAATGATAACAGAATATATTTGTAGTCCATAAATTACTAGAAGAATTTGCAAAGATTAATATGATTAATTTTTATTCATTCAATTCCAAAAGAATCAATCTCCACAGCTCTTTAAAGTTAGTATTCAAAAAGATCCTCAATATACAATAGTAAGATCTTAAGAGATAATACTTAATCTAGATCATCATTAGATTGATCTAGCATCTGCTTAACCTTATTGCGCAATTGAAAAAGTGGCAGATTTATACAATCATATAAGCATTACCAATCAAAATCCAAATAAGATCTCGATTAACACACAAAATATTAATACACAGTAACTTAGTTATTTTCGATTTAATTTAATTAAAAATCAACAAAACTAGGTTAAATTTAGTTATTTTTGAGATAATAAGTATGATAATTCCTACAATATGTTTGAATGGTATTCTAAGCTAATTAATTTGATTTACTTTACGAACTCTAGTTTAGATTGATATGGCTCAAATGTTTTCTGTTTTAGGATGGATATAAGAGTCAGGAGAAAGTTTGCTGGAATACTAATTCCTAAATACGGTAATTATTATTTCCATAATTCACAAACATATTCAGAATGGATTTTTTAAAAATAATTTTTTCTATATTCACTCAAATATATTCATTATATTAGAGGAGATAAAATAGGCATATTTTATCTCATTATTAGATAAATTATATTCATTAAATTTTCTAAATAATTTCTGATTAATGCAATATCAACATTAAAAAAACACTAAAAACCAAAACTAGAAGATTAAATATAATCCTATGTAGAGTAATTAAAGATAATTTCTTAATCACTGATATTCAAATTTTGATATCTAATATTATTCTATTATTAAACCAAAGCAAAAAAAGAAATGTGGACTGACTCACGAATATTATATTATATATATTTCATTTGAATAACTAAAGATTTCTGGCAATTTCAAAATCTTGATTCTAAAATATGAATTTTTAATTCGAAAACTGAAACAAGATTTAGATTGATATAATAAAAGTATCTGTAAACTAAAAATTCAGAGATTGAATATTTGTATTTTATCATCATAAAGAAGATTTCAGAAACAAAAATTCTAATTTATTTTAATAATTACACTTTTTGAATTATATTCATATATATAATTTCTTCACTGAGATCCTTTTAATTTCTATACCAATTATTTAACTCTTTTATATTAGACTATCGGACACAAATTTTTTGTTAAATCATTCTGTGATAATAAGATTAATGTATTACTAATTTAAAAGCTGATTAGGGCTTAGGCTAAGGCGCTTCTTCGCTCAATAACAAATACACTTCACTTATCAATTTTTCCAATTCTATTTTCTTTTCTTCACCCATTTAAGTATTGATTTATTTAAAGCTTATCGCATCCATCAGCTTCTCCTATTTCAATATTCCTTATTTTTATTTTTATATTTATGATTCTGAGGCTTATTTCTATTTTTTTTTGAATAAATCTTGGATTTTTATATATTTTGTTTACTCCATAGATATATTATAAAAGCTATAGAACATATCTTTATTACAATGTTTAGTATTTAAGTATTCAGGATTGTGAATATAATTCTAACATCATTTTATAATTTACATCTAAAATTTGAGTTTGCTTTGATAATCTTATTTATAGCACTCTAATATTTAATTGATTGCATTCTTAAGATAATTATCTGATTTTTTTGTTAATCTATGGATATTTTTATTAATTTTTACTTGAATAAAGCATAACAACTCTTTATCATTCAAATATTAGGAGATTCTTAAAACCAGATTCCCAACTTCTAAAACTTTCTCTGGGTTTGCCAAAGGAGCCTCAAAATTTCCTTATGCAATCTGATTGAAATATTTTTTTATTAAAGAGTTCATTAAAAATTTATAATTGAAAATGTTAGTATTTCCAACTGTGATATAGCTCAAAGAAATTAGAAACATTTAGATTATTTGATTTATGAAAATTCTAAATGAGCACTATTTATTAAAAATAGGGAGTAATTAAAATAGTTGATTTGATCGTTTCTGCAAATCATTGTGTTCAAATCAATTGAGAATTATGTTGCGCTATATTATAAGAATTAATTTTACTATTTGATAATTGCTATGGAAGATGAATCATTAATTATTATTTGTAATTTTCAATTTTGGCAAATAGATGCTATTATTTGGATTTGAAATCCTAAACAAATTTTAAGTTGATTATATTATAAATGATATTGTAAATGTGGCTTTGTTTAAAACAGCTGTCAAATATTTAACGAATTTAACAAACAACAAAACAATAAATTAATTATAATCATCTTTTCTTTAGGTATTTCATTTGCAGTGTTTAACTTCTTCATCTGAATCTGAATCATCAAAGTCCTTGGAACTAAATTTAATTTTAGGCATAGCTTTAGACCCAACACTCTATTCTAATTGATTAATGGACATCACATTCTCTCTAAGGTCATTAAATTAAATCATAAAGGTGATATGATTTCTGTATAGATGAAATGAAAATTGATTATTTATTTGTTATAAATGGCTACTACTACTAGGATTTCTTTTGAGATTATTACGATAATTGTAAGCATTGTTATTACTATAGGAATTAGTTCAATTATTACTATTATTGATGTTATTATTAGTATAATTATTAAGTAAATTAATCAATTTTAACTTATTTAATTGGACTTTCTTATTAAAATGTATTGTTGGTCATATAGTTAAATTAGGAAACATCATTTTTTTGATTGAATTTTGGGGAGTGAATTTATCGATAAGTATTTTTTTGTAATTTTGAATTCTATAGAGAAAAAGGAGAAAAGATTAAGAATGGTTTTAATGATTTTCATATTGAATATTTCCATTAATATATTAAATCAAGATTTAATTTGTTGTAATTTATCTCTTAATGTCACTTTCTTTCATAGTTATAGTTAAATCATCTAAGGATTGTTTTTTATTGGTTGAAATTTTGAATTGATTAGAGGTATCAGATTTATTTGAATTATTGTATGAGATTAATTGATTTACAGAATTCCTAGTTGAATTTTACATCGATTCTATCTTGTCGCATAAAATTTATTTAGCTATCTCTTCTATCTCTTATTCTAATTTTTAGATGACTGGCAAACCCATTCTTTTATTTGAAGGGTGGAATGTCTATTCATTTCTCGGAGGACTCAATGGTTATTGCACATGAGGTTATTGCATCTACATAATACTATAATCATACTTAATTAAGCAAAGCTCTTTATAAATCTATAATTTGTGTTTGCATTAATTTTAACTATTCTGATTACATGATCACTAATTTTTCTGTTAAAAGATAGTTTTAAGGGAAATTTGCGGATTAATAACTTTAATTGGAGTCTAAAGATAAAGGTACTGGTGGCTGTTAACTGTGCTTTCCTATGAAAATGATTATTCAATAGTATGTATAGGTTCAGCAGATTAAGAATTGAATTGATTTTAAGTTTATATAACTGTTTTTATATTTCAACAAGTTAAAATTATTTCTTATTATTTACACTATGAGTAATTCTGATGATACTGTTTTATTACTTTAATTTTATTACATCGATTCTAGAAAAGGAATCTTGGCTAAGAATATTATATATAATAGCAATTTATGAGTTAGCTTTTTTATTAATTCTTTTCAATAGTTTCAAAATAAATATAGTCCACTAATTGCTTATTTTATCATTTTTTATTTTTTTTTAACTTTTTAATTAATTGCCTTTATTTTGATCAAGAAAATTCACAACTATTCTTTTATTCTTTTCTTGATTTCTAATCAAGGAGTTTTACTTAGGGCATCTTTGTAATTTAAAGTAACAGGATTGAGTTGAAATTGTATTCAAGTTAATTTGAAAATAGTTATGTGACAAAACAAATTAAAATTAATTAACTTAAAAATTCAATCTAAAAATATTATAACTTCTATGAATTGATATTAGATTTTGCTCTATAATGCTACACCAGAATATTGTCATTCACATTACTCAAAATTTAATTCTGTAAGTGGAATAACACATATGTCGGGTAAAACAAGACCAAAATTGGTCAATAATGAATAAGAGTATGGGTGTATTTTAATAATTAATTACATGACTTTGACTGATTCTTTAATGTCTATTATGAATATCAATTAAATTCAGTCCCTTAAATTCAATAAATTATGTCCTCACTTTATATACAGGAATTTTATATATAAGAACATTTTTCTAAATAGGTACCGATTCATTCTTAACTTTTAGATTTAAGCAACTAGTCCCAAGGCAATATGGAGTCAATCTTAAAGTATTTAAAAAATTAATTGTATAATTCAGGAAAACTACCTAAGGAAATCATCTCTATTATTTCTTAGACAGGAGTTGAACATTTAGGGATAGTAAAGATAAAAATACTTTAATTAGAAAAAATTTCCCATCAGATAAATTTCAAAAAGGTCTTAGATAATACCAAGCAAAAAATGAATGCGTATCTATTTGTAAAAATAAAAAGTTTAAGCATCAAAAATTACTATCGAATACAATAAAGAGAAAATATTAATAATTATAGATTAACCAAAAAATATGCTTTTTAAAAATTTTTTATTTAATCTTAAAATATATATAATACATTTTTATCTTGTTTTACAATTCAAATTCTACTAATTTTATCTTAATCTATAATATTAAGATTTGAATATATAATAATTAAGAAATATAGATTCATAATAGCAACTATTATTTTTTAAGGATGGTGTTTAATATCTAAATATAATTTTATGATTAATCACAATCAATTTTTATTATAATCATCAGATCTTAATGCTTTTAATATATGTCCTTATGTAAACTCAGATATTTTATAATATTATTTGATATTCATGATTTCTTTTATTTTTGTTTAATCTTTCATTTTAGATCTTATTTTCACTAAGTTTCTTTATTTAATTAAATTTTCTACTTCGACCAACTGTTTTTCTATTGATTCTTTATTTTTTTCCATCACATCTATTGTCATTTTATTGTAATATTTAAATAACACATGTTCATATCTTAAAAATATATCCTAAGCTTCTTTCTCTCTTTTCGTGTTTTCTTCTTCTTCAATGGTTAATTTAGATTAAAATTACTTTTAGTAATCACTTTCTTTGTTATTCTATTTTTTCTTGAAATTTGCATTGTCTTTGATTCTTTCATAATATCGTGTTAAATGATATTATTTTATATAATTGATTAATGTATACACTTTCTCGTATGATTCTAAATTTTATTGATAAGCTTTATTGAATTCTTTAATTTAATCCTCCATTGGAATTTTCTTCATTAATTCATCAATCTCATTATAGACCTTTAGAATATATTCTTTTAATTCATTTAACTATTAGGGGTTTAATTATTAATTAAATATCTTTTAGTTGATTGAAGTTAAGTTGATTGATAATTATACTTCTTACATTTTTAACTATTCATAATTATTTATTAATATCTAATCCATAAAGCAAAATGTTAATTGTTTTGTTTTTTAAGTTACTTTATTAGTAATCTGCTCTAAAATCTAACCTTTTTAATTACTAATTTGTTGATATTTCTTGATTTAAATTTCATATTCTAATGTTTTTCCTTTTTTTTTTTACTTATTTTTCAATTCTTCTTCTAATATTTGCATATTTTCAGATTAAATCGATATATAATCATTCAAAGTTTATATTTCATTATTTAATTCTAATTTGAGATTGTCTGTTTATTAATTAATTTTTTTATAAATTTCAAGATTTTCAAATGAAAATTTGATTGATTATATAGCTGTTGTGTATTCTCTAAACCTTGTTGATAATTGATTATTTAAAGTAAGAATTTCTTTTTCTTGATCACTTTTTTATTTGCTTTCTTCTCCTACATTTTTAATTATTAACTCTAACTCGTTGATTTATTCAATTTCATTAACTTCAACTTCCTTTAATTTGCTGGAAAATTCTTCTAATTATTTTATTTAGTGAATAATATTTTCACAAGAATCTAATTAATTCAATTCAGTAAATTTATCAAATTTCACTTATTATTCCATTATATTTTAATCGATATTTGTTAGCTTAATTTAAATTAAATTCTATGTTTTTTAATTATTGCAATATTGATTACTGATTAAATTTTTAACTTAATCTTTTAATTAATTCATTTTTATAATAAAATTATTTAATTAATCTTTTGTCATTTCTAGTTTTTTAACTTTTTCTTCATTTTTTTCATCAAATTACAAATCCTTGTAAATTTATTCATGAATTTAATAATATTATTTTTCAAAGCTCTTTAATGATTGCTCTAACTATTAATTTATTTGAGTGTATTTTTAATAAGCTACAAATGTCCCTTAAGTTAACAATAATTTTAGATCATCTAAGTAACCAAACGTTTGTCCTATCTGATTAATTATTTAAGTTATTTAATTTTTATATTTTTAATTCTGAGGTAAATACTTATATTTATCCTAATAATCAATTAATTTATCGTTTAATTCCTCAATTTATTACTTATGTTAATCCAAATATTCTATCTCAATTTATTAAATACATTTATTTGCCTATCCAATTTAACTATTGAGTCTAATTTAAGCCTATTAAATTTCTTTAAGCTAGCTAATACATGACTGATAAGTCGAAATTTATTATTGTAATGATTCACATTTCTAAATTAATTTTTCCTAAAATTCTACATTTTATATATCTTAGGTTATTTGTTAATGATATTTAATCGCATTTTGAATTTCCTCTTCTTTTTAAATTTAAACTTATATTCTTTAATAAAAGGTTAATTTTTCTGAAATTTATTAAATCTGTAGAGAATAGTTTTCACATTATTTTTGAAATTATGTTAATAAAGATTGATATGATGCTTTTTCTACCTCCTTTTTTTATTTTTACTCTTATTCTATTTTCAATTTCTATTCTAATTCCATTTTCTTTTTCTCTTCTTATAAATCGAACTTTTCTTTATCTTTTAACTATTATCCAAGTTAACCTTATTCTAATGTTATTTTTTCAATTATCTACTTTTAGTGTATTAAATATTATTCATTTTCTTTAGCTAGTTCACTATATTCCTTAAGCATCTATTATGTCTGTGCTTATAATATCAATTTTTTTCTATTTTCATTTTTTAAGAAAATCTCTTCAAATTTTTTTATCTCATCATTAATATATGTTAATAATTCAGATTTTTTTTTATCCTATAAATTAATTTTATTAATTATTTGTTCTTTTTCAGTTAGGTATGAAATGATACCCTAAATTGGAGTTTAGATAGATTCCAATTAAATGATGTATAATTATTTTTTTTCTTCTAATTATTAAAATTCTATTTATTTTTCTTTTTCTTACCTTTTTTTTTCAATTTCTAGTTCTTATATTAATCTTTCTTTTTCTTTTTCTTAATATTTCCAAGATTCAATCTCCTATACAATACTCTATCTTAATTCTTCGATAAATAATTAGTATAATTCAACAGATTCATTGATAAACTCAATTATTTTTTCTTTTTCCTGCTAAATAAATCTTTAAAAGTATTTATTTAGCTCTTCATCTTTTTGCTTTTTATATTGTTCCATTTCTTCTTAACACTAGATTTCCTACTACATTAAGAAAGGATTTTCATCCTATTCTTGGACATGCATCAGATTATTATCAAAATTTAATAAAAAATTCTATTCCTTTTCATCCATTTCTTCTAACATTTACTTTAGAAACTCCACATTTTTTAACTTATCATCAATTTATTAACCATATTCTTACAATTTCCTTTCGATTTGATTCTCTATATTTATCTATTTCTCTTAATTTTTTATTTAAAATGCTAGCTTTATTTTTTTTTTTTCTGATTTATTTTCAATCGATTTTAATAATTTTAATGTTTATTTAAATTATTGTTATTTCTTTATTTTTACTTCGCCTAATTCTTTTGACTTGAATTAATGAAAATCCTCATCAAATTTACTTTTTTTAGCTTCCAACTTTTTCTCAAAATCTTATTTGATAATTTTCAGTTTTTCTTAAATAAAAGTTTCAAACATATCTCTAATTTCTTTTATATATTCTATAAGAACATTTTTTGATAATCTTACTTAAGGATCTATATTAAGCATAATTTTCATGTTATTCTTTTCTTTTGTTCCAATTTTATTATTATTCTAAATTTTTCTATCAATCTCATCTTATTTAATGGTCTTAATTTAAAAAAAAATTTCTTCTTAAGAATTACCTAATAGTTTTTAATTATTTATTACCTTGAAAGAATGTCTCATTAGTCAAAAGCTCATACCAAATTGCTCCCAAAGACCATATATCTACTGATTTATCATATTGATGTTTATTTATAACTTCATTAAAGTTTGGTAAAACCTCTGGAGCCATATAATACGGTGTTCCAACTTTAGCAGTATATTCCCCATTTCCAATAGCACTGACTAACCCAAAATCTATCAATTTAATTGTTATTTTATTGTTCGGACCTTTAAAATACACAAAGTTTTCAGGTTTCATATCTCTGTGAAATAATTTTAATTGATGAAGCTATTAAAGCGCTTTAAGCATCTAAAAAATAATCTTATTTAATTACCTAAACAAAAAAAGCATTTTTTTAATCATAACTCAGACTTGTATATTAGGGAGTTTACATATATTAGTAGAATTCTCCATGAGCAAATTCCATAACAACAATTGGTAAACCATTTGGTTTCAACTGTACACCTATTATTCCTATAATTTTATTGAACTTATATCTCTAAATTGCTTGAATTGCTTTTAATTCATTTGCATTAATTTATTTGTATTCTTTAATAGCCACAGGTTCATTAGTTTAAACATTTTATCCCTTATAAACAATTCCTTCTGATCCTTCACCCAATGGAGGTTGAAATTTCTTGTATGTTTTTGCATCAATTGTAATTGTTTCATATTTAGGTAAAGCAAATTAAAAATTTTGTTATTACGGCTGCTTGAATTATAGAGGTTAAGGATTGGGTTTAAATTAAGGATTACTCATATAAACAAATACTAATTTTATTAATGCATTAGCTAATAATTATAGGAATTTATATCTAAGCTATTTCTATTAAAATTATAAAAAATATAATAATGCATAAAAATATTTCTAGTCCATACTCGAAGATCTTATTCCTCTTTGATATGCTCGATTCCTCTATAACATAAAAAAGAGGCATTTGGAGCAACTATTTTATTTTTTCAATTATGAAATTTGTTGGTTTGCAATTTGATTTATAAACTGATTTATTTGAAGTTTTGAACCTGTTCACATAAATTTCTCATGTTTGATAAAATGGACATAAGCCTTGGTTGAATGTTATAAGTAGTCTTCTAAGTAAAAATCTATTATAATTTATAATTTTTTTATTCCTATCCCAGTTGAGATTAGCAATTGAAACATTATAGCCTAAATCTAAAAATTATTGATATTAAGTATAAAAAATTAAATATCGGCTTTGTCCTCTTGAAGTCTAAAATTTCTAATGAGAAGAATTGATATGGCATATATTTGATGCATTACGGATAGATTGATATTTTTCTTTTTCCTTCATTGGTTAGAAATCAATCTTTCAACTATTAAATCAGCTCTTTTTTAATTGTCTCTAAATTCATTCATTTATAAATACCCTTCAAAATCGCCACGCATTGGAACGATATTTACTAATCCATGAATGAATTTCTAAAGATCGTATTTAGAACTTAATTTTGCTTACATCCTATCTAGCTATTGCTACAAGAACTTAATTTTGCATACATCCTATTTATCTATTGATATTTCATAAAGGTATTGTACTAATTGGATCATATCTTATCCGATCTAGTTCATTGTGTTATTTACACGTTTTAACATGATAAATAATAATTAAATGAATATTGAATTAATATTCAACTTTAATTAAAAATATATGAGTTTTTCAGAATGAAATAATAATGATTACTACCCCTTCCGTCTTAACTCAATATCTATGTTTCTAATTTATTTATAAACAATTCTCATCAGGTGATCAAACCATTCAAGTAAAATTAGAATTATTTAATTGATATTTCTTCCAAATATAAATAAACACATTGGAATTAATTATTATTATGGGATGTTTTCTTTATTCCAAATTCTCTTTATGAATTTTACCAATCACAATCAATGCCATTTCTCATCTGAATATTAAAATTTATTTTAAATATTAATAGAATAACCAATACTATAATTGAATCATCAATTACCTTCAGACTCATCATCTGATGGTGTTTGCTAATTTTTGATTTAATCTGTGTAGTCTTCAATTTACTTGTTAATTTAGAGCACATTCTTTCTATTTCTTTCATATTACTTTTCTTTGTAACTTGTAACCAATAACTTAATGTCTCTCTCAATTGATGTAGTAATATTTGTATCCTAATTATTTAATTATCACCTTACTTTAGTATTGGCTTTAGATTATAAGTTATCTTTGATGTTACTTACTGTACCCAATAGAGTTTCCTTATTTTCAAATAACTAATTAATTATAAAATGATTAATTTACTGTCTATAGATCCTCATCCCATTCACTTAAATCACTTCCTTATTACACAAATACCTAGTATCTATCATATTCTAATTTGGCAATATCTGTTAATTTAGTTCCAAATTCTCTAATGAAATCTCCTATCTTTTTAAATCCATGATCTCCTGAGACATAATCAGACATGTCTTTTGTTATAAATCCTAGCTTTCCATCAAAATCTCCTAATGCAGCTTCTATATCCACCATCAATTGTAATTCTGTAGAAAGTAGATTATCCTTAAGCTTTTAGGTATCTTTTTCCAAATCTTCTAATTTTAATTTCCAGCCATCTTCGTTTCTCTCCTTTGCTCTAAATGCTAGTTTTTTTTGGTGTTCAAACCTTTTGATAGTCAAAATGGTTTCATTTTCACTTTTAATTTCTCTTGCTCTCACTGCTTATTCGAATTTCTATTAGGGTACTAATTATGCTTACTTCAATTGATTATAACTTAGCAGTATTCTTTTAAATAACATTCTTTTAAAGATTCTCAACAGTTTCTTTAATCTTTTCTTAGAATTTATTTATTTCCTCTTCAACTCCTTTCATAGTTTTAACTTTTTCTAATTCCTCATCTTAAATTAATTCATCACTTAACTTTTCCACTAAATCCATTCTTGCACTTTTTCTTTTAAATAATTCGTCATTGTTGTTCTTTTCCTCCTATTCTTAATTTTGCATCTATTTTAAGAAGTCTTCTTAAGTTATAGCATCAGTTCTAAATTTTTCATCTGATTCTCTTATCTAATTTCTCTATGCTTCATCAATAAAACTATAATCCAAGTATCTCAGATTTGGTAATGAATTAATAATATGATTTTTATAATCCGGTTCTTTAGTAAATGGATTTCCTGCTACATTTAACACTTGTAAATTCTTAAATTTCATTCCTTTTCCTTTACTAAAATATTGTGTTACAATTTCAAAGGAAGGTATTTTATTATTCCCAATGGATAAAACATTTAGAGATTTGCAATTGTCCAAACCTCCAACCGATGTTAATGAATTATTAAACATTGACAAGTCTTTCAAATTTACTAGTTTATCTAATCCTTCTATCTCCTTAATCAAATTAAACGATAAATCAAGCCAATGCAAATTGACCAAATGATCCAAATTCTCGATCTTTTAAATAATGTTATTATCTAATTGTAACTTCTCCAATCTCTCCAATCCTTAAAGATTTTCAATCTTCCAGATGTCTAAATTCATATAATCAATATTCCTTACTCTTAAATGACAATGACATGACACGTAAAGAGTTTAACATAATTTGATCTCCCATTGTTATTTTATTCTCTGCATTGTAATCCTTCACTGATTTGCTAGGTGTTATCATATAATAATACATGATTAATATTTCGTCAATAACAGTCGGCTCAATAGAGGCCTTATTGTTTCGCTTATCAATCTTTGGAAGATGAGCACTTTGAAAGTTTAGCATTTATATTTAAAATATTATTTCAATTATTTTGATATAAACTATCATTGAATCTGATTCATATTGTCAATGTGAAATAATACTCTTTCTTAATTTATAATCATTTGAAAGTACTAAATGAATGTTAACACAGATTGAAGTTACTTTTTACTAAATGTTAAATACAAATAATCCCATATAAAATGCATTGTTATAAATTAATAATAATTTTATCACATCTACTGACTATGATAGTACTTTATTTTTCCAATTTATTTGAACCAAGAATCAAAGAATTTAATTATTAGCAAAGTTATACAATATTCTTTCGCTAATAATAAGAATATTGTAAATATCAAAAATTTCTTAAAGTAGAAAAACTCGATAGAAGAATGTGGTAATTGAGAGATCCTCATGGAATTGTGAGAAGTGAAAATTACCTAAATATATTGAATACTAGGTTAGTAGTACAAAATAAAATCTATTATTTTATGAAATGTGATAAAATGAATGCTTTCAAAAATTAATAAATTTTATGATTAAATACTTGTTTGTTTTAATATTACTTTATTTGAGTTAGGCCAAGAGAATCAAGCAGACTTATCTAATTAGATCCCTTAGAGATTGGCATTACATATCAAAATTCGGAGCAGAAACAGGAGAGGTATTCTATTCACTAACGTATCAAAAATTATATAATATTAGATTCCGATTCAAGAATGTAGAAGAGAATGATGAACGAACAATTCCAATTTAATATGAATTATTTTTAGATGAAGAATGGCCTAATGCGATAGAGAAGAGTGAGTGCGATGTAACATAAATGATAATAAATTAGAGAAGCAATGTGGCAAGAAGAAAGGAGACTATATAGGTCCCAGTTAAAAGTGAGTTTGAATTTAAAGGAAGTTTAACAGCAAAAGTCAGAGCGCATCTATGGTATTTTGCATTTAGTGATTGCGAAAAAAAAATAAGAAATTCATTTCCAGTTGAAAGAAAAGTAAAGTTAGAAGTGGAATTACACATAAAAAACGTTGGAGGCACTGAATTTACATTAGAATAATTTGGAATATTATAAATTATAGGGGTTATAGCCTTAATTGATGTAATAATGTTAATTTATAATGGGAATCAAATATTAGATAAATAAAGAAAGTATGAGGAATTTAGTTTGCCCTTATTTTTATTGGTGATCACTTTACTATTGGAAACATTTTCCTATTGTTTTTTAACTATTCATTTATGGATCTATAGTGAGAATGGGGCTGGATCATTATTTTTATAGGTTTTGTCTGTTATTTTCTAGGTGGCATCACAATTTTCATTAACAATGATTTTGGTTATGTTGTCTTGGGGATGGCAAATAAACTTTAGTAAATTCGACAATTTTGAATTATTTATACCAATTTCGATATTGATAGGGTTCTTCTAAATTACAATTGTTGGTGTAAGTTTTATAGATTACGATGCTTATTATAAAGATCATTAATATGAAGGATGGGTTGGATGGCTTGCTGCATTGATTTACATAGGAGAATTTGTTTATTTTATGAATGGTTTAGTTGACACTTACAACAAATAGAATACAAAAATATAATAATTCATTTTATTATTGGGTTTGTATGGTGGAGTGTATTTCATAAGTTTCCCAGTTTTGTAAACTGTAAATTTAGTAACTACATCATTTATATTCTTAAGTTTACGGCGAGATATGTGAGATATAAAGTAATGGAGATAGGAACTATGTTGTTTAGAACTTCTGCGATTTTATTGCTTACTCGACTGTTTACTTCAAAAAATTCGATCTTTGCATAGATTTCCATTGAGAATAAGAGTTTCTTGGACAGGAATAAGGATGAGCGAAAGCAATGTATATCTGTTGATTTATTAATTTTATTATATTTATAAAGATGAGTAAAGAGAAAAAGATTGAGTCATCCATGCTAACATTCTTTGTATAGGAGATGAACTAAGATTTTTGGGAGTAGACCTAAACTACTGAATTAGATGTATTGATATATATTAATTTAAGTCATAAGAATTTCTGATTGAACATGAATTTGTTAGAGAGGCTAAGAAGGAAGTAAAAGTGAAACACACATTGCTTGTAATGGGAGAGGAGTATTTGTATAAGATCTCTCCAAAATAAAATTTAAAGCGAGTTCCTTTAAATATTCTGCATTTTGACACAATTCCAAAATTACCAGAAGATCATATTTTGCAACTCAATTCTGAAAATTAATTATAAGGATTCAAATTAACTTATGCAAGTAAGATACTTCAAGTATTCACTTCAAATTCTGTTGTTTTTTTGTAATGGCAAGCTATTTTAAAACGAAAATGTCTGCTTTCTTCGTTCCATGAAAAATATCATGTTGAGAAAATGATTGGCAAAGGCAGTTTCGCCAAAGTTTATTTGGCTACTTCAAATGGATAGTCATATGCTATAAAAGCATTTAGCAAGCAATTCATTAATGAATAACTGAAGGTACACTCTGATTTTTAAAGTAGGGCAAAGAAAGTCTACTTAACGAAATGCAAGTTATGAGAGCCATCAAACATCCTAATATTGTATAATTATTAGAAGTGCATGAAACTTAGAATTCAATCTATTTTGTTTTGGAATTAGTTGTTGGAGGGGAATTGCTCTAAAGAGTAAAAGAGAAAGGTAATTTATAGTGATTATTCTCAGGATTATTGAAATCTGATGATCTGATTAAAATTGCATTTAATTTACTTAGTGCTTTGGATCATTTGCACTAAAAGAAAATATTCCATAGAGATTTGAAACCTGAAAATTTACTATTAAAATCTAAAGAGGATAACTACAATATTATGATCGCAGACTTTGGTTTGGCAGCCTTCTCTGATTAGGAGTTAATATTCAAAAGATGTGGAACTCCAGGTTTTGTTGCTCCAGAAATCTTACTCTATATTGATGGAGGACCAATTTATGATACTAAATGCGATATTTTCAGTGCTGGTGTCATCTTGTACATATTAATTGTATTATCTATCAAACTTATGATTAGACTGGTAAATAACCATTCCCTGGATAAGATCAAAAAGCCATTTTAAAGGCTAATAAAGCTTGCTAAATCGATTTTGGGTTGCCTGCCTTTTTAAAGACTCCAATTGAATTTTAAGATTTAGTAAAAAAGATGTTGTCTAATAAGATCAGTGATCGACCTACTGCATAAGATGTAAGTATTGTTATGTATTCTATCAAGTGCTTAAAACATAAACTATTTGCTAAAATATCTTAATAATTAAAGCAAGATTAACAAGAATTAGAGGAATAACAATAGTAGGTTTTGAATAATCTGGCCAGTTATGACTTGGAATATACAATTGGTTTAAAGAACAATACTCAAAAGTAAAATATAATTGAATTAGTTCGGAGGATTTAGTAGGATCTCAGTAATTGCAATGGCGAAAACCAGCATATAATGGTAATGTTTAGACTGTGGAAACCTTAACAAACTGTTCTACCGTTTCCATCAAATAAATTGATGCCTAATCTACATCTTAGTCCTAATAGCAAAAATAACCTTAATAATCTAAATTCAGTATTTTCAGTGCTAAATTATCAAGATAAAATAGTTTTGATGGGGGAACTGGTATTTAATATACATTTATGAAGATATGTTCAAAGATTGTGCATCTCCTGGTAGAAGTAAGATTTCAAAAGAGAAAGATTTGCATAAGATTGCATTGAAGAACTCTTTTCGATTTTGCTAAAAACCATAATTGTAAGTGGAAGACAATCAAATCAACCAAGAGCAATCAGAGGTAAGTGAATTGATTAAAAGACATAATTCTAGTGAATTGATAAAAATGAATCGTACTGATCATGAAATTTAATCTCCTAAAAAAGTCGAATGATATAAAATTATAAAAAACTTATTTAATATTTAAATTCAATAATCTTGCATGATGTTTTATCTATCCTTTAAGTTTAATTAGCCTTTTCCTTTCTCCTTCATTTCCTTTGCACATTTGATCTTCTACTTAACCTCCGCCACAGCCTTCTTCATTCCATTCTCTTCAAAGGTTTTCAGACTCTTCTAAAAATAACTCAAAGCATCTCTAAATTCCTAGACTAGCAACAATATGGTGCCTTTTTTAATTTAAATACATAAAATATACCAATAATCTTTTGAGTCTTTGCTACTTACACACTTCCTTCTCCATACACTTTAACTTCTAAATCTTCAGTTTCATATAATTCCCCAAGTGCTTCTTGATGTCTCTCTTATTTTAATTAGATAATGGCAATTTATCGTTTTATCTTAATGACCTTCTTATCTTAAGCAGTATATAATTCAATATAGATCTATTTCACTTTCTATAGACAAGCAATTTGTTCATCAATAGATTAAATTTTCTCGTAATAAGTTGATAATTATTAGTAAAGTTCTGCTACATATTCAGTTTTATGATAATTAATTTCTACTAACATATCTATGGCACTTGTCTGACATTGAATTGCATCCTTCCAATTATCTTGGCATGCAAATATTTTTGCTTTTTCAATATAAGAAATTGCACTCTATTCTGACTTATAACCGTATTTGGCTTCTGTAATAGCAAACACTTTAGTAATGCATTCTTCACTTGCATCGTAGTCTTTCATTTTACTATACATTATTAATGATGTTTAATTTACGTATGACAATTAGACATCAGAGTTAATGTTTAGATTGAATGCTCAGTTTCATCTCCATAGATCTAACATTGGGTTTCATAAGCCTTCTTCAATAAATCCAAGGATTCTTCATAACTATTGATTTCTAGATAACATTTTCCAAGTAAAGTGAGAATGATTGCATTGTAACTCTTGCTTTCCTATTCTTCATTATACAATTTGGCATTTTTCTTCAAAGCCAGAGTGAGATGATCAATTGCTTACTCATAACATTTATAATTTAGATATGCTTCACCTATATTAGTATGTGCTTTCACTAATTTAAATTATCCTTTGCCATGTGTGAATACCAGAATCTTGGATTTAAAGTCATAATAATTAATACCTTGGCCAAAGCCAACTAATGCATTCTGATATTCAATATTTGTTCTTCACTCTTATCTTTCGCATACTCATCCAACATCTTCATCTTTTCTTCCAAATCCTCAGATATCTTATCTTCAATTTATTTTTGTTGATCCGGTTAGTAATTACCATAATTCTTGTCTTGTTAGTATTTATCCTTTTATGCTAGACAATTATCATAAATATTAATCTACAGTTATCAAATTGATTAGATTCCATCTGATCGACTTGATTAAATTAATCATAATCCTCTTCATTTTGATCTTAATCATCTTAGAAATTTCCATCTTCATCATCATATCCATCTTACATGTTTCTGTTATATCTCTTGTATATTAAAAATAATAATTTAAATTAAACAAAACTTGAATAGTAATATATTATATAACATTCTACTTAACTTACTCAGTCTTAATGTAGGCTTTAAATCTATTTAATTAACAGTTTTAATCTAGACTATTGATGTATTCAAAATTATTGCAATCTCATATAACATTATCATAAGAATAAATATCGCGTTTTAGACATGAAAATCGACCTTTAGAATATATTAATATATATGATATACCTTCAAGATTTAATATTATTTATTTAAGATAATATCTCAACCTTAACATTGAACAAATTTTAAATTTAAACGAAGTTAGAATGGCTAATAAAAAATCCTGTCTATAGATTATGATGCAATTTAAATTTAATTTTGAAAGAGAAGAGATTTCAGAATTCATTTTAGAAATAAATTTCATAATTAAACTATTGCTTTTTGATTTAAAATTTGATTTATTTCAAAGATTAGGCCCCCCTATATATTTTGTGTGTTATATAAACTGTAGAACATGATGGCTATTAGATCTAAGGATCTAGAACTGTTGAGCATTAAAAATATATTTTGAAAATGATCTATATTTTGTAAAAATACTCTTATTTCAATTTATTATAATATTAATTGTAAGTACAAGAAGAGAGAAAAATGAATAGCTTAAGAAGTTAATAAAGAATATACGAGTGTCCACTTCTAAGTTACAAAGAATTTAGTCCCAGACTCAAGGGGCCCTTTTATTATCAAAGCTTGCATAGTGAATCAAAAAAGTTACTCTCGCCGTTTGGGAGTTAAACAAAAAGCACGGATCAAAAATTTGCTATTCATCTCAAACCCATTTTGATCCCAGATTTAATGGGTAGGAGTTAAATTCAATGTTTGAAAATAAGATGTCCACTTATTCAGAGGAGTCTTAGATCTTAAAGTTCAAACGAATAAGTATATGGATAATATGGGAGCAAGTGGAAAAGATTGATTTCATAAGGGAAGTTTAGTGTGAAACAAATTCGACATTAAAAAATAATTTATAGATTCAAGATATATGTAAGAGCAGTTTAACTAATGTTAACATATTTTAAATTTAAAAGGGCTAGATAATCCAATATGAAAAGTAGCAAAAGATTATCAAAGGCCAGAATCTCTATTGTTAATATAAGAAAATAATCTGGTCAGTCAACTTTAATCCCCCTTATTTAGTAATATCAAGCAGAACTGTTATAAATGCAAAATCAAATATTGAATGTATCTAGTTCAGATGTACATAGTCCACAATCTCTGTGCTTAAAACGAAAATAAAAAACACTTTCTTAAATAAGTTTCGATCATTTTCTTAAAAGACCCATCTAGCAATTTATAAAAAACAAGAATCTTTCTTCAATTTCAGATCATAAATCAACCTAACCTACTAAAAGAACTTGTAAGACTGAATAAAGTCACAAAAGATTTGCAAGTATTAGATAATTGCATCGCAAACTTCAGATGAGTTAGGCTTATTCAGCTTAATAATGATACTAGTATTATTAATGTTATATAAAACTTAATATGAATCAAAAGAATTCTAAGTACATTTTTTTCTGTAATTGATTTTATCTTGATTTTCCAAACAACTGTTCCAGATTTGCTGTTGCATTAACAAAAATGCTTCTCGGAGTTATTTTAGAAAGTTTCTTCAATTCCAACATATTTGCATTTTAATTAGCAATATTGAAAACCATAAGATCAACCTAATTCTTCTCCAATACCTATCTTAAGTGGAGTTCTTGCTTGTCACTCATTTTTCTGTTAACTAAGATATAGGATGGATATGATTACTCTCCGTAAAGATACAAATAAATTTATAACGAGATCTAAAATCATGTTGTTATTGGGATTTATCCTTCTCAAATCTATTACAGTGATCATTTTCATTTCTAATAAATTTAAAATCCTCATCCTCAAAGTCGGAATTAGACTCACTAGTTACATCAAAATGACAATCCTAACTAAGATAAGAATAGTATATTTAACATACCTAAAATTCACGTGTTGACTCTTATCATCTACATTTTCAATAATCATACTTTTCCCTTCATCCTCCTCAGCCACTGGAGGCAAATATATTTTTTATTTAATATTGGTTTCTTTACATTTCTTTTTTTCATAGTCACTGTCGTGAATGGTGATTTTATGTTCGAAGAAATTCTTTACGGCATATTTTAAGGCTTAGAATAATTTTGATTTTCCTCCAGGAGCAGTAATAGCCATGAATAATTACTTAGTCAGTAAATCTTTATAGGTTCCTTTTGGTTATAATGGAAAAGCCTCGTGTAATGAATTGTTGAATCCATACATGCCAATCAAATCTTGGGGTTATAGAATGTTGAAGATTTTGGTGCATATGCTATGAGACAAGTTAATTTGCTCAACGGTCATTTCTTTTGAATAATCAATAATGAAAACAATTTCGTAGATATTGATAGAAATTTGGTTTCTAAATTATTGGATAGGCAAAGGAGATATGCTAAAGAGATTAAAGATTTTCTCTAAAACCATTAGACAGAAATCACGAACTTCAGGATCGTAATATTCACCCAATTCTATTATTTATGTTAAGATCTCAGCTCCAGTCTTGAAATTACCTTCAATTAATTCATATATGGCTTATAATTGCATAATCTTTGAGAGTAAGACTTCTTTGGGTACATTTTTGAACATGTCAACAAAGTTATAATCCTATTCGGCTTGATTTTATTCCTAATTAGTGTTCTCATTAAGTTTGTTGTAATATTCTAATGCCTTTTTTTCAGATATTTTGAAATTACTCAAATCTCCAATTTAGATATAACACAATGCCTTTTTAACATGGAGATTTATCAATCTTACAATATTACTTTATGTGAATTTTTAATCCTTCTCTGCTATGGCTTCAAAATCATTGAATAATTTAAGTGTTTCTGGAATGAAGATTTCATTTTGCATACAAATAGTGAACATGAACTATGCCAATTGAAACTGTCTATTTAACAATTTTGCCTTAGCTAGTTATTTCTTCTTCATCAACTCTACAATCTTCTCTTCGATCATTTACAATTCTGTCATTCCTCCGTTAGATTATCCAGAATCTCCTCTTACTCTTTCCTCTTAATCTTGTCTATAGTCGTCATCTTTATATCTCTCATCCTATTGAATAATACTCTCTTTCAAATCCAATCTCTAACTGATGATACTACTTTAATTATAGGAGTGACCTCCTTGATATTTGACTTTGTTATTGGATACATTTGGAGATAATTGAGGAGATATATATGGCGAATTATCATGATCTACAGAATTGATGGGCTGTAATTGTTGTTTACTTTCTGCAAATGACATTTTCCCACTTAATCTCTTCTTCTACATAGGAGTTTGAATAGAATTTGTTTATATTTATGTTATTTTGTTTTAGGTACCAGTGTTGAGTAATGCAACATGTGGGATATTGGTTTTTTGTAATAATTGAGAAGTAGATTAATTTTTATGATGTTGATCTTATGGTTTACTCATAAGGGATTATGAATTTCCTTTGTGTTAACTTTCGACCCTTTTTGATTTGGTATCCTTCTTTTTTACTTGTACACTTATCCAATTGATTTTCATTTACTCTTTGAATCTTTGAGCCAATACTTTCAATCTTTATTTGAAATTTTAATATAAATTTGGTTCCTGTAATGCTGACTACATTCCCAAACACCATTTTTTAAGTTCTTTGATTTCTATTAATTCTAATTTGGCTATGTAGATAGCCTCTTCCATTTCATTTATGGCTTCAAATACTCTGCCACCTTTCATATGCAAGATCCCAATATTATTGGCACATATTCCAACTGCACTCATGTTTCCTATTTCTTTCTTGTAAAAGTCCTTTGCTTTACTTAATTCCATCAAAGCTAAGGCATCTGAATGTTTAGAATTTGAATATTTTTGATTGGAATACTTAATCGTAGTTACAAATATATTCATAGTTTGAAATAGGGATTTAATCTCAAAGGAGTTAAAATAATCCTAATAGTTAATCAATTCTTCTTCTTGATCCATGTTTTGGATGTCGATACTATTCATAAATTCAGTTAAGACTTTGATTGGTTATTCAAATGATAAACCAATTCTAGTGGCTGTGTACCAAACAAATAGAAATATGACTAATTTATATTGATGGATATTTTACCAACTGATAACACAATGATTACTATTAAAACAATGATCTCCAAGATCCTGACATTATTCAGAGATGTGCCTTCATAGAGTTCTTGAATTAGAGTCTGTTCCTCAAAATAATGTACCAAAATAAAGGAAGGCAGTGTGAAATTGTTTTCTTCTGGTTCAATATACACATATCTTCTTCCATTTTCAGGGGCTGTAACTATGGACACCTTCTTTGTGGAATAAGTGTTGACCTTGGAGAAGAGCAGATAAAACTTATTTTAACCAAACGAATAAGTCAAGGATGTGGAGTTTAGAGTTTCATTCTAAACTAATTCATTAGATCTATTGAGGATTTATGGTGCCAGATCTTCATTCAAAGAATTATAGGAAGATTAACTGAAATCTTTGGTTGCCACTATGTATTTAATAATAGATTCGGAAATAGCCATATTGCTGTAATCTGATGGGGCCAAGGTAGTGAATTCCTCATTAATGATGGCAGTAAACAATTAATGTTCGCTCTCCCCTTGATTTTCATGCTATTGGTAATGTCTTGTTATGAGGTCCAACAGATATAAATTTGAAATCTTTGCTGTTAGAAAGCATTATCTAGCATCATCTTAAGAAATGATTTATGTTATCGTCAATGATGGACTTGAGGTGAATTCATCATTATGATCATAAGACATTGTAAAATTCAATGTAGAGTCTAATATGAATTCTTCTACTGGTAGCCAATCAGCAGTATTAATGTCCTTCAACAAATTTTATTATTATTTTGTGAACTATGGTATCCTAACGACCAAAGAATCTGTGCAATGGACCATCAATGATGCATAGTTGATGGGTATCAATGTTGAATCTGCCTCACTCGATTTGGTTTCTAGTTGTAGGTCTTAGGAGAGTGATCTTGTATTACTATTTATATATGATAACATTTCAATACTTGATTATGATATCTGATAGTATAAGTGATTAAGTGATCTTGTTCATCAAAAAACTTAATCTGGGGTTTGACTTCTGTAAGGTGTTGAAATTAGTGTAATTGGAATGACTCCAGGCCACTGTGTAATCTTCTTCCGTTATTTCACCAGATGAAAACGAGTAGGGTGCAATTTACTTGGCATCCAAAGTCCTAGATAGGCTTGAAGTAATACCAGGATGAATAGTTTTAAAACTCGCCAAAACAATAATGTCTCAAATGTGCACTTACTCCAAATATTTAATTAAAATATGCCTAATATTGGATATAGATTTCCTATCATTCGGGTATTATTTACTTGTTATATGATATTCATTTCTATTTATAAGCCATTCAAATGTCGATTTATGTGAAATTCTAAGAGGGAATCCTAAAAACTTGGGATGCTCACAAAACCAAGCAATCCAACTTGCAACACTGCCAACATTAGAATCAAAATTATAGGAATCAATATAACAAGTAAAATCTAATTTTTTAGTTCCATCACTCACCTATTAAAATTTAATGTAATATTAAATTATGGAAATCAAGATAAGATGTTATTTATACATGTAATATTAATTTAAATTACCTAAAGTAGACAATCGAATCAAATGAATTTGTTAATTTCTTAAAAAATAATATGAGTAACATTTATAAATAGAACTATTAAATTTAAATTCTCATCCAGAATTCGACATCATGACTACTATACAGATTTAATTAATTTCTTATTCTAATAATTTATAATTTAATCAAACAAAATATATGCAACTAAATCTTGGATTCTCAAACTCTGACTCCCCCCTCAAATAACTGGAAATTACAACTAATCTGTTTGAATTCATTTTACTTTCATTAAACTGAATATACAAATTGGAACCACTTCATGATGATCTAGATTTACATCCTGATGAGGCGAAGGCAAATCTATATTATGAATATTGCAATTACGACAATTCCTATATATCCAGAAGTCTACATAAATAGAATTGCATATTTCTTAATTTCAATATTATTTTATAGAACCAATGAACAAGAGAGCCTGTTAGGATTTATTATAGTAAACTTATATTGCTTCCTTTTAAAAGATGATATCAATAAATATTTTTATTAAAAAATAATACACGATTTTTCTTATTTTAATATCATCTAATTATTAATTATGACATAATTATGTATTTGACAATTAGAAATTATGACAAAATGAGCATCTAAATCATCAACATAACATCTGATAAATTCAAACTCATCATTTTTGTGAATATAAGTATTTGTACAAAATCACAGGAATTGTAATTTCAATTTGAATTATATGTAATCTCATCCTCTATAGATTTATGGAATTGTTTTGATAATGAATAATTTAAAACTTGAGGGTTATATTAATGAATAAAATATTTATTTAACAATAATACAATATTAATGTTTTCAAATACAAACTCATAATTCCAAAATCCTCAATAACCCTAATATGGTGGCTATAGTTAAACAGTTCCGATAAGTAAGCGATATGAATATAGTAGTAAATTAATCATAGGTGGGGAAACCAGTGTATCAGCCTCAATAGCCTTAGCCGATGGAAGTAGAAATGAAAATATACAGGGGATAGAATCAGGCTTCCGAGATGTAGGTTCATAATCCATAACCCATAAAATAAAATACATCTTAAATTGTAGTGCAGAATCAGTTTCACGATTAGTCTTCGGTGAAATAAAATTAGAAAGTGTCTTATGTAATATATTTGAATTTAATATGATTAGTTAATAGATTGGGTAATGTACTTTTTGCCAATAGCATTCATCATATTAATTTTGATTGTTATGTCATGCATGGTTGGTGCAAAGATAAAGCATTTTAATCCCGAAGGAGCACATAACACATTATCAACTTTGAAAGATAACTTATCAAAGAATCCAATTGAAGATATAGTAGAAGGTAGTGAAGTAGCATCACATGCAACAATGATAGATTATTTCAGACACAAGGATGTCACATGTCCTGATGGTTATGAAACAGCACAAATAGGGAAATGGGATGGAGTTAAGTCTGGTTGCTTATGTGAAAATGGAGAGACCAGTCATTCTACTACATGTTTTTATAAATCATCATGCAAAAGAGTGAAATCTCATGATTCTGTAGATCTCAAGATTTGGTAATAGAAGAGCTTCTGCATTAAAAAGTATGAGGATTGGCATCATCTAACTGGAGTCGCTTGTGATAATGGATATAAGTTATGTGGAGATATTTGTGTGCCTATGACTAGAGGATGTCCATTGTCCAATCTGGTGAAAGATAATAGTAGATAAAACGATGAACATGCTATAAAAATAGGCAGTGATCATTTCATTAAGAAATTTGAAGATTCTGAGCCAGTCGTAGATTTAGAATTGGTTCCTGGATTGGGTTAGAGTGGATCATCGCCATGTTATAATCATGAGTTGAATCCAAAGTTTTAATCAGAAAAATATTATCCATTTGCAAAAAGAGCTGAGAAAGGGTGTGATCAGTATTTGGATCTTCAGAGTCATAGAACTACTTTGAATACTTTTGAGATTCACAAAGTATTTGAACAGAATGACTTAAATGATGTTCTGAATCAATTGCCATTTTATCAAAGTTACATGAGTAATGAGGATACTTATGCATTTGAATTAATCAAGAGAATTAAAATAAATTCGATTCAGGATTGTTAAAAACTTAAACCAAATCAAGTAGATAAGATTTCATCAAGTAGCAAAAGTGTTTATCACGCTGAATCATATCTCTCTTTCATAATTTTATTGATTGCAGCAATAGTTCTATTTTTGGTGCCAATTCTATATCTAATTAGGAATAGAGTATTAATATTACATATCTGTATAGGTATTTGAATGGAAGGATATGACAGAATTCAGATAACCAAGATTTTTCTGCGGTAGTGCTGCTGTTATTGCAACACTCTGTATAATATTAGGAGCTATCTATTTGTATCATGTAGATGGGAATGTAATTTAATCAATTTTAATTTCAGGATGGATTAAAGGAACATAACCGTATGTTCTAGACATATTTAGAAAAGAGTTGCTTCTAGGATTAAGGATTGATATTGGTATGAATGAATTAATTAATTTATAGGCTGTTGACTAAGTTAATACTTTTGCAAAGAATGTGTATCACTCTACTTATAGTTATGTGATATTTACGTTTTATGGAAGTATTTGCTATTTTGTGATCTTGGCTCTGTTAATGATTTATTAATTCTGGTAACATAAAAGTAATTTTGAAAATCCTTGGTAGTACAGAATCTAGAAACAATATTATGAATTTTATTGAGACAAATTATTATTTTTTTATTTATTAATATTGATTATTTATTATGGAGTAAGGCAAAAACATTTATCATCTCAAAAACACTATCAACAAAAATACTCATTACTTTCTCAAACCTAAAAATGCAGCCTTGAACTCTCTCTTGGATACTTACATCTTACAGGATTACGGTGGAATCAATGTTAGTTATCAATTACCAAAAATACGTAATCTATCATAACAATAAATTCTCCTGGATATTGAAAGTAAACGCAAGCTCTCTGTTCAAAATATACAAAAATTGGGTTCCCAAAGGAATCTCAATCGGTTAGTTCGATCCTAAACTATCGATGAACCTGCATGCAGAAAAGCAACTGACATCATTGAATCTTGCGAAAAGATTATCACACTTCAAAAGAAGAAAGAAATCGATTTCAAAGTTAAACAATCAAGAGAGGATGATGAATACAAAGCTATTCGTAAGGCTGACAAATTACACAAGTTGATCCAGGAACAAATCTATTAATGCAACAAGGAAGATTTAGACAATGCAAACAAAAAGGCTATCTTATATATAAGGGAAAACACTGTCACTATTGATAAGGACAAATTTATACAAAAATGTAATAGGGAAAGATTTTAGTTATAATAATTTCGAGAAAGACCTCGAAAAGAGAAGGAACACAAACGATTCAGAACTAATTATCACTTATTAGATCTCTGATATGTTTTATTAATTTTGTAATTTAATTTATATGTTTTATCAATTTTTCTAATCCAAAAACAATCCATCACTCTCTCGTTTAAGTGCAATTAAAACAACTGAAAGAACCTATGATGCATTACAGGTATCTGCTAATGTCTGTAACAATCACGAAAGAATTGTAACAGAACCATCCACAAACGATTGCTACTTGTTAAAAAAATAAACATTTGGTTCGAGACATCAAAAGAATAAACTCAATATTCTTATAAATAATATTCAAAATACATTTAAAGAAGAAATCGAGAAAATCAAAGAAGAAGCCAAATTAAAATTGGTTGATCCATAAATACATATGTAATTATATGTTTTTTTGATTCATTTAGTTAAGATATTCTCTCAAATAGCAAAGAAGACGTAGAACTTTTGATCTACAAATTAAAAAAGATATTGATTAACAAATCCAAACGAGCTTTTTGTGTTGACATTATTTAAGAAATCAATCATTTCATAACAAAATTAAAAAATCTAGGTATCCATCATATTCACAATATTCCAAGATATCAAAATCCTTGTCACTCTAACACTTGCTAAAATTGCCAAATATTACAATCTCTTGTATTACTCTATTTCCCTTGCTAAAAATGCCAAAAGATTGTCAGACTCAGAATCTCTACTCAAATACAAACTTAAAGCATACAGCATTTTATCTTAATGTTTTCTTAAGCTAAGACTTAAATAAGCCAAAATCTATATCACCAAATATTTGATGTGCAGTTGGAAACTAAAATTAGTCAATTCTGAATTCAAAGGCTATGAATAATTAGGGAAATATTATTATTATGAAGGCAACATCAGAATGGCTTAATTGTTCCATGACAGAATGCTAAATGGCGAATCTTTGGTAATCCTATCCTACTATTCAATCTAGAAATTTGATTCTTCTCTTAAAAGGCTAGCTATTTCTAAATTTGAGCAAGGATCCATTGGAAAGAGTAAGAAGGATAATCACATAATTGATGAAAATAATTTAGATATTTCCTCAGATGACGAACCTTTTGAAATTATCTTTAATTAAGACTCAAACGATGTTAAAATAAATACAAATAAAATAGTGGCTTCTTATCGAAAAAAAAATAGACTACTAAACTTTTCAATAAGACAATAGCCTTTATATAACAAAACAACTATCAAAAAAGCTTAGCAAGAAGTCAAAAATGCTAATCTTTTTATTAGGTATAATAATTAATAATAATGATAGGTCTCCCAAGTAATAGAATGTAAATTCGTTGTTTACAGAATAAGGTAATTTGGATTTATAAAAACTCAAAAGCTTGCCTCATTCTCATCTTAGATTAGGAGAACTTAAAACTCCTGTCATGTTAAATCATCTAAGTCCAAATAGATGTTTAGTCAATTACCAATCATTAGAATTGAATAAGTCACCTCAGTCTAATAGGAAGGCAGAAGAAGTTGATCTGCTTTTTGATGTCGGCGATGTTCATAAGATGTCCAAAATCCTTAACAAAATAATCACTATTCTTACTAAAATAGATGAATGGCTTTAAATACAGAATGAATTATAATGATAATAATGATTATATATTACATAAATAATTTAAAATATTAATAAGTCACTTACCTCTAACATGAGTAATAAAAAGCAAGATTAACCCTTGGCTAATGCTTAGAATAGATAGAGAGGTGATTAAAAATAAATCTCGTTTTTTAAATCCAAACTGTCGGGATTGTCACCTTTGAATAAATTCAGTCCTTTCAAGGAATCAAGCACTTATTAGCTATTCAATAAGAATTATGCCTCAGTTGATTTCACATAACAAAAGTATCAAGTTAAAATTTCAAAGACAGCCCTTATTCAAATCAATTAAATAAAGATCTAAGCATAAAGAACTGTCATCTTTTGATTCCTAGAGAAGTCCTCATAAATCTCCCAACACTAGCAATTAGTAATTTTATGTTGAATTTACGAAGCTCCTCAAGACAAACTACCTAGAAGAAAGAGTATACCTCAAGAATTTAGTAAGTAAAGAGATAGGAATAGTAAGTGAATTATAGTAATTTTAGGAAAATACCTTATGACTCATTGAAATCTTAGAACATCTACATAGAGAGTTAAAAATCTATATCTTAAGCATTGAAACAATACCAGAAGCCAGAGGATATGTAAAATTACATTCACAATTAGGAAATTGATTTTGGGATTAAAAAGCTTAATAAGAAAAGAGAAATAGGTGATCTTGAATGATGTGGACTAAGTGATCAAACAAACAGATAAATATCAATCCAAAATCACAGAAATAGTACCTATTCCTCTTTACTTTAATAGACGAACGACCAGGAGGAGTTGAAGAAACAATATCAAAAAATGACTCAGGATGAACATTTGAGTATGGAGAAATATGGCGAAACAATTTCTAAATACAACAAAGCCATTTAGTTATTACATGAATTATAAATTGATTACGATTCGCTGTTACCAGAATTACGTATGTATTTTGAAATTGAAATTAGAGAATGATTAAACTGAGGATTCCTTAAAAAAAGTGTAATAAGAGGAGAATAAGGATGAAACAATACTGCTTCAATAGTTTATCATAAAAAAACTAGTTAATAAAATAGAAGAATCGAAATCGCTCAATCAATAACTAATTTCAAAGATCAAATAATGATGTTCAAGGAATTTCCAATAGAGAGTTGTAAATATATATATCAATTTATTATAATTTCAATTATTTTCCCATAATTTTCTAATGCAACAATCGCAAAAGATTCTCAACTACTTGAATGAAAATTATCTGCTCACCAGTAGTACTGAGAATCAAGTTGTCACTCTAGAATTTGATTCCCAGTATTATACTCCTTCCTTTCACTTTTTGCATTACTAATTGGTTAATCACCTTAATAGTACAAGGTAATAAAATACTCCATTAAAGACCACTCCTGATTATAGATTTAGAATTCAACTTCAGATCAAAATGGAAGAATATCTATTCTAGCATTGAATGTTCTGAGTAAAATGGATTTAAGAAATATGTGAATAATATGTATTTCATCAAAAAGGAGGATTCTTTGAATGAAGTTTTAAAATAAATAGTGGCAGATAACATCAAAAGTCTAGAGGTTTGATTTCAGGAGTAGAGTTAGCTGAAATATCAATTTTCAATATGATTAGGGAAATACACAAATAACCTTTTCGATCCTAGATTAGTGTGTTGATCCCTAAAGAATTTAAACACAAAGAATTAAAAAACTATTTAGAGTATTTCAAATTTTAGAATGATTATTGAACAATTGTTGGAGACTGATGAAAGAATGAAAGGGAATTCAAAGTCCATAATTTAATGGTTAAGATGTTCTAAAAAAGTCTAATGGACATTCCTTACTAAAAAATTATATAATAGAAGGTAAGGAGTTGTTGAAAGCTAAATTAAAAATTAATAAAATAAAAAGGAAATTAAGAAGAATGACTAATTGGATGTTACTAAGAAAATAGGCGCGACATTCAATTTGAATTTGAGTTAGGAATAAAAGTTAATGAAAAAAGAGATTGACAATTAAATTAATCCTTAAAAAGGAAAACATTTCTTTAGAAAATGTCCCGTTGATTTATTAGAATGAAGGAGATGAGAAGAGAATAATTTTGAATGATGAATAGTAGGATTTCGATGAAGTGGAAGAGTGTGAAGGATGAAATGTTTATTTCACATAAATCTTATTCATTTATACTGTATAAATTGATTGTATACATAATTATATTTAATAAGATTGACATCTTTCAAAATTGCTACTCCTTAGAACAATTTATAACAATATTAAATTAAACAGACTTTTAATAGCAAAATCTCGCCTATCATGTAAAAGACAACCCTAAATTATTCATGTGCAAGTAATGAAGTCCATTAATATGTTGAACATAGATTTATTCTAAAAGTAAACCTAATTTGATAATGTCAATATTGGTATTTCAATTGACAAAGAAAACTCCTATGCTGGATTGTAAAAGAAGAGGCAGCTTCAAAATAGAGACACAACCACTCAAACCTAACAGAAGACAGATTTACAGTCAAATAGTGGTTTATAGAAATCATCATCACTCTCTTAATTTTATCGACCTTCATCCTCAAATGATAAACATTCTTATTAACACTAGAATACGTATGCATACTTAAAAGACATGAAAAACTCATCATATAGTTAGTAACTTTAGTAGAGTAGTTATTAAAAGCGTCACACTTCCTCTAAGCAAGTCAAAGAACACAATTCTAAATAAGTCTAATACCCTTAGAATATTTAATTGAGACTAAATTCACTTGAAAGTTATGAAGACAAGAAGCTTAATCTTAAATTGATGAAGAGTAGTTTATAAAAACAACAAAATCTGAAATCAAAAGATCTCTCAGAATTTAAAAATTATTAAATTTTGGACAATAAGACAGAAAAATAAAAATACAAAGGATTATTGGCTAAATACTTTCAAATTAGTTAACATAAAATTGCTGATGAGAAGAAATAAACAAAAGATGTAAAACAAATTTATAATATGTACACTTAAATCAAAGATATTAAAAATTGTAATACAAATTAATTAAAATAAACTCAAGAAAAGAAGAAAGGGCAACTTTAGGAATTTGTCACATAATTAAATGGAGACACTTTCGGAGCTATATAGAAATTATAAATGAGTAATACTCTCATCAAATCTGATAGATAACAATCGAGTGATGTTAAATAAACTCATCACAACAAAATTAGTGTGACGTAACAAAATGAACCTGTAAAAATAATCATATTATCATACTTAGTTTCTATATTACATATCTTCAATTATATCAGCATTAAGAGTCAAGGAATAAAATAAATATGACGAGAAAGTAAGGGATCACTTTGCATAAACCTACTAAGTAAAATAGATTTTTAAATCAAGGGGTTATTGTTTGCAAGTCAATTTGATTTGAATTTTGACGAGGATAAAATATTAAGTCTTCCAAGATCTAACAATTTAAAAACGATTGTTTTTGATTTAGATGAAACATTAATTCATTGTAATGAAAATGCATAGATTCCTGGAGATGTCATCCTTCCTATTACATTTCCAAATGGTGAAACTGTTCAGGCTTCAATAAACATTAGACCTCATGCTTAGAAAGTGTTATAGACACTCTCTAAACATTTTGAGATCATCATCTTCACAGCTTCACATTCAAGTTATGCAAACATTGTGATTGATTATTTGGATCCAAAAAGATAATGGATATCTCATAGACTGTTCAGAGAGAACTGTGTATAGACACCTGAAGGGGCCTACGTAAAAGATTTAAGGTAAAGCTTAAGTATTTTTAGAGTATTAGGAAATAGGAAATTATCGAATGTACTTTTGGTAGATAATGCTTCATATTCTTTTGGTAAACAGATTGAAAATGGAGTGCCAATCATCTCTTTTTATGATAATTATGATGATTAGGAGTTGTTACATTTACAACACTATTTGTTGAGTTTTAGACATGAGAAGGATGTGAGAGATTTAAATTAAAGAATGCTAAAATTAAATTAATTCACCAATTATTAAGATCTAAAGGAACTACTGTAAGGTTTATTTGAAATGTACATATGATAGATGTTATTAAGGATGTGATCATACATTGTTTATTTGATATAAATAGCTAGAAATGCACAATAATTATAATTTTATTATTTTCATAAAATTAGTTAACGAACATAAACAATTTAAAAATGATGAATGTTTCAAAATGTAGTAAATGTTCTAAGGTGCCAGATGATATCCTTATGTTGACATGTAGTCATGATTTATGTTTATTATGTGCAGCCAAATCATTTTCAATGCAGCAACCTAAAAGAAGCAAAAAAGTAAAATACACTTTAAGTGATTGATTAGTTTTTTGTTTGTGACATTTGTTCTTCTAATACAGAATTAGATGCCAATAGTGTTTATGAATTAGAAAAGCTACATTTAACCACTGCCTTGTAGGATAGATCAAATCGTAAACCTGGTCAATAGTCGAAATCCAATTTATCAATTGACAAATAAGTTAAACCTCGTTCATAGACTAGATAAGATAACAAAGAGAATGCTAAAGAGAAATCCATTAAGTATACTAATTAGACAATGGAAGCCAGAGTTTCAATACATTAATCTCAAAGAAAAATGAGTAAGCAACAGAGTGAAAATTCGTTCATTTAACATCCTAGAGGATTTTGTGCTGATCATCCTGAAGAGGAAGTGTCATACTACTGTTTTGATTGCAATAGCAAATGTATTTGTCCAGAATGCATCATTCATGGAATTCACAAGAATCACGAAGTCAAAACAATCAAGAAATCATATCCAATTGCGAGGAAATTGTTAGAAGATCAATTGGAATTGAATAATCAATGCATACTACAAGTTGAAAATCAAAGGCAAGACTTGGAAAAGAAATAAATACAATAACAAGCAATTCAAGATCATCTGAAGTTACAAATAGCCCAAGAATTTCAGGTATATCATACATACAAATATAGATTTTACATCAATTGTTGAATAACAAATAAAGTGAATTGCTTGAAAAAGTGGATAATTTACCTACAATAATGGAATAATAGGAAGGATATATAAATAGACTAAATGAAGTTGAAATCAAAGTTTAAAATTTTAATGAGAAAATTAATGACATGATAGATTCCAAGGATGAATGTGGATTACTCAATTATTATGGATCAATTTATGGTCAAACAACACCACAATTGCCTCCGCTTCCCAACATTAAGGAAGTGCAACTATCAAATTAAATATTTTCATAAATTAATGATGTTAAAAAGTTACTTGGAGGTATGGATATTGATTGTAATTAATGATATAACTCCATCAATTAAATTATGTCATAATCTTCCTTTCAAAATAGTTGGACCCACTATCTCGCCTATCCTATTAAGCAATTCTGTCTCATTGTATTATTTCATATACGCCAAAATGTCTGTTTCATCTAACAATTTGATTGGTAATCGTTTAACAATCTTCAACTCTTATAATCCTTCGATCAAACACTATAAAATGAAATGTCTTTGCCAATCTATGTATTTCAGACATGAAGATATCAAAACGATCAATTATTTTAATAATTATTCATCTGGCGATAAAATGGAGATTTACTTAAAACACATAGTAATCCCAAGTAAAGTTTAAGATTGATGTTTACTGACAACCTTATCCTTGCCTCCTTGAGCTTCCAAACTTTTTTATAAATGGGTTTGTGCCTCTTCTGTGTTTGGCACAACTCCAACAAAATCTTAATAGGCTAATTCCTTATCCTTAACCACCTAAACTTTCTATTGTAAATTCTTGATTAAATCAGTATGATCTTTGAACAATGCCAAGATTCTTGCACAAAACTCCTTACATTCCAAAGGCACATCACTTAAATGAAATAAGCAATTATCAATAATCTATTGTTGATATGGTAAAACTTCATTCATATGTAATCTGCTTATGTGATACATCAAACTAAATCCAGCCTATCTGACTATGGGATCAGTTTCAAATAAGGTGCAATTCTGAGCTGCCTTCAATATTTCCTTATGTGGTAATACGTTTGGTGTTTATTTCAAGAACAAGGTTATTGTTTAAAGAGTTGACAATCCACTACTCCTTATTTAATAATATCGACTTGTTGTGCAATTATAATTATAGATGAGGCATTCCTTAAGGAATCTATCTCTGATAATCGTAATTAAACCCAAAATAGGAGGACCTCCAACAGAAGGAAATTGTTGCTAAGCAATATTGGCAGCTATTTCCATCAAATTATCAGTATGGCAATTGTTGAGCAAGGGTATCAAGAAGCAGTCTTTATTTTTGGGATTCAGAGCTTAGTATTCCTTGAGTGCTTGCATTCTTACTTCAAGAGATTCATCCATCAATCCTTATTAAATGGTGGCAATAATGATGGCTTTGTATTCATTTCCTTCAAAGAATTGAAAGAGATGATGAATGAATTTCTGGGCGTACAGTCTTACATATTTATTCTAGTGCCTTGCGATCCTTTGAATAATTTCAATCACTTCGATAACTTTTTCAATATTGTATTTGTGCTCTAGGAATAATTCCATTGCTCCTAATAAGCCTTAGATGTAGTACTCCTTTCTGTTTGTGAAATAATATTTATTCATAAACATTGGTTCCATCACCTTAATTTTATTTTGCATGTCTGGAAACTACTCTTTGAGCAAAGTTTATGCAAATTTAAAGCTTTGATTATACGAAATGAAGACATCATCCCAAATTATCATATTAATCAGCAAATCTAAAACTTGAGTGCTTAATTCTTTGAAGTTGTGTTTCGAAACTAATTTTGATATCACTGATATTGTTAGCTCTTAGACTCGATTATCCTAATGTTGTAATAGTTGTAATAGTGAATTTTGTAATACATGTAAGACTCTGTCTTCAGTATCTGCAATAAACTTAAATTCTAATAATTGATTACATTGAAAATTGTCATAGCATTTAATATTGTCTATTCACTTTCGTAAAGGGACTTTGCCTTTTCAAATAGTTCCTCCTTTGACAGACTGCTTGTTCTCAAGTCTTCGACAAAAGAGTTGATATTAGTCAATTTATTGTCCATTTAATATAAATTAAAAAAGAAATAAAATAAAAATGAAATAAAGGTTTAGGCAAACAATGTCATTAGAAATTGCCAAGGTCTCCAATTGTATAAATATTTTGATATTGAATTCTTGGTTTTGATTCTCATTAATATTTTGATGGCTTTTAATATTGGTTTAGAGATGGGTTATTCATATTTTGTTTATCGCTGTGAATACGCTCTAAATTGATTAGAGTAGCATATATTTAAGGATGTATTGGCAATTTTCAATGAAATACAGAAGACTTAGTCCTGGGATTATATATCATAATGTTACTAATACCTATTGGATTACTTATATTTTAGTGAAATACCATCCTAATTCAGATGATATTTAACTACATTTGTTGATCAATTTGATGGGACTGCAATTAGTTATGTTTAAACTTCTGTTTGATTTTAAACTATTAATAACGCCTCAAAAATATCAGTTTAATTATTTTATAGTTTAATACATTTAGAACTAAAATGAATACTTAACTAAATCAATTAGGTATGTTAATACCTTTATTAACTTTGGTAGACAAACTGCACTTAAAATGATGAGAAATAATGCAAAAATTTAGTGAAAACCTGTTGATACATCACAGGTCTAATAAATTTAAAAAACCAAGATAAAATCATACTTGTACTTAATAAATCTATATTGAATAATTGATCAAAATATGTTGTTTATATTAATTATAATATTATTTAATCATAATAATTACAATGAAGCTTAAAAACCAAATATATAAAATTTTAAATGCTAGGAATAAAGCAAAACAAATTAAAAATATACTCATCTGACCTCGCATATGTTTATATAAGAATTATGAATAATTCAACATATTATAGAATGAGTACTTAAATTAGAAATCATCCAAAAATGGTCATAATACTAAAAAATAGCACGTTAACAACGATTAATTTTAGTGAAACTGTAAGTTTGGGGGATTTAATCATATTTAAACATAAACATATATAGATCATATTGTTGTGAATGAAGAGCATTCAATATTGAGGTCTGTTTATACCTAGAATACCACTAATGGTTATTTTATTCTTATTGGCTGCAACCAGTCCAATTCTTTTTTATCCTGGTTTTAATATACCAACCACGAAATTGGCAATCATTTAACTACTCATATCGTTATCATTGTTTGAACAGCAACTATCATCGAATTCGGAAGAATCTTGTTAACACCACATCGTTAGATCAGTTGATTGTGAGTTTAGAATTATTTTGTTTTCCATTATGTTATTTATTTAATTTAAAATAGCTGAAACAATCCATATTTCAATTGATAAATAAACTTATTCGTGCAGTTTTACAGAATTATATTATATAATGCGTCACAGTTGATGAAAAATATTAAAAACAATATTGAAGAAATATAAAAAGAATTAATGAAATATATTTCATTAATAAATTATAAATGGGAAATACTCAATAAAAAGTATGTTAAGAGGAAGAACAATTAGCATAACAACAATAGATGTTGAAATCAAGAATGTTGTACAGGGTCATCAAAAGTCATAAGCGATTGCTTAAAAAATAGGCATTTTGTTTGGGAATCACATTTGTTCTGATTCTATTGGCATTGATGAATTCTGTGTTATTGTTGTTGTATGATGATGAAAATTGATTTTATTTATTGAATAATTCTTAAAACCATAAATTTAAAGATAGATTAGTTTAGCCTTTAATATAATCAATTTTACCAATTAAATAATGATGATAATAGCACCAGAATTGATTTATCATGAAATCAACATGCCTTCCTTAACCTGAAATTTATATATATATTTTAATAATATTTTTTATGAGTTCTAATGGTAGTGCATTGAAGGGATCAGGTAAATGTAAGTAACGAATCAAATAGCAACCCCTGATTTGGCAAAATAAGTGTTGGTCCAGAAATTGGCTCAACAAATAGTGAACCAGATAGTGTCAGATGATGTTATTGACGATAAAATTGAGGAGGAAGAAAATCAAAACAAAGAGCCTACGTGCTGTCAAATGTTCTGTGCTCCCTTTACGTTGAAATACTATTAACCATTCTTCAATGATTTAACAACTAAAGTAATAGCATAAAAACTATGGGCATCCTTTTTCCCATTCAAAGCAACCTTCTTTGAAATTCAAGATGGAAAGGCAGATTTATATGGGCCAATCTGGGTTTATGCCACCTTAGTATTTGCAGTAGCTGCTGCAGGTAACATCTCAGGTTATTTGGCAACTCCAAGCAACATTGCATTCCATTACAATTTCGATTTCATACCAACGGCATCATCCTTACTATTTGGAATAGCATTTCTAGTACCGTTTGCAATTTATATGGTTATGAAAATGTTGGGAGGCAGACATCTCCATTTAACATCAGTTATCTGTATATATGCCTATGCTTAAACATGCATAATACCTGTGTGTGTGGTATGCTCAATACCAAATCCTTAATTGCAGTGGGGAGCATTGATCTACGCAATGATTAACTCATCTTTGTTCTTGATTGTCAATTATTGGGGGTATTGATATGAATGGCAATATCTTTTAGAGAGTTGGAGAAGAACATATAGGCCAAGAAACACATAGTGATCTGGTTGATTGCTGGATGTTAGGTGGTGTTGTTGTTATTGTTCAAGATGTACTTCTTCTTGTATGTATACACAAACCCTTATACTGGATCAAGATTCGATTAGCTCACAAAGATTGTAAATGAATATTTGTAATTTAGGTTCATACGGATCACTTCTTTTTGCATCATCATCAATAACATTGAGAATATTAAATTATTTATAATATTATTATTTAACCGAATGTCTTCAAAAGATAAACAAAGTGTTAAGAGTGATAAATCTAAGGACAAGAAGAAGAAATCTACTAAATTGGACAAGAAGGATTCCAAGATTCTACCTCCTCCTCCTGACAATGATTAATAGCAACTCATTGCAAGAGTATTTAGTAGGAGTGGAGACAAGGAAAGCAAAAGTTTGGGTATTGCAAATAATAAGCTTAGCCAATTGCGATGACGATCCATAAATGCAAACATTCAACAATAATAATGGCAATTTCTAAACCAGCAATTATTCTTAGCAACATAATCAATATGAAAATTACCCTACTGTCAATAAGAATGATAATTAATTCAGAACCAATAAATTTATGACTGATCAAACTGCTTATCCATAACAATACCAAGACAATTTCTATTAAAAAAGTCCATAACAATATCAAGATCAATATTATTCACCCAGTTACACATAACCCTATTATCCAAATCAATAATTTACATAATAAGCTACGTTTGATTATAGATAAGAAAGGATGAAAGATCAAGTTAACTAGAGTTTGTTACCCAAAAGATCTGAAATTCTGGAATAAGTCTCAAAGGTTATTGCTATTAATGATAAATTAGATAGATAACAGAATAGATGAAATCAAATATCAATCCTAAAAAATAGAGAGCATTACCAGAGAAGAATGCGAGATGATCATCGATAAATTAAAGAATGTTGAAGCTCAGAAATTGCAAATGCTGTATCATGATAAAAATGAATTACTTAGGTACAATCAATCATTTATTTATAGAGACATCGATTAAATTGATGCTCTGCAATAGAGAATCTCATAGTTGTAAGATTTCAACTCTCAAAAGAACATAGATTTATTTGAAAACATAGAAAGATTGAGTCGGAAGAGAATCAAAAAGTAGATTGAAATATACCCAGATGATTTGCCTTAGGATTTGATTCAATTTAGATAATTGCAATAGTAAAATTAGATGCTCCAGAAATTGATGGATTTCAAGAATGAAGTAATTTGGAAACTCTTTAGTGATTCCTAAATCGAAAATAAGAGGATCAGAGAGGAATTAGAAAGACAAGCAAATCAAGAATTCCAAGAGTGGTACAATATTGTGGATCAATACTAACAAGAATTGAATAGGTACAAACTACAATGCACTTTTTGTGGAATCAACTTTGATTATTAATTGATTAATTCCGATTGCAATTCAAATCAACAGGATGCTTGTAAGAATATTGATTAATTAAATAGAGATCTAATTCGACTGTGAATATATTCCGTCTGAATAATTCTTGGGTACTCGACGACACTTTTTTAGTAAAAGCAGATAGATGCAATAATCTTAAATTTAAATGGAAGACAATAAAGTATGATAAAAATATATATATATATAAAGATCAATTTTTAAATTTGATTTCTCTGCAATCTAAAACAACATTTTCATCAAAACCTCCGAATATCCTATCTGTTTCTTGTTGAAGGGTTGTCTGATAGACTGGCAATTGAGGTTCTCTTTAAGACCCAGCACTTTATGGCGTGACATAATGACCAGAAAATTGATCTTCATATAATTTAATGTCTGTAGTTCTTCGTTTGGAACTGAAACCGTCATTTATAAAATCACTCTGCACTTGTTACCAACTATGCAATTTAGATATGATTGAAATACTATTGAGGATTGTTCTAAAGATTGCCATCTAATGTTATTTCGTCACTCTCTGTATAATCATCTTGTCTCCTTATTATCTTTTGAATCAGCAAATTGGAGTATGATTACCAAGTTTTAAATAAGATTAAAACATTCAAATAATCATGAAGAATGTTGAAATTAGATTTGAACTATAAAGTATGCTGACTGATATTGCTTCTCTGTTAAGTTTTGTTTCTCCTATAATACAGTAATCGAATTTGCATCTCTTTATTGAACTATTTCATGTTTTGAATGGACTCTTAAGACCCATCTTTGAACACTTCATCATGATAACAGCACCTAAACAGTTGATACAGTAACTGATTATATTGGATGTATCCACAAGCATCACTACTTAAATATAAAAGCATTACCATCTCAAATTCAACTTCGATGCTAATTTGGCTGCATCCCATAAATTGTCATCTTTGCCTCCTCCCAATGGTTATCCGATGTCAAGCAAAAAGCGACAAAGAAATTTGTAATGCATACTTTGACCATTGGTTTCAGCTGAATACTTACACCAAGCAGTTTTGATCTTATCGATTTCCTCAACATAAGTTTGAATCATTGAATTCTGGACTTAGAAAAACTCTTCAAATTGTTCAATCAAACCTAAAATAAACAAATTCAAAAGAACATAATTCGAAAATAGCATAAATGTTATGAAATATAATTAATTGAAGTCTGAACCACAACAATCAGGGTTCTCTGGACATGATGGATTATGATGCATCGTATCTGTCATAATAGTCCTAAAGTCATCGCCTGATGCACATTTAAACAGTGCCAACAAGGCGTATTCAAAATTAGTAAAATTGATTAACTCATCTATCACTGCGCCTTCAATTATCTTACCGAATAATTGACATCCAATCAATGCATAAATTATCATAGTAATGATTAGAATGGATATGAGTTTGGCCAAAAACGGAAGTGCAAATCCCATCACTCTTATCAATCTTGATAGGTTTGTTAATCCTTGAAATATGACGAGCAGACGCAATTGTCTTGTCATAAAAGCCAACCTTATCATTTAATAATATGGAGTGAACACATTAGATTAAAAATAGTGGATAACCCAGTCATTCTCTAAATCTGCTATCAAATCACAAAGGGATATCAGGATCAAGAATGTATAATATCTCCTCCAATTATTGTCAAAGTATCTATTGATTCCCAATGACATAAATAATAGAGCAATCCATAAAGCATAAAACAATATGATGAATCTCTAAATGATATTTATTTATCTGATGTACTCCACCTCCATGTCATATTGATATTGTAATTAACAGATCAAATCTATTAACAACATCAGAAACATGAATTTCTAAAATATGGAATTATTAACAATAAAGGAGGCAAATCTCCTTACTATCTTTGTGGGGGGAGTTGAAAAAACAGGAGTATCTTTAAGGATTATTGGAGCAATCTCTGTAAATTCTCTCTAGAATTTTGTTGCATCCTGCATTTCAATCTTTTATTGATTGAATCTCAATTTCGAAAAGAGTGTTCCCGTAAAGAAACTCAAAAAGAACATAGATCCTACAAAGCAAAATGAAATGAAGTAAGCATATGTTGATATATACGTAGCAAATGGAGAAGGTCCATATCTACTTTGTCTGCTGTTTTCAGCCACTTACATGATTTCCCCCCATCCATCAAAGGTGGATACTACAAACAAGGTTGGCAATGCTATTGTGATATTGTCGAAGTTATGTTTAAAATTAATCCACTCTCTTTGAGATTCCTTGCATTCTCTTTCATTGACATAGAATTGCATTTTATCATCACAAAATCCAAACTGACTTTCGTACAATATGATGCCAAATACTCCAAACATTATCCACACTGAAACCAATGTCAACAATATCTTTAACATGTCTAATAATGATTATGCCAAAGCAGCTCTGATCTTGTCTAACCATTTAATTCGATACATTAGTTTCATTGGTCTAAAGTGACCAAGAAACAAACAAATATTAATGATTGGGTTTTGCTTATAACTATCAATAAAGAACCCAAGCAAATAAATTAGGTCGACCAATTACCATGAATAGTTGATATGTGATCCCTTGTCCATACATAAACCCTTTGCTATTATACAAATTATATCTTCTATGAACATAAACACATTTAAAATCATCAACAAAATATATGGATATTAACTCTTCTCTTATTCATAATCATGATATGTCCGAATAATCATTACAATAATCGATGAAATCAGGACTAAATTTGTAAACCAATAAAAAGCTTAGGATGAACAGAAATTGCAACAAATAATTCTAATTTTGCTGGTTTTTTCAAATAAGTAGAGTGATGTTTCACATTGAATATCTTGGAACAACTTAGGATTCGACTTCATTACTTACTTATTTAATTACTCTAATATAATTACATTATTATACTTAAAGTTCGCAATAGACTTTCCATTAAATCAAGTTTTACTTTAGGTTATTCTTTCTCTTCCAACTCACAGATTTGAACTTATGAGAAGTATTGTGATTTAATTCTTAAATTTCTCGTAGAATCCAAATCTGTATTTAATGGTTCCTCATCTCTTGCAGATGTCATTTGATTCTCTAACAGCTGTTTATCACCTTAATCCACCTCGTCTTTTTCATCTAGATATCTGCCAAATCCATCAAGTAAAATAGCTAAAACCAGTCCGTATGTCAAATAATTCAAAATTATAACCATCGAAAACGAATATGTGATAGCAGCAACAGTACTTATGCCTGTCCCTAAAACATACACTCCATACCAATCGTCATTCGTCATTATATTGAATATAGTCATAATTGCTTTCATCAAATTATCAAAGGAATGTAATTAACCCAGAAAGTCATTCTAATCAAACTTACTCGCATAAAGATCCATTCCAATCATTGCGTATATTGTGATAATTATGAACATAAATATAGTTAGATATATGTATTGCTTAAATGTTATTGATGCAATCTTACCTATCAATACAGCCATCTAATTGTATTTTAAGCATCTATAAAATAGAATACATTTTGTTCCTCTTATCAATCTCAAATATTACTCTGTTAAATTCAAATAATCACTGAAACTAAATTCGATAAAACTTGCAATCATTATTATAGCCTATAACACATTTTCCTTACTAGAAAAGAAACGTTGCAATGGATATGTAAACATTTACAAACTGATTTCGACCAACAAAAAAACAGTTGAAATATCTTCACATTTCGATATAATAATCGGATCTGCTATTCCATACAATGATAAGAAGATGAAATTTATCAAGATAATCAAATCAAAGAATAATTAAGTGATCTGATTGTCTATTATTATTAAAGTGTATCTCCTCATAATCAATAGTTTCCCACCTATTGTTGGCATCCATATTAATGGATTAAAATTATTTAAACTAGTAAAGATATCTTCAAACATCTAAATCCGATCTGGATTCATTAACAATACATTGTTTCCTGACCAATTCTTTGTTTTGATTATCTTCTGCTCCCTCTCTTTCTAGAATATTTACTAATACAGTTCCTCATTAGAATCCAATTGTGATTTTGATTTAGGTATCTTGGTGTTGATTTTCTCTTGAATCTATTCATAATTGATGTAATATCCTTGAATATACACGTATCTTCTGCCTTTGCTAATGTGTTCGAAGGGTAGTTTTTGTTCGACTCTCGGTCTCATATTAATTATAGATTTTAAATCATTGTTTTTTCTCTTCATTTAGAGAGAGGGCACATCGAGACTCTCGTCCTTCTTACTTAGAGTCTTTTAAATAGTTATTCTCCTAGTGCTCTTATGGATTGGATATCTAGACATTGAGTAATCAGATTGTTGTCTCGTTGTTTATTTTAAGTTCTTCTTTGATAGCAGATGTTGATAATACATTTTTATTTTTTCCTTATGTCCAATTCTAACAAATTAGCCTATAAATACCTTTTCTTCTAAACAAAGACATCCTTTAAACTGTTGAATTTCTATTCCACGTGATAATTTACAGAATTGTTCAATTAAGTAAAATTGTACTCTATTAATTTCAATAAAATTGAAATCTCAATAGGATCATCAGAATATAAATTAATATTTACTTAACTCTGTTCTTTTTTGAGTTCCTTGAATTTAGGCAATAATTAGTTTTTGAGTGAGAAATTCTTAAACTTATTCCAAATAGAACTTTAATTAAGTTTCTACAGTAAATATTTAATTGAAATACCATCTATGCTTCATCCAAAATCTTTTTTTATTTAGAGGACAATAACCTCAACTGTTGATTCGTCTTCTCAGGTCTAAAATTATCTTCAATCAGTTCATTCAGAGGCTTCATTGTATTAATCAAATGTCTATGCTTCCTTAACACAGAATAGAAACCAATGTAACGCAAAAAGGATAAATCAAAATAGGAAATCACATCCTTACTTAAGAACATCTCCTATCTTTATAAACTATGATCGTTTTTCTATTTAGATAGTTTCTCAAATTCTTCGCATTCTTATGTCGCTTCTGAATAGTGAATTTTCAATACTGCAATAATCAAATTAATCGAAAAGAAGCCACAAACAAATATGATCAACAAATAATAGATCCAAATCTATGGATGGTAGATTCTCATTGTAAAAAACATTACCCAACTCCAGTCATCCATTGTAATTGTCCTTAAAATCTGTCCAAAGGAAAAGAATATATTATTGAACGATGTTGGCAATTTAGGGGTTTCTGCTGATAACATGCAATGCATTCCTTCAGGACAAATGTTTTAATAGCACTGGATCCAATCATCAAGTGGGTCTCCCTCTATTGGTTAACATCTATAATTAAATAGGCCCTGGAATAAGGATACTCCAATTATGGAAAAGAACAACGCGGATATTAAGAGGATGAAGAGTGCTTCAGCTAAAAATACTAATGACTTTTTAAGAGCTATCAACATGTATTTCAATCTCAGTAAAACGTCTCCCAAATATATAAAGATAGTGATTATTCTGAGTGGAGTTGGGTCGAATGGAATTGAATTGGGGTAAAAGTAGTGCAAAAAGCTGATTAATGTACATAATAAATTAAATATATCTTCCTTACTGTACAAAAAATGTACTGTAGGATAGATCCCTCCTGCAGCTAGAATTCTGATGCATATTTCAAACGCAAAACAATAAAATATAAATTGCTTGTACTTCTCATTTGTGATTGGGGGATTTGAGTTACTTAGTGTAAATAGAGTCAGATTGCAAATAATGAAAATACCATTGATAATTTTAAATTGGTAGCTGTCGACGAGCTTCTAGAAATGCATTGGTATACACAGACAAGAATACACAATGAATTTTCTTAATTTCAGGAAATTGAGATGATCATTGTAATTCTAGACTAAACTAATTTAATTACTTTTAATTCGTGCTTTAACCTTTCCAAACCATGGAGAGGAGTCAATACAACATAATAGGGGTCTTCAAATGGATTGCGTTCCTTGTGCTTTTAATACTTCTTCAATATTCTGGGATCGAGGTCTTCACAAAAATATTCCACGTCTTCGTTGTGCTGAGCTTCCAATTCTTCTATTTGATCGTGAATGGGGAAATTGTCATGTCCTCTATCAAGCAATTGATCTTGGGAATTGACTTCGCTCATAGAGCTTGAATCACCAAAGCATTTTTTTAGAGTCCTTAATACTTGTTTCTTAGGACCTTTCGAGCTATTTTAATCAGAAGAATTATGCGTCTATTGTTCTTGTTATTCGAGTGTTAACAAAAAGCCTTCTTTAAAACTCAAATTAGGTACTGCAATTTTGTCTTCCTAAGGATCAGGCTTTTCATCAACATTATTATACTCACTAGAATCTGAGGAATTCTCATCTTAGTTTTCGTAAGGTTGAAAATTTTTTAAACTCTTCAAAGTACTTTATTATAGCACATGCTTGAGACTCTTCATCTCCTTCAAATACCTTGTTGGGCTTCTCTTCATCATTTGATTCGAGATTGTGAATCGATAGCTTTTCTATTTTTTAAACTCCTATTATTTTGCCGATGACTTTTGCTACTGTGAGGATTCTCGAGGATGCATTTTTATCTAAAATAAATAATATAAAATTATTCAAATTGCATTAATTACGCTACTAACATAATTGCAACTAGCAATAATACATTGCTACAATTTAGAATGGGCTACTAAGAACTTGGGTTGGAAACCAATAAAAATCAAACTTGTAGTTTTCCAATCACTTCCACATTTTAATTTAATCCATAAATAATATTTGCAAACAATCAATTGCATATTACAGTAAAACCAATGTTATGAAGTTATATTTATCATCTATTTAAATATTGCTTAATCAAAATATTTATTAAACTAATATTCAATTATCAAATATCGCAAGTCTTTGCATAAAATAAAATCCTATTATGATGCAGATAATTCTGTGGAGAAATAATATTGAACCCTATATATAGTAGAATTAATAAATAAATTCATAAGTGGTGACTACATCGGATAGGTGTCGACATTCATTGATGAACTTATTGATGTTGCCGTAGTGTTGAGAATTACATTCAATAACAGCAAGAACTCTAAACAAAATTCTATTGAAAATAGTTTAACAATTTAATATTATTATTATTTCCCGCTAAAATATGGAAGTAGAATCACACACAGCCGTGCCCTTTATTTTGCAGAAATTGAGAATAAATTCTGAAAAGAAATTCAAACATGAGAGAATTGGATTTGAAATTTAATAGTCTATCAAGTTTTATCTGGCTCCTCTTAATAAAAGCATGAAAGCATAATATAGTCACATTTATTATATGCGTTATCTGAGCTTGTCAAAACGATTTGAGACTAACAGCAATGATTCCTAATTCATTGAGTTGATTTAAAAAATTCAGAATTAACAAGGAACCATCAAGGCAATTGGTACGATATTCAAAGAAATGAAATTAAAACCGCATTATTTCTCTTCGAATTCAAACAAAACAATATAAGGTAAAATGAATTTGCATATACGCAAGATTATGTATCTAATGAGGATGTGTGTTATTTAGAAGATAGATCAGGGAGAGTCAAATTGCAAATTCATAATGCTATGCTCTGTCTTCCAAATAGGAAAGATAAAATAGTCAATGTCAGCGATCTCGTGACAGGAATTACATTGATGATTGAAGGATAGATTGTTGCAAATAATGTTGTGAAAGTTGAAAGATTATATCTACCTTAACTTCCTGAGACACCGCTTTTTAAGCCATTAAATTTAACTTCATATCTCTGTCTAATTTCTGGTTTAAATTACAATGCATCAGAAAGTACTACCAAGTATCGACATATGATTGATTATATGCAAGGCAATCTTTATAGTGGAGAAGGAAGCGAAGTAAGATTTCACATCAATGATTTAGATTCCATATAATATATCCTAAGTCATAATTCTTGGGAATTTATATTCTAAGATAGAAGAACCAGTTGATTTATAAGTACAGAACCCTTAACAAGACTTCAAAGGAGTGTATAGCAAAATATAGTTAAATATAAAAGGAGTTGATGAATTGATTAGTTAGTTAGTATCAGTTACTCCAGTTGCTATAATGCCTGGAGTAAACGAACCAGTTTCTTAGATGCTTCCTTAGACACCTCTACATAGATCATTTTTTACAGAATCTTTAGAAAAAAACAAACAATTGATCTTCTTAACAAATCCAAGTGAATTTACTTTGGGAGAATTAAAGATACTTGGGACAAGCGGATAAAACATTTAAGACATTAAAAAGTGCTCTTCGGTTAAGGATTAATAAGATGTAGATTTGTTGGAAATGACATTATTTTATGGACATATCGCTCCAACTGCACCAGATACTTTGATGTTTATATTTGATTCAATTATATAGTTCATACCCATAGTAAAAATAGGATCCATTTGTTTTATCAGAGTTACCTAACATTTACTTTGCAGGAAACATGTCAAAATTTGGAACTAAGATGGCTACTGACAATGTCAGAATTGTTAGTGTGCCAGCATTTTCTGAAACTGGAACAATCTGTTTAATAAATTTACATACTTTAGAATGTTTTCCTGTTCACATATAATGAAAACCATTTATATATATTAATATCAGATTTTAATTTTTTTCTTGCTTTAACACAATAGTTTAGTTTCTAATTACTCTAATTATTCATGTATCATCTCATGAATTTTCAAATAATTATATTGCCTGTATTTGTTCCATTGATGCAATGATTTCAACTCTTTTTTGCTTGTTTTTAAGCCTTGTAATATAACTAAGATCTTGGTGGCACAATTCTCCTTTTGAATCCAAGACAACCCAAAATCCTGTAAATTATAAAAGTTTATTATAAACTAAACTATAAATGATAACGATTACCTTGACATCCTACAAAAGAGTTGATTTTTCTCTTTAAGTTTCAAGTTTAATAAATGGCAAATTATTGTGTCCTGTCAAATCAGAGTAGACATTCTGATCTAAATATGTTTGAATGAAATCAGTGAGTTATGTAGAATTCTTTTATAGTTAAATTTATTTCCACATATACTCCAAAGATCGAAAGGATCCTGTTCTAGCCAAGTTATACAGTTAATCTAAGTTATTAATTCGAATGATATTCTATCTTTTGATACCAGAATATGTATCCAGAACTTTTGCTTGTAATTCAGATTGGGATGGGAAATGCGTTAGTTTAATAATCTATGCTTCTTCTGAAATTTCAAACTTAACTTTTAATTATTTTAATTTATTTAGTAATTAAATTGGTGTCATAACAGATCCTTTGAGTAAATCATCAACCGAACATTTATAACCATTTAGACTGCCTGATTTCTTACCATAAATTTAGATATTTTGAGAGATCTCATCATCTTCTGGTAATTGTGATATTATTAATTCAACTGGAATGGCAACTTAAATTTCTAACCATTTCTCTTTTTCTAATTCTTATAGAAATAGTTAAATTTGTTTTCTGCTGAAATCATAATTCATAGATGATTCATTTAACAGTATCTTTTTGATTTTTGCATCTGTCTATTCTGAAGTTTATAAATGTAACCACTTCTTAGTCAACCAATAAGTGATATCATTTTCGTCTTTAGATATCAAATCATTTGTATAAACACATTCCTACATAAAAATAGCCAAGTTTTCAATTTAAATAAAATTTGAACATATTTCCGCCCTCTAAGTGAAGTAGTAGTCATCACATAAAAATATATGTGAATTGGCTTCTTTATTCAATTCTGTTATATCCAAAATGTAGGTTTCAATATTTAAGGGTAGATACAAGTGAACAGAAAGGAACACAAAATTTTTCAATCCTTCTGGCAATTAGAATCCACTAGGTAATACAATTATATCGATATTTTAAGATGCAAAATCATAATAACTAGCTTATCTTTAATTTTCAGGTTTTTTTTAATGGATTGAGTTACTCTTGAATCCATTTTACTGTAAAGTAAATTGGACTGATTCTACTGCACTGATATTATGGCAGAAGACAGCTATTCCAGTCTTTCTATATAATCGTTGGCTTCGAAGTAAAGCAATCAACGATTTGATAGGACTTTCATCCTTGGAACAAGTGATTTAGGTTTTTGGACTGAAGGATCTAGATTTATTAATAGAATAAATTACTCGCGATACGTTAAGTAGTTCCTATTGAAAGGTTGCATTTGTCGAAGATCCTAAATGAAGACACTTTGAGTTATGGGTAATAGAATGTGGATGAATTCAGCATTGGCTTTTGAGATGTATTTGGTTAGGTCTGTTTGTACTTTGCCAATTTCCAAAAAGGACAAATAATAATTGGATTGATCTAGCAACAGGAGTTTTATTTCTAGATTAGATAGATCAATTAAATTGGCTTGTTCTGGATGTACAATCAATAATTTAATGTTTCTGCTGGAGATATTTTTGACTATGAATTCAATTTGATGAGTAGGAACTTCAGGATTGATGGCTGCCCATGAGATGACATCTTGGATTCTTCTCAATTTTTCCTTGAGCAACACATAATTGTATGAGATTATGACAACCAAGCCATCTACTAAAATAGAGAGCAATTAAAATAAAATTGATCGTTAAATTGTATTTAAATTTAATGAGCAAATAATATTATTTGTAGTATTTCTACATAAGAAATCGATTGGATCAGTGATCAAATCTTCAATTTCTAATTGTTTAATAGCATCCTACAATTTTCTATCGTAACCCTCCGTAATTGGGGTCTTGATCTGTTCGTAATTATTATTTTCTTTAAATGGAGTCATGTTAAAAGAGATGATCTTTTTGACTTCCTCACTAACTAAAAAAGGGATGGAGTTCTGTTTCTTCAATTGTTTAGGAGTGAATGAATAGCCAGAATCAATAGAATCGTTCATATTTAAATAATTAATAATAATGAATTAAAACAGGGAGTGTTAACATCATGAAAAGGTGATGGAGTTATTTTGTGAAACATGCAAGGACCTAGTCTGTAATGATTGCGTTAGTTATGGTCCACATCAAACTAAGAATCATAAAATCATTAGTTTCAAAGATGCCTACACAATCAGATAGGCATTCATTAAGGATAGAATTGAAACCGCCATGAAAAATAAGAAGGAGAATCTACTCGATTAATTAGAGAAGATAGAAACCAGAATGAAATATATCACGGAAGTGAAAGCCACCATTGTCAAAGACATACACATGGAATTCGAGGGAGGTATCTTAAAGAGATTGAATGATCAATCTGGTACATTGACAGCAGTACTCCAGAAGGACATTGCTTGGTTATAGAAGCATTTGAATTCGATTGATGATTTTATTCACACTTTTGAATATTTAGCTTTGGATCAGAATGTGTTACCCTTACTATTCATGTCAAAGACCTTAAGTCAATAAACGATGAAGTTGCTCAGCATCATAATTAAGAGTATTGCAATTCATTATCGCTTAGCTGAAATAACTTCGCATCCTTCTGATCTCCCTAGAGAATTGTTTGATCTCAGAACCAAAATCAAAAATTCAGAAATACTCCAACAACAAATTGAATTCAAAAAGCAAGTCATTTGGAAATGTCGATAAGAGAAGATCCAATCCTTATAGAAAATTAAGGAAGACTTCTTTGTCAAAATTGAAGATGAAATCTATGATTGGGTAAGATTACTTAAAAAAGTGGTCAATACTTTGGATAGTTTGTGTATGATATGTACATTTTGTGGGTGTTTTATTGATGTAGTCAATGAACAATGTGCACTCAATGCTAAACCATATGAAGAAGTTTAGTTAGATTGTATATATATATCTTATTCCAAATTAAGTTACTGGATTTACGAATGAGTTACCTAAAATGAAAGTTTTTGGAACTTGTCAACATTTCTTTGGCTATCCAAGAGATGAGTATTTAATTTTGAGAAAGGATAAATATGCTAACTTTGGAGATTATCAGGAATAACGAAGAGCTGCCAAGGAAGTCTACTTCAAAGTGTTTAGATCACTCTGTATATTAACATCAATATAGTCAAGGGTTCTCCATCATAGATCTAAAAGCCAGGAGATATTTGAAATAACTGGATTTGTAAGCCATATTCAAAAAATACGATCCTGATAACAAAGGCTGGTTGTCCATAGTCAAATTCAAATATCTGATGCATCAAGAATTGGGTATGTCAGTGTAGGAAGTCGAAAAATTAGTCATATACTTTAGAGATGAAAAAGAAGACAAAGTAATTATTAACAATAAGAAGGTCAATTACGAATACTTCCTGGGGATCGATTGGTATTTGGAAGAATTGTAGAGATTGGAAGAACAAGTAAAGACAGAATCTGTTAAATATGCTAAATTGTATAATAGGAGAGTGAGGGTTAAGACTACCTCTCCTCCCCCAAGGTAGGAAACAAAATTTGTAGAAAGACCATAATAATAATAATAATCTACTATTTATAGCAGTTTTACTCGTTTTTCATAAGCTGTTGAAAAACAGCCTGTCCCATAACCTGTTTAATATGAGTAGCCTCGATTTGGATTTATAGACAGAGATAATTCGCATGCTCAATCTGTGAGTAAGCAGTTTCCTCAAAAAAGCAATATTGAATTTTCTGCTGAATCCAGTTTGAAGAGCAAGCAGAAATCCTCTTCTTTGTAACCTAAGAGAGTCTAATTTGAGGAGAAATAAGGATATTAAAGATTTAAGGAATCCGCATAAGTTAGTGGAAATTATGCTTCTAAATATTATTGAACATTGGACTTAATTGACTATTTGAATTATTATAATTAAATTCAAAATGGATAATTATAAAAAATATCTCTTTGATGAGAAATTTCAAGAGCCACAACCTCGGAACACATACTCATTCTAAGCTCAAGAGAGTCAAGAAGAATAACCTGTGGAATCAAATTTTGATGATGAATACAAAAAAGATTTTCTTCAAAATCAAATTAAAAACATTAGAGAAAAATTAATTATGATGGGTTTTCCAAGTTTGGGTGATTTGTATAGCAATTCAAATTCTGAAGTCGATCTTACTGTCAAAGTGTAAGAATAATTCAAATCATTTTAATTAGATTGGTTGCAGTAATTAAATAAAGAAGAGAGGACATGGATTTTAAAAATACCTATCATGAAAGAGTTAATAAAATCGAAGCAGAAAAACAATAACTAGCTTGTAATTTTGAAAGAGTATCAAATAATCGAAAAATACTTGAGTAAGAAAATACAACCTTATAAGCCAAGATCAAGAGCACAGAAAAGGTTCAGAAAGAATAAATGTAAGTTGATTTATCAATATAATAGTAATAAATTGATGTTGGAAAGAGAGGATCTATAAAAATAGCTATCAAAATTATAAAGTAGATCGACTTAATTTGAACATGAAATGAAGTAAAGGGATTTAGAAATTTAAAAACTTAAAGATCACATTAAGAAATAATAGGCTTCAAAAACTTATAAAAATAGTTTAGAAATGACATAACCTATTGAATAAGGGGGTCCAAGTGTTTTTGCAGCAAATGGAGAATATGAATTTAGTCAATTGGTTATGAAAAAATGGGAGGAAGTCAATAATAAATTACTTAGGGAGAATGAATAACTTAGGGAAAATCTAGTCAAGATTCATACTGAATTAGGAGAGATACTGCAAATTAGGAGGGATGTCTATATCAAAAGAAGAAAAATAGATTTTGGGGATGAGAATATTCCACCAGAATTGGATAACCCATAACAAAATATGCATCAATTCAAAAGTGACTTATTCAAGGCTCCTTTAGAAACTAATGGCAAATAAGCTATTTAGATGTTGTAAGAGAATCTATCAACGTTTAAAGAACTAATGAAAAAGTTTGATTAATAGTATGAACTTTAAATGAATGAGGATGAAATTGAAATTGAAGCTGAAGGTGGTAAAATTAAGGCATGTAAGAATTTGACTGAGCTATTCAAGAATTACAATTATATTTTTGAAGCACAGGATAAGATGATAAGTTAAATAATCAATAAGAGCTAAAATTTAAAAAAGATAGACGAATTAAATTTTAATTTAAATAGATTCAATAGAGTGTTGGATGACAAGTAGATTGATGATGTTAAGAAGTATTTACAAGATTAGAAAAAGTATCTAGATGAATAAAAAAATGAGATGGACATGATCAAAAAACAATTTTAACATTAATTGAAAAAAAGGGAGGAAGAGAAATAAATAATTCAAGTATTCTATTTTATTAAAATAATTAGATGAAACGATAGATGCTTGAAGAAACCAATGATAAATTCAAGGAAAATATCAGGATGCTGGAAAATGCAAGTAGACAAGCCTTACAATAACTTAATTAGGATAATAATTGATTAAATATTTAAATATCCAATTATTATTATACAATAAAATGTTGCACCCTTTTTAATCCATCTTCTGTGATAGATAGATAAGATATGAGGAGGATGCAACATATCTCGACAAATTGAAATAACATTCTTTATAAAATAAAAAATTTATATAACTAATTTGTTTGAAAATATTAACTAGCAATTACTATTAAATTATTATTTATAATTCTCTATGAACTTATTGCATCAGCCAAGGAATAATAAAAAACGTCTAACAATTTCAAAAGAATTGGCTTAGAGAAAATAGAGCATTATTTAACATGTTTAATGTATTTTAATTGATTTTTATATTGTAGCTGGTGCTCAATTAGTTAAATAAGATTCGTCTTCCAAATTGAACAAATAAGAGAAATAAAATCGAAAAGCATCTATAGATTCATCACTATATTCGCATTCCTCATTCTATGTTCAAAAAAAGTTAAATATACAAATAAAATAGAAATTAAAAAGAAAAAGAATTAGAGGAGTATGAAGAATACTAATTGAATTCATCTGAGTATTCAGAATAATCCATACCTACAATTCAATATGTTAAATAGGAATCCATAAAAGAGCCTAATTAGTTAATTGAAATCTATAATGATAAGAACCATTAATTTAGAGCTGACTTTGACGAAGTCGCTCAAGATAATTAAAAGCGTGAAAAACTTTCCAAATATCTAGAACTATTTGTATTAGAATAGGACGATCATCCAGAAAATGAAGTAGCATATTCAAAAATAGTTAAAAGATATGAGAAATACTATTAACGCAATCCTTTTTAGGATCCATTTTATATATAATTGGTACCATTAAAAGGAACAAAACGATTATTTTATGAATTAAAAGTAAATTTATATTTAATTTTAAGAAATATTAAGATAACATAAAATTTTTAAAATTTAGAAAAATTGCTGTTTTTTTGTCACTGATATTTCCAATTTTAGCAAATGATATGATGAATACTAGAATCTATAAGATATTGATGACCATATTGATTTTGTTTAATGTCTTTCTATTCATTGTAGTAAAGACAGAACATAGAGAAGACACTTTTGAAATAGAACAAGTTGTTACAATCTTATTTATCATTGAAATTATCATAAGAATCTTGGTTTCTGGGTTCTTTTTCACAAAAAATGCCTTTTTTCTCAAGATGTAGGACATATATGATTTCACTTTAATATTCGCAACTACAATAAATCTGTATTATCCAGAAATATTTATCATTGACATATCTCCATTGAGAATGATTACACTTCTATTTTATTTGGGAGATATCTTTGACGATTTGCAAGTCATGCTCAAAGCACTCAAATAATCCATAAAATTTCTAATTGAAGCATTGATGATAGTTGGACTCTTTTCTCTTTTCTTTGCAATATGCGGTGTATTCCTATTTCAAGGTTTATTTAATTATCGATGTGAATATGATAATGGCGATGAGACAGATGGATGGGTTCAATGTCATGAAAATTCTTGTTATGAAGAAGGCATGACTTGTAAATTTACATCTGAAACTCCAAAGATGCCAACCTCATTTAATAATGTGATCTTTTCATACGGTTAGATTTTAAGAACAATAACAATGGATGATTGGAGTTGGGTGATGTTTTATACAATGAGGATATTTCATCCATGGGTTTGGATCTATTATTTGTTGATCATATTTGTCGGTGGCTTCTTTGGATTCAATCTAGTTATTGCTGTTCTTAAAACACATTATGCAGAGGCAGCAGAGGAGAGTGCAAAGAAACAAGAAGAGGAAGAAATTAATAAGTTAATAAAGGACAATTAAGAATATCCGGAGAGAGAACTCATTAATGTATTTGATGTTGCTTTTCTAAGATACATTGGATTCTTTGCCACTATTCAAAAGTATAGGGAATGTTTTTCAAGCAAGATTATCATGACTTCTCATTTGGAATCTGAATCGTAAATGAATAAAACCATTTCTGAAGCCAGAACATTATCAGCTGCCTAGAAGAAATAAAGTGGTCAACATGTATAATATGTAACATATAAGTTAGAATTTTGAGAATTAAAGTCTATTAAAAAAAATACAAGAATTCACCACTAAGAACTTTTTACTTAGAAAGTTTAGATTGTTAAAATATTAGCAATTGATAATTAATCTGAAGAACTACTCAGAAGATCCTTTGGAGTTGGAGATTCTATCAAAATTATAAAATACTTCCTATTCCTGTTTGTAGTCAGAAGTGAATTACTAAATGGAATAACACTTTTCAAGTTAAAATGACGTTTTATTAAAATTCATGTAATTCAATAAAATATTATTAGTTAGATAGATTTAGCTTTGTAAGAGGAAAAAAAATTTAATCCTGAAAAAATGAGGAAAATCAAGTTTAAATAGCAGTATCCCAATTGGTCTAATTAGGTCAAGTTAATTAAAAAATAAGCTTAGTAATAGAAACTGCAGAGAAGTTATTTTCCTTCGAAAAAGAAGAAAAACAAATGGAATATCAATTTTAAAAAAGATGAAGATAAAGAATAAGATGAAACTAGCAAAAATACTTATGAAATGCTTGAGAAGTCTCCAGAATAACAATATTAAAATTTGAATATATAACAGAAAGCTTCATTAAAGAAAAAATCTAAAAAATTTGCTAAGATTGTAGAGGGTTAAGTTTTAATATTTGTTTAAGGATATTATTTAACATATGATGAAATAAAAGATAAAGTCAATTTAAAGATCCCAATTATAAAAAACAATTTTACTAGCAATTAATTTAAATACAGAAAGTTAAGAGAAAAAGAATTATAGGGTGGTAAAATAATAAAAAAGAGTAATTGGTCAGGGAAGGATGTATTAATATTGAATACAAAGAATCTAGAATATTTCAATCTAATTTTTGTATAATTGAATTAAAGAGATGTTTTGATATGGATGAAGGGATTGAAAGGCAAAATCCTAAACTTAATAAAATACACCAATCTCATTATTACAAGCACAACAAGCAGGGTCTGTTTTGATTTAGTAATATTCATAAATTTTACATTCCTTTCACTTTGGAACATTGCCAATTCTAACACTATCCATTAGGTTGAAAATGTTTCAACAGTTTTACTCTCAATTGAATTGTTGTTAAGAATTACTTCAATTAAAATAAAAGATTTTACTAGTAATCCAAATTACATGTTTTAAGCAGCAATAGTAATTATTAATATAATTGAATTGACAATGAAGGATTTAATGAATGTTTTTGATGAATAAAATTTAAGATTAATCAGAGGAACCAAGTGTTTGTTATTCTATCGATGTCTAAAGTATAATGCTATGGCTGTTAGAATTGGACATATAGCATCAATGACATTTAAACAATATATTTATTTGACATTTCTAATGTTTTTGGTTATCTTTATGTATGCTTTAGTTGGTATGGAAATGTTTGCAGGAGAATTCGATTAAACGGACACATTAGGCTAATTACATTCATATGATAATATTTTCAAGGCCTTCATGACTATTTTTAATATCATGACCAACGATGATTGGTATGGAGTATATGTAATGGGAGGGCAATTAAATTACACCTTTGCAGTAATCTATTCATACTCTATGGTCATTATATTGAATTATTTGACTTATGGTCTATTTATGGCTGTATTACTAGATGGATTTGGAAAGTATTTGAATCAATCAAATGAGAATGCACCTTTATTCAATAATGAATAGCATGCGGAAATCACGCAGAATTCAAATGAGGAATTGGAGAAACAAGTATAATAAACCATTCTAAGTCCAATAGGATCTTAAACTCACATTATTTTAGAGAATAACTAAGCAAAATCTAAAGTTGATTTGATTACCAATTTTTTCAAATCTATCAGTAATATTTATAATTAATTAGTTAGAATAATTGAATAAAGACTTATTGAACAGAACCCCTAAACTATACACTGGAATAGAATGTTAGAATTCTCTCTATATATTTGATAAAGAGAATATCATCAGAAAAGCATGCACAAAAGTTGCCACAGCTAATATCTATGTATATTTTATGGATCTAGTGTTGTATGCATCTCTTATAACTTTTATAATGAATACCTACTATGATTACGAGGAGAGATCAAATAATACATGCGACATCATTTAATTAATAATAAATATATGGATGTCAATTGATATTGTAATAAATGTAATAGCCAAGGGATTGTTTTTGGACAAAGGATCCTATTTTATTTCAGTCTGGTAGATTTTGGATATAATTTATATTATATCTCACTTCATAACATTTGGATCTTCGTAATATGCACAGATTTTAGATTTCTTCTTGTATTTTGGATATCTAAGACCCATGAAATTGTTATTTCGTATTAGTTGGTTGACACAACTAAGAATAGCACTTGGATATTCTTTAGTAGATATCACAAATGTTTTAATTACTATGTTGTCTGTTTGGATCATGTTTGGTGTGTACGGAATAATCCTATATGAAGGTTCGTTTGGTTTTTGTGATGATAAAATGAATTTCGAGATTAGTTACGATTAATGCATAAAAGAGAATAGACACTGGATTAATTATAAGCATAACTTCGATAATATTACAGTTGCTATTCCGACCCTGTTTGTGACATCAACATTGGATGGATGGGGCGAGATCTACTAAGTAGCTGAGAATAGTTAATTGCCAACTATAGGACCTTAGCCATTCAATAGTTATATATATACCTACTTCTTCTTTATAATCTTTGTATTCATTGGATCCATGTTCTTTTTAAGTTTGTTTACAGGAGTTCTGTATTCAAATTTGAAAGAAAATCAGTAGAAGATTGAGATGACGGATGTCACTTAGTCTTAGAAGGAATTTCAAGAGATCTCATCCATAATTATTAAGGATTTCCCAATATTTAGTTCACCTCCCACCAATGGTATTAGAAAATTGGCATCAGATATAACTAATAATTCTTACCTTTTGATTTTCATGTATCTCTTGCTGATACTCGATCTAATAATTCTATTATTATTTGAATCAGATATGAGTGAAAGTTACTTCAGAGCTGTGAATAATATTCATAATGCTTTGACAATAATCTATGTGGTTTGGATCATCTTGCTGTTTTTGGCTTTGGGAGTTGGTAGATTTTTTGATAATTATTGGAGAAGATTTTATTTCTTTTTGATCATAGTGGGCATAATTGATTTTATAGCTGATTATTCGATCGATTGGATTATGATATATTATAGATCGACTCCTTATGACAAGGCTTACTAGATATTAAGGATTTTCTTCTCGCTCAGGAGTTTAAGAGTGATTATTATATTCCAAGGATTAATTAATTTACAAAGATTGATGAGAGTGATGGTGTTCGCATTCCCTTTTTTAGGTAAGATATTTACGATATTGATGATTGCTATGCTTATTTTTGCTTTGATTGGTTGCTAATTGTATGGTCAAATAGATAGTGGAGCAGTGATGGATGATTAAATCAATTTCTAGAATGTAGCATAGGCACTGTTGGCTTTATTCAAATGTGCTTCTGGAGATGATTGGAGAACAATAATGACAGACACAATGCAACACAATCCTCTCTGTCTCGATGATCCTAAATATTGTGGAAGTGTTCACAATCAATATTTCTTCTTCCTTTTTATGCTCTTGTCTAATTATGTATTACTCAATCTCTTTGTCCTTGGATTGATTGAACAATTTGAATAATTCTTTTAATTGCAGAACTCCTTGATTCAAACTTATGTGGAAAACATCGACAAAATCAAAACGGTCTGGTGCAAATACTCCTCTGAGACTCAAGGACAAGCTATGAATTACAAGTTTTTATGTAAGTTCCTGTTGGATATTGGCAAACCCTTGGGAGGAGGGAAGGAGGAGAACCTATGGGATGTGGCCAAATTAGCATCAAGTTTCAAGTTATAATGGTAATTATACATTTCCTAATTATAGTGATCATTATGGTTACATCCAATACAATCAATTAATATATGAATTATTTAGAAGACGTTTTGTCAATGAAGTCTTTAAGGAAGGGTCGGAGAGTTCGATTGTCAAAATTAAGCAATTCAATAAAGAGATGCAATTGAGACTAATGTATTATAGGAAAAATAAACTGTTGGAGAGATCAAACATCAGTCCAAACAAGTAGCTTAAAGCTAACTTTAACATCTTGCATGATTACTTAACTGTCTTGATCCTATTCAAAACTTGGGAATCCTATTCAAAATTGATCTTTTAGAAGATTTGCAGAGAAAATAACTTCTCAGACAGCGATGAAATTTCAATTCATATTGACAAAAAGAGCAAACAAAAGTATTTACATTATTGATATGAATCTAGTTTTAATAATTATGAATTTGACGATGACTTTTCTGAATCTGATAATATGACACAACAATAGTTGAATAACTAGATATCCTAACAATTTAATAACTCAATCAATCAAAATTTAATTCTACAAAATAGCAGTAGTCTCTAAAGTGGTTCAAAGAATCATATTATTGGAAGTCTCAAGAATACAAGTTCAAGAAGAGTCCAGAGTTTCAGAATCAAAAAGAAGGGCAATCAAAAAATCAACATCAATCCATCAGAACCTCAAAACAATGAATAACTTAAACATTACAATACACTCAAAAGTCAGTAGTAGATTGATTAAGAGGAAAAATTACCCTATTACAAAAACCAATTTGATTTGTCTCTCTAAAGCGACTACAAAGAAGGTACATTATTAAATGCAAGAAAAAATTATTGAGATGAATACTTGACATTCTGTTTATATTTAAAGTTTATTATTATAAAGTCAAACAATTTTATGAAATCTTACTGTGACAGAAACCCAAACTGCATAGATATCTTCTGGATAAATCTCCATCTTCACTCTAACAGCATGATATGTTTGATCTCCTCTTGCAGTGAGTACTTCCCCACCAATAGGAGATGTTTTTATATCCTCCAACATCTTCTAAATGTTCATGTGATTGAAACAAATTGGAAAACTCATAAATGTATGCCCTTCAGGTATATAAGTTCTAATAGCAGATTGAAATTCAGTTTATGCAAATTACAATCCTATTTTCAATACTGATACTAAATACCTGTAATCTTTTCGGTTTCATAATTGGCCAAAGCTATCTACATAATGCTTCCCAGTTTTTCATCGTATCTAGTAGCCAAATTAATAACTAACACTTGAAAAATTAATACTTTTTCTATAGCTTCCTATGGCTTCCCTGAGTTATAACTCTAACTTCGGCTCCAATTCATCAGCATGCATTGTTTATCTCAATAAGACCAGTTAGAAATTCTGTGGTTTTAACAGGTTAAGTTCATTTGGATCAACAGCCTTCCATTTAGTATAATCTTCTATATTTAGATCAGTTCTTAACACAGAATCGTTTTCTTAGATGTTTGCATAAAAACACTTATGATTAAAAATACACCCAATTCTTTTATATAACTAAGGAACCTATTTTATTGTATTATCTTTTAAAATACCTTAGGATCATTAAGTTGAAACTTATGACCAGTCAAAGGTTCCCAGAAATTGTATATATATTCAGCCTATTTCTAATTTGGCTATTTTGGTTGCCGTAATCTAGTCATAACCCATCCATGAGGTCTATCAGCTGTAGAACCAAATACAACAAATGCATCTATATTAAACCCAAGAAAGAATGAGCACAATAATAAGCAATGGTCCTCAAAGTCTCCACCTTTCAATGCTAAAAACGTTGGAAACCTATGCCAAACCTCTAATCGGTCTCCAGACGGTCCTCTATCCGAAGTCTTCATTGGTATCAGACTGACAAATCTGGCAGCGTGATTAGGACTCATGATCCCTCTTACACTTTGTAATTCCCTTATAAAAGTGCTGGATGGTCTCCATATTCCATCCTGAGATTCTGAATATAATTTAATTGGCCGAACAGATAATTTAAGTTCTTTAAAATCATTCCACCATGCATTGCCATAAGTATGAAATCTATCGGATATTTAATTGATCACAGATTTCTCTTTGGAAAGCTATGAAACAACTATGTTTTCTGGAAGCAATACTAAGCCTGTTTTTGGCAATAATTCCAAATGAATTTAAAGTATACCAACATGATTCTTCCTCTCATTTTACATTTTTGTATTGTATGTAGTTGGAAGTTCTATATTCAATGAGATATTGCCATAGCATAATAAAAATCTCCATTCGATTAATTTTTGTGAAAATAACTTTCTTTATCCATTTTAAATTTAAATTACGCATAATTCAATAGGGTGATCTAATTTGCTTAAAGTCAACAAATCCACATTCGCCTTTTGAGCATCAGTTCTCAAATCAAACAAAAATAGTTCATTAAACTCAGGTTCTACTGTGGCATCAACTGTTGCAGATGCAAATCTCTGACCACAGAAACTTAAATATAACTGCAATTTGGAATTTTCAGGTTCTATAAAATCCAAGAAAGCTCTTCCCTTGTAAATACGCAAACTAACTGACCGATAATTAATACGATCTGGGTCTACGAATGTAAGCTTAATATTCTGATTTGATCATACTTGTTTATTTTATTTATTAAACTCATCTATTTCATCCAAATGTTTGATATCCAAGATGAGGTTATCAATGAGATTAGTCTCTCTGAGTAATTTGGTCAATTTTTCATTATCCAAATCATCAATTTGAATTTTTTCACTTTCGATTTTCTTCTTCAACTTATCAAACACTTCGCCTTTATCGAAATAATTGTTGATTAGTTATCGAATTTTAGTTATTTGTTCTTTGGAATACATAATTTAAATATATAAATTAATTAATGGACATATAAGACGCCTCTAGAGTTGTTTACATTTGTGGAAGTAAGTTACTTATGCTAAAATAGAGTGTGGAAAGGATGTTTAACTTGAAGCCAAAGACATAGTCAGATGTCAATGTGGTTACAGAATCCTATATAAAAAAAGAAAGGCAGATCCAAAGAATCCCCCCCAGTACGAAGCAATCTGAATTATTATCATTTATCTATGCCAATATACACTTCCAATCAACTAAAACTGAATCACTTGTCCTCTTCAAACAAACATCAATGCAACTAAAATTTTAGTATAATAGGTTTGCAATATATAAGCATTAAATGAGGATTATGCTAAAATTTACATTCTAATTTCATATCAATTGCAGTATTAGTATCTTTAATGATTAAATATTACTCTTTATAAATTATCTGAGTAAAGAGAAATGATAATAAATATCTTTGTTTACGTATTAATGCAACAAGAAATTTAAGCATTCCTCCTTGTTCCCAAGGATTCTGATTTCACCATCAAAAACATTCCTTTCGGTGTTGCATCCAAAACTGATGGCCTTCCCTTTCCAGCCACCATCATAGGTAATTCTTACTCACTAATTCGATTAGGTGATTCTGTGATCAATTTGGCCAAACTTGAAGAATTGGGATATTTTAATGGACCTCTATTTTCTGCTTTAGGATCGAAAGTCTTTGACAATGGAAACTTAAACAAATTTGTTTCTCTCTCAAGACCTTATTGGAAAGAAGTCAGATCTTAGATCCAATCTTTATTTTCAACTGGAAGCCAATTGGAAAACAACAAAGAAGTCTTGGCTTAGGTTATCACACCTGTTCAAGATAGTAAATAATTTATATGAAGTAGCCAAAAATCATTTGCCAATCACAATTGGAGAATACACTGATTTTTATTCTTCTAAGAATCATGCTTTTAATATGGGATCTATTATCAGAGGACCTGACAATGCCATGCAACCAAATTGGTACTATTTACCTGTTGGATATCATGGAAGAAGATCATCAATTGTTGTTGATGGAACAGATATACGAAGACCTTGGGGTTAAGTTAAGGCTCCAACAGCTGAGAAACCATCTTTCACTAAGTGCAAAAGATTAGATTACGAATTAGAAATTGGAGCAGTTATTGGAGGAGCTCCAAACAATTTGGGAGAACCAATTAAGGTGAATCAAGCCGAAGATAGAGTCTTTGGGTTTGTGATTCTGAATGATTGGTCAGCCAGAGATGTTCAAGTCTGGGAGTATGTACCCCTAGGTCCATTTGGAGCCAAAAACTTTGCATCCACCATATCCCCTTGGATTGTCTCCATTGAAGCATTAGAACCATTCCGTATTTAATTACCAGAACAAGATCCAGAACCATTCGTCTACTTAAAAGAGAAGAAGTATTTATCAATTCATAATGAAGTCATACATCATTCGATATTAATTTGGAAGTGCTCATTGGAACAGAGAAGAGTCCTGAATTGGAACATTTCACTACCAGCAATTTTAAGTATATGTATTGGAGTGTGAATTAATAAATTGCTCATCATTCCATTACTGGATGCAACATTTAACCAGGAGATCTCTTTGGATCTGGAACAATCTCAGGAACAACCAAGGATGGAAGAGGATGTTTAATGGAATACACATGGAATGGAAAAGAGCCTTTGGTATTGAAATCAGGGGAACAAAGATTGTTTTTGGAGGATGGCGATGTCCTTGAAATGAGAGGATATGCAGGAGAAGGAGAGTAAGAATCATATATATATGTTTAGAAATCGCGTTGGATTTGGCAGATGCAAAGGAAAGATTTTACCTGCTTTAGATGAGAATTATTTCTAATAATGAAAGTTAAATATTATCAATATTAAAATTTATATTAAAATATGGGCAAAAAGACAACATTACTCTTTAAATTAGTGAGTTCAGCTGGCACAGGGTTTTATTATTATGGAGAGAAGAGCACTAAGTAATTGGAGCATTATTAAAATAAGGAAAGTGGGCTCTAAATTGATCTTAAGAAAGTATGATCCATTGGTCAACCAATATGTTATCTTCACAGAGGCTAAATTAGCATCAGGAAAGAAAAAGTGATTTCATACGACATAGCAAAATATATAATTGTAATTTTATTCTTATTTTAAAGAAAAGCGATTAATTATTTTATTTCATCATTTTTCTATTTTATTACCTACCATCATACATTAATCTGCACAAACAATTATTTCGCCTTTTCCCTACTCTAAGGTTTGGTATTTTCATATTCTAAGATATCATGAAATATTTAAAAATCTTCCACAATTAATTTAAAATCAATTACAAAGTAAGCAAACCAAAAAATTAAGGCTGAATTTATTAATTATACATAGATTGTTGATACTCTAGCTTTACTGTAGCTGTAATTTAATAGGAATCCTAAATTAAAAAGAAGATATTCAGAAATAATTTTAAGACCTTTTTAACGAATTCAGCAAGAGAAATTACGTTTCCTTGTTCTTCTCAGAACATTCTTCAAACTGTTATAATTATTCTTAGAATAAGCCTAAGATTATTTTAATCAATAATTATATAATATTCTTCCATGAATTCAGGTAACCAACGAAAACACAGAAATATTTTGTAAGCCTACATAAATACTGTCTAATTTGAAGAAGAAACTCAGCAGATGTCAGGAAATATCAATTCAAGCTAACAATTCTTTGATTATTCCAAAAAGTATAGTTCATCTTTATTTAGAATTAAAACGATCGACAAATTTTTGAGGGATCTTCAGAACCTAAAGCAGATGCCTTTCTATAGAATTGAATGAATTAGATGAATTTTTTTTATGTTTATATTTTTAAAAGTTGAGATATTTTTGAGATGTCCAAACAAATCTAAAATTTTACAAGAAAGACATTAGATTTTGGGGATTGAAGAGAATAAGATCGTTTCATTTCTAAAAATAGATAAAATTTTGTTTATATAAGTTTTAATCAATATACTGTGTTTTATAAAATTCAATATTTTTTTTATGAGGCACTTTACGGTCTTACCATTCTACCAGAACTTGAGGAAGGGTCATCTAAAAATTAGGATTCTTTAATACTTGCTTTATTTTGATTTAGCATCGGGTATTTGAATCCAACAGTAGTCCCAACATATTTCTAATTATCCGTAGTGTAATTAACTTAATTTGGATCTAAATTTTTTTATTATATTTACTTAATTCATAAACTTCAGAATTTTCATAAACCAAATCTTTTGGCCTCAAATCTCCTCTTACTAATTTAGCTTAATTTAAATCTTAGCTTTTCTTTGAATAAAATTAATTATTACATCTAGAGTTTTTGTTAATTTAGTTTTTCCTGAGCAAACCAAACATCTCTATGTAACAACTCTATGATTTCCAGTTAAGATGCTAACAGTTTCTTATTGATTAACACTAAATATATTTATGAAATCATACTATAGCAATGTTTGTAGATAATTAGAAAATTCCTCTAATTCCTTCATTCCTTTAGCTAGAATACCATAATTTTCAGCCATGGTTTTATATTTTTCCTCTAACGCTGTAAATTTAGCCTTTGTGTCTTCTTCATTTGCTTTTCTATAGATTATATAAATATTATTACTCTGCAAGCTGTTTCTATAAGTCAGAGTTATCATTTGATGTCATTTATTTCATATACTTTCTCATTTTTTTATCAAGATCTTGTAACCCTTCCATTTTCTTTTTTAAATCAGCTATATCATTTAACAGGTTTCTGATGAACATCTCGAAAGACATGTTCTCTCCACAAGCTTAGCCAACAATCTGTAGTATTCTTGCCCTTAATAAACTCATAGGTTATGATATCTCTTTATCAACTATAGAGATAATATCTTCTTTAGACAATTATTATTATTAAGGCGCTTATTTTAAAAGATTTAATTGTTGAAGGAATCTTTGTTCATTAACATCAATTTTTCTTTTCAATTCATTTTCTAATAATCTCAATTTGTTTTCTTGGTCTGTATAATCACTTTTTAATCTTTTAATATCAGCTTCTAAAGAACAGACTTTGTGAGGATCAACGTCACTTTTTCCTCCTTTTGCTTGTCCATCGAAGTTTTCAGTTTTAATTTTTAATTCTTCAATGTCTTTTCTATTTTATTCTCCCCTATACTAGCAATCAGCAATCTTATCATCCATTGATTTGATTTAAGGTATCAATTTTTCTAATTATAAAATGGCGTCCATTTTTCTGGATAATTCTCCTACTTTATTTTAAAGCTCAACAGTTCTATCACTTAGTATTTGTTTAGTTTATTCGAATTTTTCAAGAGGTGTATATTTTTGCTAGATTGTATCATTCATTTCTTTCAATTGAATTCTTAATGTTTTGAAATTGTCTTGATTTCTTTCTTCATTGTATTGAAATTTGGCCTTCAATTCCACCATCTCATTTTGAATTCCTTTGATGCCTTCGTCCTTTTATTTGGCTATATCTCTCATTACTCTATCATAAACACCTTAACAGGATGATTCCACAAATTTGTCATTGATTCTTTACTATAATAACTTTTCACAATCACTTATTTTCCATAATGTTTTTTTCTCTAACTCATTAATACTTTATTGTAACTGATTTTAATTTTAAGTTGCTGATCTCTCTTGATCCTAAAATCGTTTAGTAAGTTTCTTATTTAAATCATCTATTTGATCTGACAATTTAGTTTTTTGTTCTTTCAAACCCTTATCCAAATCATCTTTCAATGCTCGTTTCATAAGATCAGCCTCCAATTTATTGAGTTTAGCTTCCCAATCTTTACTTCGCTTGAATAGATAAGCCATTCCTTAACCGAACACTCGCTCTTTGTTGATCACCATACAGATGGCATTCTCTATTTGATCTGACCCATTTTCAGCCAATGGTTTCTCCAACTAAAAAGAAACCTATTGTTCGAATTCTGGATCACGAAGAGACATTGATCTTGCAGTTCTCTGCAAATAGGTTTCATACTATTTGTTTACATGATTAAATCATACATCTTGCAATTTCAGTACTTGATTCAATTAGATTTATAAGTTGTTTAAATAGGATGAATGCCCATTAACTGTGTTAGTAACTTTCTCCAAATAACTTTTAAGTTGTTCAGCTCTTAGGTCAACTTAAAATAGTGTCTCTTCCAATAATAGAGTTGCTGCTTGTTATGCTTTCATTAATTTACAAAATTTATTATATATTAACTTATTCTTATATTAATCATTTCTTTATAATATTGTTCCGCCTATTATATGTAATCAAGTCCACAGTACATTTAGTGGCTCGAACCTATCTAATTATTTGGGCAGGGTACAAAACATAACACAAAAACTATGTAATAATTCTTAATTTATTTTTATCCAAATTGATCCTTACATTACTAAAATTAAACTTAGGATTGTAATGGATGAAATTCTGAGGCTAATCAAACTCCAATGTTGTGATCAACGGCGTTTCTAAATTTTTCTTGATATAGTAATCTAAAGTGTCTAATAACTTCAAATCTATTCCTCCTATTTACTTTAAATAGTCATATCTAATCTACATCTATTTCAATTATGATAATTTGCTAAAATAATTAGTTCTTGCTCTGAACGAATCGAAAGCATGCATGATAAATTGAGGATATGATCTATTTATCATCACTACTTTACGAACCAACCATTAAAATTTCTATTTTATCTACTTCGTTGCTTTGATCCCCAACTTGATATTTTTATAGCAATCCAAACTGTTGATTAGAATTTGATCATCAATCTTTTCTGGTAAATCGTATATACGAACAATGTCGCTATTTTATTATTGTATAATAAAAGCATTTTTCTCTAGTGACTATTTCATAAGCTTTGCCTTTTAACTGATCTTTCTCCTCTGATGATATTTTCGACCTTATTATTTATCAATCGTAAATTATTTAATTAATTTTTCCTTGTCTGCCACATAATGAACCTATGGACATTCCTTTGAAAAATGGTGATTTGATTTGCAAATATAACAACTTCTTGGGAATATACTAGTTTCATTCCCATTAAATATCAAATAATCCTTTATTTAACAATATATTTCATAATCTGCTGGGTATTTTGCTAAGATTTTCAAGAATTTCCCTTGGGATAAAGTCATGACCAATGAAAATCCTTGACTTTTATAGATTTCTGGTTATTCATTACCCAATAAAAAGGATATTAACCCTAGAGTATTGCCTTTACAAAAAGATTTCAACTTCAAATTGCATTATTTATCTCCAAATAAATCAATTTTCCCTTATTCAATGTAAACTAATTGATTTTTCTGAGCCACCAAAGATTCAGGAGGCAAAATCTTTCTCTTCAAAGACTTTATGAGTTCTGCCTTAAAAGCTGCAGTAAACCTGTACCTGAACAATGCACATTAATTCAAAATTATAGAATTGGACTCCTAAACTAATTTATTCCTTAGCATTTCAGACAATTAATTTATTATAACATTAACATCCTAGGCCTCCTATTCCTTGTCTAATTACCAAAAATAGTCCAAGTATTATCTTACCTCATGTTGTAAATTAAAGGGAATTTGTTTTCTCTGCATAAAAGAGTTGATAATTCTGAGCTTTCTTCTCTTGTCTTCCCCATACTCTGTGATATTCTGGACAATCATTCCAACTGTATTAATACTATAAGGTAGTTAAAGACTTGAACACACAATAAAAAAACAGCAGACTATTTTTTCTAGATTACTTTATGGAGTCACATCACCATACCCAACTGTAAAGATGGTCACAGCAGAAAAGTATACAGAATGCACATATTGAACAGTCCAATCCTCATCGACTACTTTTTCCATCCAACTGTTACCATATGCTCGATGGCTATATTCTCCAATCTAATTTTATTATAAATTTATGTAATACATAAAACCAAAAGCAAGAAAAGAAATGAACTATAAAAAACAGAGCACCAATCAATTTAATCAACTCTAAAATAGATGAGGCTTTCTTATTCAGATTTAATCCTTCCTCATAATAGATCAGGCACTCCTATATTGTACTATAATGAACCAAAAATGTTATTAATGTTAGATATATCCTATAATCCTTTATTTTAATCTGAATTTCTTCATCCTGTGTCAAAATTAGATATATTAATATTTAAATTGTTGACATCCATTCTAATCCATAGCACTTCAAGAAATTATGTTTTACTATCTTTTTTCTATCAGTTACTAATATGCCTTCAGTATAATAAGAAGTATTTAGTCCCACTAATAAATCTCCTAAAAGAATTAAAAGAAAAACAAATGATTAAATATAATAGAGATCAAACATGAATGAGTATTTATTCCACACTACATCAAGAGGTATTAAAAATAAAAAGTATAATCGAGAAACCAAAGATGCCAAATCCCAAACTATTTTAATAGGAGATTCTGGCTTGAATAATTCAATCCGACCCAACCATAAGAATAAATTACCAAAATATGTAGCAATTATCTTCTTCATCTTTTCTTAAAATTTATTTTTCAATTCCATCTCCATGTGAGTGGAAAGTAACTTGAAGTTCAAGTTGAATCCATGTTATTATTTTGATGCCGCATTATCCCCTACATAATCTAGCAACTCATTTGATATTGAACTGTTGTCCTCCACTCTCTTCTTTAAAGCATTAAAAAATCTTCTAACATATACAAACTTCCTTTCTGATTTAGTAGGTGGACTTTTAAAGGAATCCGAAAAAAAATGATGACCTAAACTACTGTGATTTTGAAACTAGCCTACTATTTCACTCTATTCAGTATTGAAATAAACCCTATTTTTTGGTGTTTTCACTTCCTAAATCATTAAAATCCTATATTATAAATAAAATTAATGAGACAATAACCTTAAAAACACAAAGATTTCAATGTTGAATTTGAAATACAATGAAAAAAATCATAAATTAAACTAAAAATTCAAAGGTTTTTCTACTGATTGGATTTTTATGTCAAAAAGATTGACATTATATGTTTCATATTCATATAAAAACTTTTAGAAAATCAAAATTAATTTAATTGTTATTTTTTACTTGATAAATGATCATTAATAATTGAAATTCCTCTGTCCATCTAAAATGCTTAGATATCAGACTTCGTATTACTTCAATAATTATGAAATTTTAGAAGTTAATAATTAAGATTTTAAATTCAGATAATTAAAAAAACGTTATCAAAATTTTAAAATTAAAAATAAACTTTATATATAAAATAAAAACTAATTGATTTGACATATTATTTGAATTTATTAAAATACTACAGAATATGCATCATCATAATATCATTCAATTATGCAATGTCATTTTACAACGTTATCAGCCGAAAAACATATTACTGGTTTTCGTTTATTCATTAATAAGAAAAATCCAACTTAAGATAGATTAAACTGTTTAATTATATCACCAGGATATTAAAAGTACTAAATGAATTTTTTTAGTATGTTTAGATTTTCGAGAAAGGTTTTCTATTTCACAATTGAAAAGTTATCTTTCCTAAAATAAAACTTATATGCTTTTGGACTTTCAAATTCTAAGTCGTCTATATACTATTTATTCGATAATTTTTAAATGATTAATGACATATCAATTTGATACTTAGCAAACTATTTGCTTGCTATTTAACTTATATTCTTACATCTTTATTCTAAAATTTATAAAGTCATGCTAACCTACCGTTATTCTATCTACTTTTCATATTGAACATACGTTTAAATTAAAAAATAAGGATAAACTTTATTTATTGATATCAATTTATTAACAAGACGCTGAAACTTTTTTTTAATTAATTTTTAAGTTTGATCTTAAATTGAAAAATATCTTTCCCTCTTATTTTATGGATGATGATGATTGATGTTCTGAAATGAAGTCGTTTACTTAATGTTACGTTTTAATTACTAATCTTCATCTATATTATACATGTGATCAAATCTATATAATTGAAATAATATCGGTTCATCTTTCTGGATTAACAAAGCACATTATTCAAGCTTCTTTTTATTCAGAATTAATGAATTCACTTTTTTTCTTGATCTATCAAATTGTTTCCTAGTTTGTTACTAAGGATACAGATGTTTTTTAATGATAAACTCCTTATTCGGAACAAATTTGATTAATGGGCATTCAATTAATTTATGAGATTGCTTCCCACATGAAAAACAAGTAACAGTAAAGTACTAATCATCTTAATAAAATATCATTTTATCTCTTACAGCACAAAATAATTCTTAATCCTCTGGATGTTCCTGTAATATTTTAAGAAAATTTCTCCGCTTTAATATCATGGCCTTAGTAAATCCAACACTTTTATAGCTCTCTAAAGACTCAGTACCCATAATAAAGTTCTTAATCCCAATGGAAGCCCCTTTATTAACAATCCCTAAATTAATCTTTCTACCTTCTTGTAAACAAATTTGAATTGAACCGTCCTCAATATAATAGAGTAATATATCATTAGTTGACTTTAAATCCTATTCTGGAGTTAGTAGCACTTCCTCTACCTCCTTAATCAATTGCCTTTTAAATTAATCACTAAATGGTATTTTAAATAATGTGCACTGATCAAATATTTTCTAATGGGCTTCACTAATTAATTGCTATCTCAAAAATTCAGATAAAGAATCAATAATTTCCTTTTCCTCTTCAGATTAAGATACTACTTTGTTTTCCCAATAATATGTTAAATACTATCTTATTTTCATTTTCAAACCCAAAGACATTGAACTCTTATTCATATAAGAATTGATAATCCTTAACTTCCTCTTTCGTTCTTCAGAAAAAGCTGATATTTCTTTGATAATATTTCCTACTGTATTAACACTATAGGGGAGCTGAATACTTGAAATCATAATCAAGACAATCGACACAATTTTCTCAAGACTAGATTGTGGTGTCACGTCTCCATAACCAACTGTGAACATTGTCACTGCTGTATAATAAAAAGCTTATAGATATTGGGTGTTCCATTTCTATTCATACATGTTAGTTGCCATGATCCAGCTCTTTCCTTCATAATTTTCAATGCTATATCTTCCAATCTAATTTAGTATATTAAAGTTACCCAAAACCAAAAACAGGAAAATAAATGAATCACATAAAATAAAAAGGCTATCAATTTAAATAAAGCAAACAAAGAGGATGTTTTCTTTGAGATGTTCAATCCTTCCTCATAGTTTGTTGCATAGTTTATTATAGTTTTGTGATGAACCAGAAATATCAACAAACCTACATTGATTACATTATTCTCAACATCAAGTGAAATATTGACAAATCTGTCTGTTATGAAATAAATTAGCAACTAAAACACTGATAGCCACTATAAACCATAAGTGTTATATAGACTTTGTTTCACAATCTGGACTCTGGAGGTAACCGCTTCTCCGTTTGAAAAGTACACTGTATTTAAACTGATCAATAAATCGAATATTAAAATAAGCAGAAAAAGTATTGAGATGTATTTAAAATCATGGAATATGAATTGCTATTGAACCCAAGCTAAATCAATAGGGATTATGTATAAAAAATATAATCTTGCAGTAACAGCCACAATATCCCATATCATTTTCATATATTAACTAGGATGTATTAAAGGTAGTTTTTCGAGTTAAAGCATTAATGCTTCTTGAAGCTTTTAAAAAAACCTTAGTTATTTCTGATTTAGTTGAGAAAGCGTAGATGACTTTCTTTAAAAAAAAATCTCATCGGAAGACCCCTTATCCCCAATTAATGACAAATGAAAATTTTTTATTTTTTTTGTTTTGCGAACAGGATCTAACAAATTATCAGTAAATTTCTTCACATAATCATTCTTTTTTTCATAATTGAAAGGCTTCTTACCATTTGTTTGGAAGAAATAAACATCAGCATAAAAAGGAGATGATTTTTGAAATATCGATTTACTACTGTTAATTTTCGCACTGTATAAACCTGATTCACTTTATTCTGACAACAATTTTGCCTCAACTCCTGGGACGATTGTATTTTTTTGATTCATATTTAATTATTATATTTATAATAATCTTTACTTTCTGAAACCAAAATGCGATAATTCCCTTAATTTTGAGACTATTTATCTATATAAAATCTGAAATTGGATTAAATTTAACAATTTAATTGATAAAACTCTACATATGGCAGACTATTGATTATTCAAAACTTAACATACACTTTAAAAACATAGATGCATAGGTTTAACAAAGGTAGATCAAATGCTATTAAAATAATGTAAATAGATTAATAGATAACTAATTTTATAAATTTCATTTTTAATTATTCATTTCCAAAGTAATTTAATTTAAACTCTTGTTCATTTTATAATTTAGTCTTTTAAACTCTCAACTTTATGGATCAAAGACAAATATGATAAAATTAAATATCAATAAAGTAGAGTACTTTAGATCAATATATTTAAAGCGATCAAAAAAATAATTTATCAAGGACTTTGACTTAAGAAAAATATAAAAATATTATCAAAATATTGATTATAATTCAAATTTAAACAAAGTCTCCATATATATTAGAATTAAATAATTAAATTATAGATTAACTTTAAGAATTAATTTAATGTTCCATTGTTTCAAGGACTTTACTTTCACATTTCATTGAGATTATAATTAAATTAATGCTTTCTGATTTAGTTTACTACAAATAAGCATTATTTTATTTTGATTTAATCTCAAAATACACTGAAAATGGTGTCATTTAAAATTTATTATTATAATTAGTACCTTTAAAAATGTGTTGAGCACCATGCTTTGATATGGTTTTTACAGAAATCACTCTCAAGATATTAATTCTTTTAGAATAATAAAATTCTTTAAATTATTTTAAATGCAACTATTATGCTAAATAACGATATAATTGTATAAATTTTAATAATTTCGTTTGATATTGCTTTAGATTTAATAAATAATTTTAATAAAATTGATATGAGCTGCAATTTCTAATAATATTTAAACCAAAGAGATTATAATATAAATTAGGAGATTTGGTATTAATTGTAAATTATAAAAATGGATATTTTTTAATTTGAACTATTTGATTTTTTTCAATTTACTTAATCAAAAAATTAATCTTATTTATGAAGCAACCTTTTATGTAGTATCTTTTCTTAATTTTGATTTAAAAATTCAATAAGGTAGAATCATATGAATAAATTAAAATTCTAATATAAATCCGAATATTCTATTAAGAATTCACAATTGGAAATTAATATCTATTTTGGTTTAAAATTTGTTTTACTTAGATAATAACTAAAGGAAAATAGATTATCAATAGCATTGAATGAAGTACTTAATCATTCTTATTATCAAGTAGATGTTTGTTATGGAAAATGATTTGTAGATGATTTCAATCAAATTGTATCCATAATAAATAGTTAATTAGATAACTTAGCTTATATTTGGAGATATTGGCGAAATGATCTTGTTGGCTGAATAAGGTTTGAGATAAGAGGATTTATCTTAATATAGTGATAAGGTGGGATTGCAAGTTGATGAATGATATTAAAATATAGTAGAAAGAAATTGTTTATTAAATAATTTAATGATAAAGAATTACGGAGACAGATATCACCTTATTGACAAAAAGACTTTGGAGGAGAGGAAGTTGGATATTGATTAACTAACAGAATTTGTAAAATCATCAGGACTAATCAATATAGGGAAAAAATACAATATTGTGTCAATTATAGGTAGTCAAAGTACAGGGAAAAGTAAGTTACTTAACTACCTTTTGGAACAAAATTTGATGTTTAGAATAGGTAAGAAAGTGTGGGTTAAACAACTGTTGGTATTTGGATCTCTAAAGATGTCTAAAATAATGTTGTAGTGTTGGATGTGGAGGGATCAGATTCTGTAGAGCGAAAATCAGGAGAGAATGTAAGTGATCCCTATTAATACCTAGATGGTTGAAAATCAAACAGCATTAATGGCATTAGCAATGTCACATTGTTTTATTATCAATGTATTTGTTAATGCCTTAGGTTAACATACAAGTTGTTAATTATCTATCATCAAGATCATTATGCAATAGAATTTAAAGCTATTTCAATAAGACATAGTTAAGCATATTATTTTTGTTGTAAGAGATTGGAATGAGGAGTATAACTATGAGGAGGCTTCTCGTAAGTTGAATGGTTATTTATTGAGCATATGGAATGAGATACCCAAAGTAAGATTTCGATCTACCATAATAGCCTGATCAATATAAAGAGACAGATTTCCATAAGTTATTTAGTGTATAAGTAGTTACACTGGTATGTTACAAATTGAAAAACGAGTTTGCTGAATAAACAAATTAGCTTCATTCAAAATTGGCCAATGAGTAGGATCCTAATTTCATTTTTAAAGATTTTGATTATGAGAAAAATGTAAGATGGTCAGACATGTCATAATATTTATTCAATATTTGGGTGGTCATAGCAAATAATAAAGATTTGAATTTACCAAACGAGAAGATTCTGATTTCCAATATGAGATGCTAATAAATCAAATTGGAAGCATTGGAAGGAGTTAAGAAATTAAACGAGGTAGAATTAGCATGGTCTAAATATAGGATTTTTAAAATAGAGTAAAAACTGAGTTTGTTGATGATTTTGGTTAGTAATGTTTATTAATTTTGGGTGTGGCCAAATAAATATATGACAAAGATGCCAGAGATTATCATTTTGATGTTTATAAAGAAAAGGAAAAAGAATTAATGGACGAATTAATGAATAAATTCTATACTTACTTTTAAATATATACTGAATCACTTAAACAACATTATATGAATAGGTTATCAGAGAATCTAGAGATATTGAAGGGAGAAAGTATTTAATAAAATGATTGGCTTAGATATCTACGATTTACCTGATAAGTTGTTCGAAGTGGATTTGTTAAAAAGGGACTTCGAAAGTTCATTATCAAATTCTGTAATTGAAGAGGGGTTGTGGTAAGAGTAAGACCATACTAAATTCTTTTATAAATAGTTTGATAATCAGGTAAAATAGTTTGTTGAAGCCTAATTAGCAACATTTAAATAACAATTGGACAACATCATAAAATTTGAATGTGAAAAGATTGTGAGTTCATAAGTTCTCAATATCTCATCTAAATTTTGGTTTTAAATCGAGAAAGATTATTACTAGATGATTTCAGATAATTATTATAAATATGATATATTATTATTTGGATTGAGAGTACAAAAGAAATAGATTGATGAATATTTGAGCAAATTTGAAGAAGATAGTTTTTATAATCTCAAATAAGTAATTGCAGTTGCTAGTGGCAGATTTAAGGATTAGTTACTCTAACAATTCAAAGCTTAATTCGTTAGAGCTCAAGATGGACAACCCAGAAATTGGTAGAAAATGCCTGAAGAACAAATATTCCTTATATACTCTGAAGCTAGAGACAATGTCCTCTCATTATTAGATTTACTGAGAATTAGAAAACTTAAATTCATAAGAATGCAATCTAATCTGAATTTTAGCGCAAAAACTTCTTTCTCTCCTTTTAACCAAAAAATCTCATATGAAATCTCCTCCCATACTGATTCTGATGATGTTGTAATGAATGAAGTTTTTTACACATAAGTTAAAATGCAATTGGCAGAAGACATCGATGTCTAATATTTAGATGCCATTCAGAAACATGTACATATGCTGTGTTTTCTTAGAAACCAGATTTCTTGTAGAATGTTCCAAAGCCATTTTGGTTCTTATTATTATTCTTCATGTATGATGATGTCTTAAGATGGATGGGTAATCCATTGTTCCTTTACCCATCTTTGATAATCTTATGTTTTATTGGATTTTGCATTTCTATAGGTTAATTGCTTTTGTTATCTTTTGTTAGGTCTACATAGTCTACCCAAACTGGCATATTAAACTATCTTTAAAATAATTCATTAGGCTGTGTTACCCCTGATATTTGGAGGATTCTCAAAATGAAAAAGAAGTCGAATGATTATTTTAATAATCTATAATAAATATATTAAATGTTGACTAAAAGTGTAAAAGGTGACTAATTGCATTAAACAATCACTACAGTATCGATAACATAATTAAACCTAGATAAATTATAGATCGATAATAACTTCAGAGAAGAGATAAGGCGATATCCCTCGATACATGAATGGAAAATGCAAAATAAAACTTCGCAAAGAAAAAAGCTATTTGCCTTACTTGAATATCAGAGAACCCTCTCTGCCGACGTTGAAATCGCCTGTTAATAAACAATAACAGCTAAACAGCATGAGTTGGATATCATTAATTTAAGTCTAAAATAAACCCAGAGATAGGTCGATTTCTATTGCCAATGAAACCTATTTCCAAAGAACAAGATAAGGTAGTTTTTTAGATAATCTCCTTAAATAACTAAATAAAAATAAAAGATCATCTTGAATTTTTGATTATTACATATGACTTCGTAAAATAGTGGTTCTGTTTAATGAACATCAATTGTACATCCCAATTTAACCTTTTAATGGTTCTGCAAATAGAGAAACTATTTTTAATCTAGTAGGATTCTACTTTTAACTAATCGAATAGTAATAATTAATCAATTATTAATTTATGTAAAATATAAACATAGTTTGTTTGTCCATCATTTTTTTGGAGAAGGAGAACCAGCATTTTCATTGTCCTCTTGTTAAAGCTTTTCCAGAAATCTCTCAAAATCCTTCATTCTAATTTTCACAGTTGAAATACTAGATGTTGATCTTTGAGTCATGGATCTATGGGATAGAAGCTTAACAATAAATATGGATTTATACTGATAATAAACTGCTGTTCCTCTTTATTGATTTTTTGTTTTCTGCTCTAAACAACTATCTAAATGTATCGAAATCTAAACTTTCATTTGAAACTTCTAATTATTCCAATAATTCATCAATATCGAAATTCAAATCGAATTCAACCGACAATATTTCGATTATTTTATTTTTATGCACATATCCACTCGCATCAGGTTCACCTCCAAGTGCCACAAATGCATCAACTATAATCATATTGTAATTCACTTACTAAATTCACTATATTATATTTGTTCATCGTTCTCCTTTACCTTGTTCTCAAAGTCTTTGCAAACTCTGGTGATATATAATAATGTTTGGAAATCAAGCTTTGCTGTATTCCTGTCCTCAATTTCCTTGAAGATCTTCTCCTTGCAATTTTGATTTATTTCAAAACCAAATTCTTATCTAAGAAATACTAAATACCCTTTAACAAATCCATTGTGTCATGGTAAGTTAAGAATCCAACCTTGTTATAATCCATACGTTTGAACATCTTCATTAGAGAATCAATTTCATTCTTCTGCAAATCGCAAGTTGTGGTATATTTTAGCAAAGAATTATAGTCAATCTAAACACTTTTCATATTGCTCTAATTGATTTTCTAAGAAGATTGTTATTCTACAATCTATAAACTATTCACATTGTTATCCATTTCAAAAAACCCAAATTTTATATTATAAAAATATTCAATCTAAAAAGACATAACTTAAATATTGGACCATCACTTTATTGATTAGAATCTCAATTGAAGTATTGTTACTATAAGTAGCCTAATAGATGAGAATTGATTTACAATACTCTACAGTATTATTGTAAATAAATCATTTAGTGAAAGATCTATTAATACAGAATAATAATTTTACAAATAACATTTTTAACAAATTAATTGCATAGTTCTAATTTGATCATTTCTAGTATTTTAATTTTGAAGGATAAGACTAAGCGATAATCAAATTGAATCAATTATCCATGAAACTATATAAGATTTGGATAAATAAAATGTGAATGATAAATTAATTAATAAAGAGCATTACCTGCAGAAAACATAGCTTCAAATTAATTAAGAGTGATATCACTTAATTTATTTAAGATTCAAATCAATTTATGTTTTTTAATGATAAAATGAATAGAATAAATAGAACTCTAAATTTAGAATGCTATAAATGTTCAAATGAAATTGAAATGACTATTTTAATTAAAATCGCCTATGTGAAATTTTGCAATATATTTAAATGAATAATAGGAATGAAATGAAAAGGCCACTTCATTCTTAAGAATCCAATAATATTTGCCAGAAAGAATAATAAAAAATGGACTTTCCAACCAGATTCCTAGAATATCGCATTAAAAAGATTAAATTATTTTCAACAATAAGAAGCATAGATAATATTCTAAATCCAAAGGGTGACTCTATCAAAATATTGTTAATGCTTTATTCCTAAAATTAGACAAGCATGTAAGAAATAATTAATTTCAACAATAAAATTTGACACTATAATATAAAATTGACTGTCTTCAACTCAACTTTTTTAATAACTCTTATGCCTTCTTCTCTTTGACTTCTCTTTATTTAATAATTTTCTTCTTCTATTAATCGAATTAATCGGGATTCACCATGTATGATGATACAATTCCGGCTAATAAGGTAGCCACTATGTATGCAATAAGTGAATATAGTATCAAGCCCCAGAAACTGTTGATTGCTGGGAAGTATGCAAAAATATTCATTAAATTATTTTCTTCGATAAATATATAAGTCAAATGAATTTCAATTAAATTGGAATCGAAAATCAGTTTTGAATTTAATAAGAAATAATAATATTTATATTATTTACAAATCATTCAAAAAAAATATGTTCTTATGTTGATTAATTTTTGTTTGATTACAGAATTATCCAATTTGTTTTCAGGAATCATCAATATCAAATATTTATATGAATTAATTTCTACATCGGACGCTTTAATTAAGTACCCATTCATTAAGAATAAGAAAAGCATTAAACTAAAAATAATTACAAATTACATAGATCCTAAGACGTAGTAATATGTTAAGACTTTATCAATGATTAACTAACTGGCCTTTTAATTTCCATCTATTAACAATCCCTGACTCTCGTCTATTATTGGTTAAATATCTATAACATATTCAACAAAAATATTAACAAATAACCTTTAGCTGATAGTTTATTTTAGCAATTCTAAATCAGTTTCAAATAGTCCACTTAACTTCTCTGATTCGAATTCACTTATCGAAAACTAATAAATATTTTAAATCATTCCATTTAAACCTTCTTTTAAGAATTATGCATACGATTCATTTTAAAATTATCTTACTACACAAAATGGTAAATCATGTATCTAACAATAATCTGAATTGAAAGAATCTACAATTTCATTGATCGAAGAGGAATCAATAAAATCATATTAAACTATAGATTCGGTGATATCTAAAATTACAGTTGGTAATTGATCAATTATTTCAAAATACTTTTGGATAATTAAGAATTATTCTGTCTTATTTCTAAAATTATTAGTTAATGGTTCAGTTTTAATAATTTATCCTAAAGTTATGCTCGAATCAAGCCTCTATTAGAATAATAAAAATTGTTTATTAACAGTAACTGATGGTATATATGAATCAAATAAATTCAAGAGTAGAATATATCCACCAACAAAAAAAGCAATAAAAAATATTAATACTAATGCTTCAATAAATATTAAAAATGTCTCCTTAAATGATTTCTCTATACTACTTGACCCACCTTTTCTTTTATTTTTTGTTGGTGATATCTCTTTTATGAATTGATTTTATTTATGACTCCACAAATCATAAAAATTATATTGTTTCCATTACTACGTTTTCCAACTATCAATAATGATCGTAAGAGTTGCTATCTATTCAACTATTTCCTCCTGAGATAATCTTTAAAGAAGAGAAACCAATTTTGATTTGAGACTTGATTTAGCTGACACAACTTTAAAAATAAAGGTAAATATGGTTATGATCATCAATAAACCAGTAATTAGAATTACTATAAAAACATCACTCAATTTAATATCTGCGAATTATTAAACAAATTCTTCTGAGTATATTAGAATTTTGTAGATCAAATAAAAGATCTATTCTTAAAAATAAAAAGGCTTTTACCTTATCTATTCAAAATCATATGTGAGGTTAGTTAGAATTCTGTTTCTTAAGAAAGACAATTAGCTTTCCTATAAACGATTAAAATAAATAAAACATCTCTCAAAATTGGAATCATTTGCATATTTATCAAGATACATGCAACTCTATCTTTCTAGATCTAATTACTCAGATATTACTGTTTAATAAGATTCAGCAAGACTTTGATTTAGTGATTCTTACAAATAAGGACTCAAGGTATAAATTTTTAATCCCTATAAATAGGTAGACTATATTAGTTGATAGTTAGAAACTATTATTTTATTTAGAGTCTAAATAGATTTCAGTTCATATATTTATTCTTTAAATTCTAAAAACTGATTCTAAACCAGTATAGTATTTATGACGATATATATTAAAACTAAAATTTCCAATATCCATGTTAAAGTCTTAGCATTTGCCAATAATCGAATATTATTACTGACATCAACTATTTCTCTTATTAGATCAATTTAAAGAGAACTGACTTTTTGACTAAATTACTTATGATCATTCTAATCAATATCCTTTGAAGTTTAAAATGATTTTGAAATATAATCAGCATTATCATTTTCACCCTTATTATCATTTGCAAATTCCTATATAGGATCCTGTTTAAACCTTGAAATTTCTATCATGTCTCTTTCTAATTGATTCAAGATATCATAATCCTTATTCACTTATTCTTGAACTGACAACTAGGGTAAAACAAATTCAGTCTTTTACATAGAACCTCTAAATGATTATTAACCAGAAAGTAATTGTCTGTGTGTTTGTCTTTAAGTCAATATGAAAGGGGTTTTTGACTAATTTTGACTAAAATTCATCTATTTTGATGAGTTTTTATCTAGCACTCCTTCATAATCTATCTCCGGATCATCAAACAGCAACTTTTCTACTAGTAACTATTGGTGCAGATTATTAAAAACTTAAATTTCTCTTATTTGATGTCCTTCCGATGAGATTTAATCAGACTCCTGTTGATCTATCTAATATGACATAGTTAATGATAAGGTTTTTGCAGCAGATTTATTTTATGAAGTTGAGATTTGAGTAGTAGCCGCATCAGTCAACCTATAATCTTATATTTATAATAAAAAATAAATCTTATTGTAAATTTTGGTCATTTAAATAGTGTAAGCCATTTCGATCCTTTGCTTAACTTCACTAAATTTATAGGTTGTTCTATTGTTTAAGATGAGAAAGAATTTGTCTTAAAAGTTAGGATCCAACAAATTGATATAGATATTATCAATTGCATATTCGTTAATTACTTCTTCTTGATCAGTTTTTTGATTTACTAGTTTCATTTGATTTATTAGGAACTAAGTTTGAACTATGCAGTCGTTATTGTTATTTGGGAACTCCCAAAAAGATCTGACATTTATTAATTAGTAATTTTGCGAACTTTAAATATTTTCTTATAATTATTTTAATTATTGTGGTATTTGTGGAATATAATGAAGAATTTGACCTCCTTTCTCGACTATATCTTGGAGTCTATAATGCTTTTAATTACTTTCAGATATCAATTCGCCCATAAAATTAAATATTTTTTAGGTAACTCCCATTATAATGCCATCCTAATCAAAGACAATGTATTCAAAATATTAAGAGTACTATGTTATTATAGCATATAAAGTAATATCGTCCATTTTCAAAGGATTATACAAATGCAAATAACCAGGTTATATGAAATTCTTAGGAGTTTTCAAAAAAATTAGAGATCCTGTTTGCATTAGTTTAGATTTGCCATTTTCTAAAAATTTATTTACTAGTTCATCATGTAGGGATGCAATATAGTCAGGCATAAAATCATAGATGTATTTGTAATTTCCTACTGCTTCTAAAGGGCACGAAAAAAATTGAGAAGCTTACTCTTTATTATAGTTCAATAATTAACCTTAATCATGGATTAAGCTTGTTTATATAATCATAGATCTATCTAAGTTATGTATGTTTTACTTTACTTGTAAGTAGAATTTGATTATTAATTGTGAATTCATTAAACTATTTATCATATCTAAATAAATCGTCAACTATCTTTTCTATTTCTATTGCCTAATACATGGTTATATTATTACCTTTTTTGTATTTACCATGATGATTCCGAAGTATAATTGCAAAATTCTTAAAGTCAGAATGTCAGAATATTGTTAACCCATAATAGTATTGTTTTCTAAATCATACTCCTATTGAATCAACATTTTGCATTCAGATATGGCTTTCACATAAGGAATAATCCTATCTTGTTATCTTGAGTGAGACGAAAATCCAAGTCTTAGGTATTCCAATAAACCGAGTTTCTGTTTTAAGGTTTATTCTAAAAAGGATAAACTTTCAACACTTTTATTTTATGCCAAGAGGAATCCTGCTATTGTTAATCTTGGAACCTCGGCTTTCTTAATCTAGGCATCCTATATTCTTTTTAATTGGATATTGATCTCTTTGGTAATTACATTGAGGTAAGCTTTATTAAGGATGCTATCACATTTATATTGAGAATGAAATTAAATCAATGATTTTAATGGGTAGAGTTGTGAGGAATAGTTACATTGTATTTTAACAATTAAGGAGTCCTTCTATTTTTTATTTTATAATAGTAATTGTATTAATTGATCCATGGATTTCGTTCGAATATTTTATTGGCTTGATATTAGCAATGCCTTTTAGATCAGTGCTTTTTGGGTTTAAAATTTATTGAATAAAAGGCTTTCGATTAGTTAGCATTTCTAGAGAGTGATATTCTGATCAAGTAAATACTAATCATACAATCTTCTTTGAATATTAAGTGTGAAATAAATCGAAAACGTTAGTATTGGAAGTACGAATATAAATTATATATTGAACTCAAAACATATGATCAAATTAATCATAATTACCTAATAGATTAAATAAAAAGTGGAATTGTTATTGAGTATGCTCTTTAAAAATAAAATCTTGGACAAGTATTTAATTAAAAATAACACTACACTCGCTTCTGTTGATATTTCAGCAAGTAAAATTGCCAATGCTGTGATAATTTCGTAAAATAAATCAACCACTAGATTTTGATGGTAAATAATCCCTGTAAAATCAATTAGTTATGTTTATTTGCAAATGGACATCCATAAAAGTTGTTAAGTATACATAATTAAATTACAAATAGTTAGAATGTATATTTTTACGCTTGGGTAATTATTAATTTAATAAAATATGGTATTCCAAGTAGGAAGTATCAATATTTTATGCTAGATTTTAATTAATAATACAAGCATATACTAACAATTTTGATAATGTTTAAAAAATGTCACAATCACAACACATAAAATATTTATTGACAGATGCACAACAGCCAAATAAATAAGCATCTATTAGTTATCGATTATGATCAGATAATTCGTTATAATAAACTATGAGATAATATTGAAAATCTTTCTAGTGTTAAGTAATTAAAATACTTTGTGTCCGTGTTTAAGCCAGAAATTAATTGCAATTCCTAAAGGCCACAAATTATCAGCAAAATTCTAATAGTCAGCATTAAAAGTTCTTTGTGTTGCTTATGGAACGATTATGTAAATGAAATGTACCCCTCCAAAAGAGAGAAAACCTATTTTCGCATCATTCTCATTTTAAATTTTATAATAATTTTAATATTAATATACTAAATGATAATCATAATATAATAAAGTTAAATGATTATATATCTTCTAGTTATATTTATAAGTAATTTGCTATTTCCAAATAGGAATTCCAATAGGAACTGAAAAATTGATTACTGCAACCCGTTCCCACTTTTACAAGTATCCTAAAAGTATTTCTTTTATCTCATGAGTAAAATCTCCAAGGAACTTAATCTTCAATTATATTACTTATGTTAAATGAGTTGTAAAAGTTATTGATATATTTCAAATGGATTTTCCATAATTCAAAATTGATTCTTAAGATCTAACTTTTAATTTGTTGTTTAAGCAAACGGATGATGAGACTGATGGAAAATCTATAGTAATAAAGACAGCTGACATAAAATTTATGGAAATTATTGATTTAATTCAAAAATAGGAAATGACAATAACTAACTTACACTCATTCATTAATTTATTTTATTAATTATTATTATAATGATAAGTCGAGACACTGGGTTCTAGGATCTGGAGAGTGGAATTCAAAGTAATAATTTATCATCAGGGCAATTGGTTGATTTGGATTAACACAGCCCAAATAATGGATAGTAATTGGATCCAACTCTGGAGTTTTCTTAATTATAATAACTTGAAGCTCTAAGAATGAAAAGGGATATTTTCGATAATAAAAATAAGCAAGCATTAAATTTGGGGAATAAATCAGATATAAACGAGGAGGATTGTCTAATTAGCAATTTAAGGTATGTTAGTTCGATATAATAGTGGAAAAAGAAGTGAACCTTAAGGCTCTATCAGTTCTTTAAGTTGCAACTAAAAGAAGCCGAAGCATCTGACTACAAAAACTCCAAAGCACAAGTCCAATAAAACTATTTAGTTCTAATAAAAATTGGAGTAAGACGATTTTGTAATTGCATCTCCAATTAAAGAAGGTACTCAAATTTTGAGGATAAAATCCGATGCTAAAATAGCTAAATATTAAACATTTGTGCAAAAATTGGAGGAGGAACAGGAGCAAAATGAGAAATAGAAGAGAGCTCAAATGCACCGTGACACTATAAAACAATAATCATTGGTTTTGCGAGGAAAGAGCAGAGAGATGAAAACAGGGTATTGATATTAAGTAATTAGAAAGACTAAATGAAGTTTGGTCACAGAAGGCTTTGATAATTATAAGACTAGTCTCTCGTTTCATCTAGTAATTGAAGACTAAAACAGAAAGAATTAAATTTCGACTAATAACTTAAAGAATATTTGAAGTAATTTGCGATAATAGTGCTAACTTTGAGTATATGTTAATCAATAGATTAATTAAACAGAAACCAAGTTTTGGATTAATAATATTCCATCACTTTCAAAGTCGAGCGCTAATACTATTAAACGCAATTGAATCAATCAATGATTTTTTTGGTAAATATGTTAAAGTGATAAAGCCTGATAGTTTATTTAAGATAGTTTGGGATATTATTCTATTATTATTTATTGTGGTTAATATATTTTATATTCCAATATATATCAGTTTCGATGTTAGATCGTCTGGATTATTTGAATGGATATTTGATTTATTGCCCTCATGGGTATTTATTGCAGAGATTCTCTTAAATTTTAATACTGCTTATTACGATAAAGGATTAATGCATGAGGATAGAAAACAGATAATGAAACACTACGTAAAAGGTAATTTTTTTTGGGACATAATCGTTGTGATCCCTTTCTTGATTTCGTATTTGGACATCCCATTTGTCAGATACACATTATTATTGCGACTTACGAGATTATCTCCATTAATGACTAGCATTGAAGAAGTCCTGAATCTAGAAGTATTTAAATGTCTCTATCAAATAATAGGATAGTCTCTAAGTCTTTCTGGATTTATTAAAATTGATATTCTTTCTCTTATTAACTGGTCATTTTTGCGGATGTGCCTGGCATTGGGTTGCAATAATCGAATATCAAAATTATGGATAAGAAATAACTTGGCTTACTCATTATGAACCCAATGCCATGAATTATGAATGGTTTGATAGATACATCATATCCTTATATTGGAGTGTGATCACTACTGTTACTGTAGGTTACGGTGACATTGTGCCTGTTACCACGGTGGAGAGAGTCTTTGTTATAGTAGTAACCCTGCTGATTTGTGGTGTGTTTGGTTATTGTTTGTCTAATATTGGAAATATATTTAAACAAATCACAGACAAGAAAGCCATCTACAAATAAAGAATAAGAGAAATCAATCAGCATATTAGGAAGAGAGGTCTCAGTTATAATTTACAATTAAAAGTACATTTACATTTAAAAATCTTAGGTCAAAAAGTATTTTGAATACTTCCTGAAAGTGAAGTAGGAGGAGGATCAACATGCAGAACAATTTATAGAACAACTCACTAAACATCTGAGGGAAGAAGTCTTAATTGATATATATAGAAAGACACTCTAACAATCTAGATTTTTAAGGGAAAATTTTAGTGAAGAAATTCTCAATCGATTATGTTAGATAGTAAAAGAAACCAAATTGTACCCAGAATAAGTCCTTTTTTAAAGGAATGACTCTCCTAAAGCATTATGGTTTGTTTTGTCTGGAGCAGTTGAGTATGTTGCTGATCATTAAAGTATAACAATCTCCTTATCCCACTAGATGAAGATGAACACTATTACACTGAAACATTTCTAAAGAAACTAACTCAAGGGTACTATATATTTGAGAATATTAATTAGAGCTGTGATTGGTGAAAGAGAATTCATATCTCAAACCCCATATGAATATAATGCAAGAGCTACCAAATTTACTTAATTGCTAGTTGTCGAGTATCTATACATATACATATGATTAGTTATCAACAATTCTATTTAATTTTGTAAGAAAATAATGATGAATTTGAGAAGTATTGTCTTGCCAAAGATAATCTATTGTTCAATAGCAATTATAAAGCCTTTGGGTAAATTTGTGAAATTTGCGGATGGACTCATCGATTTATATAGTAAATCTATACACTTATAATTAGATGTCCTTTCGTCTTTCTATAACCAAATAAAAATAAAATAGCTAGTTCCTTCGTTTCTACTAAAACCAATAAAAGATTATCATTTCCATATAGAACACTTCCTAAAACTAATTGGAGAAACAATGTGCCTGAAGTATAAGAGGCTGCCTTAGGCTATATTGTTTTGAATAACATCATACCAGAAAAGTACTGATTATATCATCATTCAAGAGAAATAAATGATAATTATCTCATTAATTTGGGGTTTGAATTAAATGATGGGGAGGAAGAGCCTTCAAAAATTGCACCCAATAAAAAGAACTCGACGTCTAGAGATTAGAAAATTTTATCTCAATATGATAACACACCTCAATAATAACCTATACAATAACCATCCATTTAAACTGTCCTTTAGGATTAAAAGTCATAAAATTAAACAGCTATATTTCATAAGGATTAATAAAAGGTTAATATGACTAATGTAATTTGTAATGTTAATTCTTTAGGAAAGCTTTGTTGATTGGGATTAGGGTAGTCAATTGAAGAGAAGCATGAATCGAATCAAATTCTAAGGTCTTGACAGAGGACGGACACTTCAATCAATCAAGGGAAAATACCACTAAAATAACCCAGATGTTTTAGAAGAATCCATGATTTAAGAAGAAGTCAAAATTTAAAATACCAATATTGGATCTTAAAATTTTATTCATAACAAACTCAAAATGGTCAAAAGTAAGCATAATATCCAAAATCCGATCGGAATTAGAAAAGTCTCTTGGCTTGAATTTGATAGTGGGGTGAGTCAATAGTAAGGTTTGTAAAAATTTATAAGTATTTTTAGATGGTAGAGCTGCCCAATAACTATTTAATAAGTAAATTAGTAAAGGAAGCGAAACAAACTTTGATTAATCTGCACCGGTAAACTAATAAGAAAATGATATCAAATAAAGAATTGAAGCCAGAGAAAATAGCATAAAATCCAAAAAGACAAATAACAAGTAGGATATAATTTTTTAATTTAAGTATTGATATAGCAAGAAGGAAAAAAAGAAGAAAAACTACTTAACTTTTATAATTCTTTTAAGGTATGGACAATGGAGACAACAAATCAACAAAGAAAGTTGAAAAAGGTATCTTGGGAAATGATGTTTACAGTTCCAGTGTTTATACTACTGGAGGACCAAGTAATACTGCCTTATTGGAATCGAATAATAAAGATGCTAATGCTGATAACAATAGTGTTCATGTCAATCATTCATTTGATGGGATTTAAAAGAGAATCCAAGATATTGTACATGTTCACTTTGAAATGGATTTGGATAGATATAAATCTTCGAAATTTTATTTCCCAGATTATAATTTGGATGTTGTAATATAAAAAATTACAATATATTATGAAAAATTGAATGATAAAAAGAATGATTTTGAGGCTAGGGAAATGAAAAGAACGAAAACCAACCTAACGTTATTTGATAGGATTAGGTAAGCGAAAAGCTAGAATCTTAGAGGAAGTTTTGTGGAGAAATCACTATAGGATAATGACTGAAATATTAAATCCCACTTTTATACATTATTTATTTATTGATTATATAAAAAACGACAGTAATGCTCATTATTACCTATAGAAAATGATTTGATTGTTCAAAGTTCAATTCTTATTTATCAGAATGTTATCATCTAACATTTTGAGATTTTTAAAAAAATATAATTATTTCTTATAAAATGACCATACTGGCAATTTTAAATGATGTTGTGTTTCTTTAAAAATTTTAGGCAATTTCAGTTGAAATTCAAATAGTAATATCAACGATAATTGTTATCAAAGAAAATCTTTCATGTTTTCATGATTGTTTAACAAATTTAATCATTTATTAATTTTAATAAAATTTATCTAAAATCCCAATCTATGTTACTAGGCAATGCGAGCATATCTTCTAGACAATTATTATTTGAGAATGGGGGATTAAAACAAATTAGGATCAATCTTAAAAAATAGCTAGCTTCATTTTGGACTCCAGAATCATGATTTACCTAAATTATTTTACAGAGTTTTTTTATAATATATATACTAAATATATGGGATGAATGGACCTAAATTATAGCAAAAGCTTGATGAAGAAAAGTATTGAAAATAATCTGATGTTAAAAAATAATAGAATCTAAATAATTTTAAATTTAAATCAACGCATTCCATTGAGAGAAAATGGCTGCCAACTATGGAAAAAATGATTGAAAAATTATAAATTATTATAATTAAATGGGGTGCCTATAATCAAAGAAAACTTTAAAAGAATCTTAAACAAAATTAAAACCAGATAGTCCTCAACCTTACGATCCAAATAGTATGTTTATGAATTATATTTAGAGAGAGAGACATAATATTAAGTTATTGTAAATGGAATATTTTTTGATGCACTCAATCCAGATGAGTGATTCTTCCTTTTCATGTACATTCTCAAAAATTGATTGATATATTTTATCGATTTAACAAACCACAAATAAATTCTGAAGCTTTCTTGAGATTTTCTCTGTCAATACCTGTTTCGATTCCTAAATAATTCAACGAATTAACTACAGTCTCTGTAGCCACATTTCCACTTGGCTTACCAGCATAAGGACATCCGCCCAACCCTGAAACAGATGAATCTATAACCTCAACGCCATGCTATAATATTTATTGTCATAATTAAATTACTTCCAAAGCAACCAGTATGTTTGGAATTGCCCTATCATAAGTATCATGAAAATGAACAGCCAATTTTTTAATGTCAAATTACGAGAGAGCCTACATTAGGTTTTTGGTTTTCTCAGGAGTCCCAACTCCTATTGTATCTCCCAGAGAAACCTCATAACAGCCTAAATATATTCAGTTAGTTTTTTCGAATACCCATTTCAAATAATTTTTAGGTCACTTGTGCCACTTTTTAAGGATCAATATCCCCTTCATAAGGACAACCCATGACACATGATACGTATCCTCTGATTTTAATTCCATTTTATTAGGCTTTTATTACAACATCATTAAATCTCTTTAGTGAATCAGCCTATGCTTATTAAATAATTCATACTATTGAACAGTTTATATTTTTTTATGAAAATGCTTCAGAGGCTGCTCCAAATACAGCTATTTCTTTAACTCCCACCTTTAAGGCTTAGTCCAATCCAGTTATATTCGGAACTAAAACAGGATAACTCACATTTGGGAATTTCTCAATTTTTGAATAGACTTCAGATGCGTCTCCCATCTATGGTACCCATTTCTTTGATACAAAACTAGTAGTCTCTATTGCTTAAAACCCGCATTTAGATAATCTTAAGATTGATTGGATTGATACAGATTTATGAATTTAACTTTATCTTCACTTTGCACAATTATCTTTTCATTTTATAATCCATCTCTGGGTCCCATCTCTACAATTTTCACTTTTTTAGGCAAACTCGTATTCTTGTACCTTTGAAGTTATGACAATAAATTATTCACTCTACTCATAAATAAAATGATGGCTTAATTATAACAGAAATTATTAGAAATAATCGAAAATCTCATTAACAATCCAATATCACTAGAATTCGTAGATCCCTATGATGACGAAGATTATAACAAAGTCATTTTCAACAAAATGGATTTGTACATTAAATTCTTATTCTTAGAACAACAATAAAAAAAAAGCTAGAGTCCAATAAATATTTGAATCACACTGAATTCTTTAAGGATCTAGACTTAGTCTGGAGGAATTGCTAGTTATATAACTAAAAGGGTAACAATTCTCACTATTGAAAATAATAGGATCTATAATTTTTAAATAATCAATGTATTTGGAATAGCAATGCAAAAGTTTATAGAAGGTCATTGAAGACGACTTTAATTTAGGCAAGAAAAAAAAAAGGCAAAATTAAGAAAGACCGCCCATATAATAATAATCTTTTGATTTTAGATAAAAGTAAATTAAATATCAAGTATTCTAGAAATAAACCTAGTAATGAAGCTTCCCGTCTTAAGTTTTGCCATTCGATCAAAAATTTAGAATAAGAACAATTAATAAAAATAGTAAACTATTTAGCTGAATTTTAACCAGAATGTCTTTCTCGAGAAGAAGATAAATTAGTTATTGATGTAAAAAAACTAGATTCCAAAGCATGTGAACAAATAAACTTGCTTTGATGATTAACAAAATATATTATTATATGTATAATAATCTAAAATGATTAATATTTCTCACATTATTCTTAAAAATTCAATCATATTAATTTTTTGAAAACTCATCATAATAATTTAGTATCACTATTATATATCAATTAGAATCCACCAATTTTCTTTTTCGTCTTATTTGAATTATCCACAACGACTTTAACAATATCTTCTAACATTTTTGGTATGATTTATGCAGTGACTGGAGTTGTTGTATCACTTGAAGGTGACATATTCACTTCTATAAGCCAAGAATTAAATTGATCATCAATCATAAAGTCGTATCCATAGACTTCAAAGGAACGCTTTCTATTTTTCAATTGATCACTACAACATCTTAAACTATTGATAACAATTTCCTTAAATTTTGGTTGTATTCTTTCTCCAAAAACATCCCAACCAAACTCTTCAATCAAATACTATTAGAAGTCATCTTATGTCCACATATTACCCTTAATTTCTGACTTATGGAACTTCTATGAATACTTAGCAATTGCATTGTTGGTTAGATGAGCAAATCTATTATGAAACTAATCAATATCAAATTCTTCAGCTGAGAACCTCACATAACATTCATTATAGAAATATATTTTTAATGGAACTAATTCTGTCACCAATATCCATTGTCTTATATCAAATTTACGATTTTTTATAATCAAAGGGTTTTCTATATACTTCATTGCAACATAATTCATAGTTTCCTTATTTACATTATCTAAAATTTGATATATATCATCTAAACATCTGATGCCCCTTCCTCTTGAAGAATATTCAGGTTTAACAATCCAAATATTTCTGGTTCCTTATAAGGAGTTTTAAGGATTCTTGCTCAATTGTTTGAGCAATTCTTTAATTTAAGGGACATACTTTTGTAGAAATTAAGGGCCTTCGCAATCCTCATATCCATTTAGTTTAAGTTATTACTCTAGGTAGTCCTATATCAAGATTTCCCTTGGTTTTTCAGGGTCTTTTAGAAGAGCAATCCATTCTCCAGGATGAATAAATGGAAATTCATCTTTAAGGATACTTTTGACCATGTTACTCAACGATTTATTGACTCGACTCATTATAACTAAGCAAAGTCTAATTTTGAATCTCTATCTATAAGATAACTGATTAACAATGAAAGGTTATTATTTTTCTTCTTTGTTTCTGATAGTATTATTCTGATCTTCTAGCTTGACATTATTATTAAAAAAGGGTTCTGGTCTTAATATAATATTTTAGTCATCAACCTTATTAGCGTTGATGTCTTCATCATCTTCAGGTTCAACAATGTTTTTATGTAAAGTTTGATTTTATAAACTTTGATCAAAATCTAGTAATATACTGTGGATTTTGGAAATTTTGAAATCCTCAATAAAGTCTAAAAAATCAACTAAATCACCTAGATCGTAACATCGAGGAAAGAAGGATTCCCAATTATTGATGCATCTGATATTTCTTGCCAGTCCATATTTAGAACATAAACATTAATTGCAATCGAAATGGTTAATTTATTGGAATTCCATTAGATTCATAAAGTCATCACTTCTCAAACTACAAGTCCATTTGAGATCAAAGAATGGACTGTAAGCATCTTCATTTTCAGCCCAATTTCTTTCTAGTAAAGCATCTCGAAGTGCGTGATATCCACTAGTAATTATAAATACCTTTTGATTTGGAGCAACATTGTTTTTCCTTTTCCAGGTGGGATAATCTTGAATTCCTCTGGCACTTATTTTTTTCTTTTTTGGTGTCTCATCTTCTTCATCATATTCAAATTCTTTTTGACTATTTTTGATAGTAACTGATTTCTTTTTGGGAGTGTATTTTAATAATTCAAGCTAAATTTACACTTTCAAATATTTATAATTTTATACATAGCATTTTAAATGTGCTTCTATACTTGTAACGAACTTTATTGCTTAAAAATTTCTTGATTTTTTAGAGATGTTCTTCTGGATTCTCCTTAGATTGAGTAAAAACTCTTATTAATTTCAAATCATCTTTCACTATTTTATCAAAATAATATTCCTTTTTCCCCATCAAAACCAATAATTGAATTAAGTTATATCGCAATGGATTTAGGTCTTCATTCTTTTATTAAGGCTCCTCTATCAATGGTGCTAATTTCTTTTATGTTGTTAAAGCTCTTTATTACATTTGTGGTTCATCAATGTTATCTTCCAATTTCTTTAAGGTTCTAAATTGTCCCCTTATTGGCTCTTTTGATTTTGATTTTATTAACTGTCCCTTCGATTTCATCGATTAAAACAGTTTCACATTCAAATTAATGCTAGCTTTATTCCCCTAAATGTTGAAATATGATGCACGATTATCTAACATTTATTAATTAGTATAACTATATAAAAATCAATAATTTCAATTATGTTCCCCTAATCTCCTAGGAATGAGATATTTATTGACAATATATTAGTTATTAATTACAATAGAAGGAGTGTAGCTTCTGATTCTCTTATTATTCCCTTTTTTGGGACTTGAAATCATGCTTAATTTTTTTGTAAGCACTCCTATCTATTAATTATGTTCTCCAATATATTTTAAAGTGTAAAATCCTTTTGTCGTTTCCACCGTATTAGAAGCTTACTACAAAGGTGAGCAAATCCATCTGCTATAAGTGGCTCTAAATTCATTAGTGTTCAGTCGACAACCAACAGCTGATTGACTTTATCTGGATACATCATTCATTTTTGGGGTTTCCATATAGAACTATTTTCCTCTCTCGTTAAAATTATTTAGCTTTAGTTTAGGCTCATTTGCAGAAGGCCATCTAACCCTTGGCTAAACATTACGAATCAAAGGGCTTATTGGTTTGGACTCTTCGAATGAAAATTCAATTTTAACAGGCCTCTATTCATGGCTGGTATTACAGAATCTATGGTTGTAAAACCCTTTGGTAGTGACCTGGTTAATATATATGAATTTATTTACTTACAAGGCTGTTATACATTTTATATATTATTATAAAAATAGTAATTTTAAAATATGTTGAATTAAGTTATCTGAAAAACTACAAAGGCTATAAGTTTGAAAATTAAGAATATATTTATTGGTATTCGGTTCATATCATACTCAAATGTTTATCTGTTGATAGGCTTAAATTGATCTTCTCTTTCTTTCTCTGACAAGTTCTTATGTAGCAGTCCATAAGATTTTAATCTTTTTGGATTATTCGTCATTATCTGATAATGCTTTGGGTAGTTTCTCATTGATCATTTTGATAACTTCCTAGATTTCCGCATCTTTGAACTAAATGAATGAAATTAAATCAGTACCTCAACTTATTCGAAGAAGTAGAAATATTTGTTCAAGATTTAAATAAAAACATATACAAACTTAGGATTATTGCCTATACTTTGACTAGCTATTTTGATGGCTTTCTTGAAACATTCTTGAACTCTCTAAACATTTTTAATGTGATCATTGTAGAACATATGAGCAGCATTCAAGACCCCAATTGCTTATTCGTTCTTCTTTAAGAGTTTGGCAGCTTATTGGGTGGCATTTCCAGCAAGAGTATCAAAGTTTTCACCACTAATACAATTTAACTTAGCAAAGGTGGACATAATTTGATTTAATAACACCACCTTCACATTTGAATCTCCAATTTCATCTTAAAATATTGTGATAATTTGAGTTCCGACATCGTATGAGAATTCATCAAACTCTTAGGCCTAATCGACAGTATTGATGCATAACAAAAAGTTTAGGTTGAGTTTCAAGGCTAATTCAGGAAAGTGTCCTTATAAGACATCGATCAATCCTCTTATTTATTCAAATAACACTTTATATTATGTTTCTTCTAAAATGAATAATTTAAACATATATTACATGTTTATGGTCCTCCTTAAGAGGCTATCAATTAAATCAATCTAAACAATGCAAAAATGGCTGCTGGGTATGTATATTTTTATCTGTTGATTTCTCCTTATTAGAATTTGGCTATGAATTATTATAAGATAGTGTTGTGAATTGCTAAGTCTCCATTTTGGACTAGATGAACAGTTCTAGCCACTAATTATTGTTCTTCTTCAAACTCATTTTCTGGGATTTCAACATAATCATTCTATGTAATTAAGAGTGGTTAAATGAATTTGAGTAATTCTCCAGTGATCTTCAAATCGTCAATTACTTAATTCAAATTGACCACGGCTTAACAAATCTTAATTGCAACTTATCTTCTTTTTTAGAATGGAAGGTGCTTCATAAGGTTTGGATACTCATTCATTGTAAGAATGGATAAGCTCATGGTGTCCAAAGGCATGGCAAGGAACTTAACAATATTCTTTTAGCATTCCTCTGTGAAATCTGTTTCGTTTTATCTTTCGCATAATCTACAACAAGATTTAAGTATGTCATTAACGTATTCTGAGTTGGAGGGATAACATCTTAATGTAAAATTGAGGAAAGCCACTTATAAATCTAAGAGATTTTTGAATTCAATTTGACTGTTAGAATCTAACATCTAATATATGATATTTGAGATTTGTTACTTTGTCAATATTTTATTTGAACATACTGTAAATATCCACTTCTGAATTGAATGTGCCCATATCATTATTCAATGCAAAATCAGCCAATCTGCCCATAAGATTGATGAATATGTTTTTGATATCCACTGTTGGTTCGAGTTGAGTTGTACAAACCTTCAAAAGTTCTTAAAGTGTTTGCAAATGATACTCATCTGGAAATGCTTGAATTGTGCAATCCATCAAGTATGTTTAGGATATAGCATCCTTACTGCTTGTGATGATATCAATGATTTTTGGTAAGACCTTTGTTTTATAGGTGTCCAATGAAACACCTTCCAAATTGCTTAATCTGGTAACATTCTCACCAATGGTTACTTTGAGATCTAGTCTTTCCCTTTCTCTCTTTGATTTGTCTTTTGATCCTTACATTCTAATCCACAATTTGTTCATCTCTGATAGGTTTCTTATAATGATTTCAATAGCATCGTCAATATTTCCTCCTGTGCCTTCGTATTCAGAGCCTGTGTCTGGAAGTCTGTCTTTGCATAATTTCAGGAAATAATATCTAATAAACAATCCTCTCAATGGATGTTAGATGGCCTAGTATAAAGCTTGTGATTACCTTAATACACTCCAATAAGTCAAGGAGGATCACTTTGGCTCCGATTTCATGAGTTTATATGAACACAGATCCGACTGTGATTAGTAGATATAAACGTGGAATGACGTATGTGGCATGCTAAACAGATTCATATAAGTCTGGCATCTTCCTTCCTCTTCTATATTCTTCTTTGAAGTAATTCTCCAAGATACGCATCTCATCGAAGACCTACATAAACAAGATGTAATAATTTCTTGGACTCAAAAGTGATGTTTTCAATTCACTCAACATCGCCGAAGAATATCTCAAAGCATCTTTTAATTGAGCCTTTTCCAATGAGGCCCTCATAAAATAAGCTTGTTCTTTGACAACCTTACGAGCATCTTCCAAATACTTTTCTTGATCTTCTTCCATATTATTTATCAAAAGAATTTAATTTTTTAATAAATCTCTTGCCCAATATTTCTTACTTAAAACACACATCAAAGATTTGTTGGATATAATATAAACATGTATTTCTATAAAGAATAAATATTTTATCCAAAAAAACCGATTCAATTTCATCTATTTTATGTGCACATTAAGAATTGTCTTTGATCACCCTATTAGTTTTTATTGATCAATAATTCACTAGTATTTTGGAAGAACTTCTGAGGTTAACTGAGAACCATTTAAATCAAATAATTTAGAGAAAAGAAAAAAATAAATTCCTCTTATATATTATTAATGATTTCGAATTTTCTGGTTAAGTTTATCTGTTTATTTGATATTATTTTCTTTTGAATCTGAGGGTTTTGGCCTAACCTTCTATTATTATAATTTCTCTATTGTATTTTTACTTGAAATTGGATTATAATAATTACTTTTAAATTAGAAGTTCATGTCTAGCCAATGCCATTCTGTCCAAAAAAATAGTAAATTTTTGGGGAAACAAACAAACCTAATCTAAGCTCAACTCCAAGGAGATTTCGTCAGAAATTTTTCATAGGTTAAATCGCTTTACTATCTTAGTATTCATTTATGTCTACTCCTTTATCCGGCAAAATCAAATCCGTAAGTGGAATTTGCTCCCCAGAAACTTAAAACCTGAATGAGAAAATACAAGAAGAACTTAGCCCATTGGATGATGTACCTAACTGCGACTTTACCAAGATGTTTAACAGAGAGGAGGATAAGATGTAATACTAAGTTTAAACTATATAGTTTTTTGAAAGTAAATTATATTAAACTATAAGGTCAAGAATCCTAAATGCTTGAAGCTATATTAAACTACAAGAAGCAATGTTGGGATATCATTCTACCAATAAATGAGTTTGTATCAGAGTAGAGTTGTCAAGGATTTTGGATTCTAAAAATTATTGTAATCGATATTTTAACTTTTAAGACCAAAAAGTATAGAGACCTCAACAATTATGACAACGCCAAGGAACTTGTCCAATTTTGTTTGAAACTCTTAAATAGAAATCTTCATATAAATCATGGTATTCTTTATTATAATCACACACATATAGATGATATTGTACAATAGTTAGACGGAGGTATTCGAATTAATCCTTATTGCCTATTTAAGAAAGTTTCAATTAGACCATCAATCTCTAATCTTCTCAAAAACCTACTCTTTGAGCATAAAATCTCAAATCGCCTACAAATTTTCCAAGCTCTTTTTCAAGATTTTGAAAACTAAGATCTAGACTCCTTAAAAAGACAGACCAATATAGATTTTTAGTTCAAATATCTGAAAGAGACACTAATAAATAATTTATTAGGAATTAACAAATGAGAAATTTTGAGTTTCTATATAAAATTTTGAAATTTTGAAATCCATTTTATAATACCCTCATGATCTTAAAATATTCCATAAATTTTATTACAGAAATCTTCTATCTCATCAAATTTAATAATAAAATTATTATATACAAGAAAGACCAACAATGATGAGAACTAGAATGAAGTTGTCTTTAAATGGATAAAGGGGGAGAGGAAGAGAATCTTCAAATGATAATAAAGCAGCCTCCATCATTAAGGGAGCCATATAAACTTTAGATAAATAAAATGAAACTAACCAAGAATGTTAATCTCATAATTAAGTGCAAAATCTAAAACAACAACAATAAAAAGAAACTAAAGAGTAATAAAAAATAGAAGAAAAATAAAAAGACTAATAAGAGTCAAAATAGCAATAATCAAATCAAGAGAAAAAGAATAAGACTAAAGAAATAGCAAGAAAAAAGATCAAAAAATAAGTAAAGAAAGATTGAATTATTAAAGAATTGCAAGATTTATTATTATTTCTATAAAATTGTTATTATTATTATTCACATAACATTATATTTTTCTTTATAGTTTTTCGGTTAAGTTCGCTTATGCTTTCGTTGTAAAAATGACACATAATCTTGAATTTTCTTAATGACATATAAGGATCCAAAGATATATATCGTAATGGTTATGGTTTTAACTATGTTCATAAAGGCATCCCAATAAGGAGTCTCTTAATAAAATGGATCTTATTCATCCAGAACCAAATCATCACAAAATTTATTCACTTGTTATAAATATGATCATACAATTTTAAAGCTCTAAAACAGAAAAATTAACATAGAGGTTGGCAAATTTCAAACATTTTTGTATTCTTACATTTCTTGGCAATGCTTATAAACTATTGCTGCCATGATTTTTAAGACAATTAGTGAATTCGCAAATATAATTTAAAATAATAATTGTTTCTTGAAGTTTGTCATCAAAGTGTTTATTGTATTAGTGTATTTGCAGATAGGATGAGTTTTTAAATGTTTTATTGCAATAATCGCATTTTGTCCCATACCTTAAACTTTATATTTCATCCAACTCCTTATATTCTTTCAGATCAATCAAATTCATATTGAGAGATAGATGATACTTTTCCAAATAATAATTGATTTATTATTAGGTTCTAATTGCCCTACCCATAGAAACTAAACCTTATAATGAATTAGTGCCTGCAATCAAAATTGATATTATTAGTAACATAAAAATAATATAAAATGTTGGCAAAATATTGTAGTTTCTAGATAAATCTTAATATCTAAAATCTGTTCTATTGCCTATTAATTACACAAGATTGTATTTATATTATACTTTATTATGAATTTATACATATCATATACAATCACTTAAACTGTTATGCTAAGGTTAATTTAATATCGATTTCAATAAATTTACTATTAAATATTTCTTTGAAATCAGAATCAAATTAAAAGTAATAAGCTGAAGGTTTTTGAGGTTTGAACTTTTTTAATAATTCCTATTCTTGTGCCTCAATGTTTTCAAATTCATTTTTCAACTTGGCTTCTCTATAAGCCTTTTTAGTTTTAGCTTATGAGGTTACTACTGGCTTGTTTGAAGTGACAGTAGTAGATTTATTTGCAAGTCTTAAAGCATTTAATTTGATTTGATCTTGCAGCTAAAATTGAATCAAATAATTACAGGATGAACATCTGTCTTTAATAAGGATCGACATATGTCAGTGCAATTTTGAACTTATCTCTAATCCAGAAAATAGGCTGCATATATAAATTGCATCTCTGGCTTATATATTTCGCAAGCAGAATTGGTACTTATAATTTTGTTACTTAAATTCAAGAACTATAATGCTAATTTAGTTTATTTATTTGAAAATAAGTGTTAAGACAACAACAACAATATTTTTACATCCCTTATAGTCAATTCATTTTCTTCTATCAAGTTATATTAAATCCATAAATCTTCTAAATTATTAATCTCTTATGTGTTTTATCTCAGACTGGTATAGCATTTAATTAGATTATCAATTATGATATCATTCTTTTCTTAAGATTGATCAAACAAATAAGAAATAGCTGCAATATTGTAATAATAAGTAACTATTTTAATCTCAATAATTACATAATAATTCTGGGCACGATTCAGCTGTTTTCTTTAATAATTCTATACTATCTCCTACAGAAGCAGTAGTTGAAAATATGTTGCCAATCTATGTTAAAAATTTAAGAATTTACGGCTAAAGAGTTCATAATTTTGCCCTAGGCTTTCGATGATAAATCGGAGAATTCATTCTGTTTCTTTATTTACTTAATTTTCCAATGTATTTCATTAACATTAGTAAAAGAAATTAGTTAATAATACAAAGTTCTTATTTCTATTGAATATTTTACAAATAAGTATGATATGCTTTCTCATTCAGAAATTTTGATTGTAGCATGGCATTTTGTAAGTTGATTTCTGCATCTTAGTAATTTCGATCGTATACTTATAAAATGGATTAATAGTGCAATAATCTAATGTATTCATGTGACTTCCTTTTAAAAATATGATCTTCGTAAAGAATTTTATTGATTTGTTTTTAGGCAACTTCGTAGTTTTTATCAAAAATCAAATTAGCCAATTCTTTAACAGCATTAGAAAATGGAAATTTTATACGATAATTCATTCACAATTAATTTTACTAATTAAATCAAATAGTATATAGAGAATGAATATTTTCATTTTCTAAATAAAATCTATCTTTCTTTATTCTTTCAAGGTTTAGACATTCCTATTTTGTTTCAATATTTGGTATTAATGGTTAATTGAATTTCGCAAATATTAAGAAATATTGCTATAAAACTATTTATTTTGAATCAATGCTAGAAATTAGTAAAGGTCCTAAAAGAATGTAACATTAATTTATCTTGTTTTGTCCCTTTAATTAAATCTTTTCAAATTAATAACCGTATTTAAATTTTAAGGGTAAAGATTGAAAAATTTTATCACTTTTTGCAATTAAAGGAAACTATATTTATCATTTGAAACACAATATTTTATCTGCTGAGTAGTTTATTGGTTAAATTTAAAAGTATGTGATCTTCTCTCTTAGTCCTCAATTTATAAATTTAATTTGACTAAATCTATTAACCTCTAAACTACAAGTGGTTTATTCAATTTGAAATTAATTTATTAATATAAAAACAGACTGAATTTGTATTTACCAAAGAATAGAGTTTATTATCCTTATATTGATATAAAAAATTCATGGATTAATTTACAAGATAGAGTGTTTTTATTATTATAAGGATATTCATAAAGTAAATCACTTGATTAGATAAAATAAAGAATCATAAACTTCATTTAAACAATCAAATTGTGAAAGAATAAATGGTTCAATCTCTTTATCTAATTAATCTTTTGAGGAGGTTAATTGTTTACTGTAGGATATTAGTTGATTATCAAAAGCAGCGGTATTGTTTTAAAGAATCATCACTGCTCACGTTTGTTTTCAAATTTCTTATATACTATTCTTATAAACAAATTTTTAAAAAATGATTAAATTTTATTTAAAAAATATTAAATGGTGAACGTACCAAAGAATAGAAAAACCTACTGCAGAAAATGTGGAAATCATTAAAGTTGCAAAGTCTCCTAATATAAAAAGAGCAAGGAAAGTCCATTTGCATAAGGTAGAAGAAGGTACGACATGAAGCAAGCTGGTTATGGAGGCTAAACAAAGCCAATTTTCAGAAAGAAAGCAAAGACCACAAAAAAGGTGGCATTAAAGTATTTATATTTTACGAGAATAGGCTTGAATGCGTCAAGTGCAAATTAAAATGGTTAAAAGTTATTAAGAGATGCAAGACTATCGTTTTTGTCGATGCTAATTAGCTCAAAAAACAATAAGAAGCAAAGAAGAATGCTAAATGAGATAATAATAGTATAATAAGACATATATTAAGTATTTAATTAAAGTATTGATATTCATCAAGCAATGTCAATTTGCTCGATTTTTCCTCTTGTAATGTTAAATTATTATATAAATTATACTTAATATTTATAATCTTTCAAAAAGGCTTTTAATATCCTTATTGAGGATAACTTGGGTAACCGGGCTATTAGGGTGGGTATCCTGGTTGTGGTGGATATCCTGGTTGAGGTGGATAACCTTATTAAGGAGGATATGGCTAGGCTGGATATCCCGGCTATTAAGGTGGATATCCTGGCTATTAAGGTGGATAGCCCGGCTATTGTGGGTATGGTTAAGGAGGATATCCTGGTTGTTATGGGGGATATCCTGGTTATGGTGGATAAGGTTGAGCAGGATAACCTTATTGTGGGTATCCAGGTTGAACAGGATAACCAGGCTACTGAGGAGGATAAGGCTATTATGGTGGATAATTGGGTTATGGTGGATAAATAGGTTATTATGGATAAGGTTGGTTTGGTGGATAATACGGTTGTTAGTAACCGGGCATCATTGGAGGTTAAACACCTCCATCAGGGAAAAAGGAAACTTCAATCAATACCTATCCGGCCTTTTTACCCTATAAATATAATAGAATCATAAACTTTATAATTTAAATTGACCCATTCTGTTCCGTTTGGCTTAGTTAAGAAACTCTATAGGGCCAAAGATCCTTGGCCAATCAAATCATTTTTGCTCACTTCATCTTTATCCCAAACTTCAATATCAGCAATGAGTTCTGAAGTTCTACGAAATGAAAGAGAATCATTCCAAGAGGGGTACTTACCAGCATCTGTGTGTGATCTAGTTCTTTGAGTTTACCCTCCAATTCTTACTAAACAAAATGGATCCATCCTTCCGAATGATTCTGTATCATGAGTTAGTTTGGCACTCAATGGCTTAATTAATAAGGTTCCAGACATAATTAAATTAATGAATGTAATATATCAAATTCAAAGTTGTTAACATACCATAAATTTTTGTTAATAGTATCTTAGTTCCTCAATACTCTCCAGAATATCATCTAATGCTCGATGATTCAATTTCTTTTATGGTTACTGGCTACACACAATAGGATTTAGGTTTTAACATAACAATTTAATTGAAGACACATCTACAATCCGATAATGTAAAAACTGATCCAATTAAGGCATGTGTTTCATTACAAATAATCTATCCATATAAACTGAATTTCCTGCCAAAGGGAGCACTTTTGGAGGTATATTATTTTAATTTAAAAATTGGAGTATTTATTCCTAAGCTTAACCTACAGTCACAGTAGAATTCAAGGACTCTTGATATAATCCTGAAGCTTTATGAGTAGTGGTACACCATTAATCCATTCCATCTAACACCTATTTGTCTGCATGAATAACAATATGTGGTCCTTTTATTATTGTTTGTAATTTGTAATCAGTCAGTATGCAAGCACATTCTATAATTTGATCCTCGAAAACGTTTAATCCTGTCATTTCCATATCCAACCAAAACTTTGCTCATAATTTTAAAATTTACTAAGGCATGTTTTAAAGGAGATTTATTGCCAATACTTTGCATTTCACTTAATTAAAAATGTTAAAATTAAATATTTTTGATGATTTTTTCTATATATATTCAGATATCAAATCATTGATATCCTTTAAAGTTGTTTGCTTATAAGTTGGTTAGTAATTTCAATTCTACAGCCTTCCTTGACTTTTTATATTTTCCAACATACACCATGCAGTTAAATTAAAACCTAGGTTTATATTTATTTAAAAATACCTAATCTAGGATCCTTATTTTGCAGTTTTCAAGACTTCCTTTGTGACACCTGCCTTTTGCAAGTCATCTAAATGTACAAAAATATCTGATTTATCATCATCCATAACAATAAATCCATAATTTTTCTGTTCATCAAAAAACTTTAATCTCCCTGTATAGATTGGATTTGCCATTTGCTTCTTTTGATCACTCTATTGTTATTTATTCAAAGGTGGACAACTTATGGCTGAATTCAATTCTAGACGAGGAAATAGATCAAAATCATCACTATCGTAATTCGTCTGTTCTTATTTCTAATAATAGACGTTTTAATCAAATTGACTTATGAGTGTCTAGGCTTTCTTTGATTCATCTTAACTTTCATTCTTGATTACATTAGAATTTATTTAGTTTAAGGAAGGGAATTAATAATCATCCTAAAGAAATGATTCCGTTTTCGTTTAAGAAAAAAACACTAAAATATTAAGTAGATTGAAAATACAAGCTTTTTCTTGATGAATGGACTGTATCTATGTGAATATCTATGATTGTTTCTAGTCTCTCTGAAAATCAAACATTTAATGTTCTGATAAGGACTTTTTGTGTCTTCTAACAATCTATTTCTATTACTCTTTTTCTGGAGTCATATTGATAATTGGAATTGTATTCTAGGGTGGAATGGAGATATTTACATCTTCAAATAAGTCATCGAATGTGTAAAACTATTCCTTTTCTTTATTGTCAATTTGAGATAGCATTTACTCCATTGCTATCAAACTTGTCATCTAGTCAGTTTTAACAAGTGCTACATAACCAGTAACTGAAGGATTGTAACAAAAAATGTTGATTGTTCTAGCAAACTTAGCTGGAACATAAACATTGCAAAACAACTAAAACTTTTAGTTTGTATAAAATTCTTTGATTTTTGTTTTCATTATGGTAGCATATAACGATAAGTATTACTAACTTCGATGAAATTTTACTTTGACATTAAACGATTAACTTTCTATGAGGTTTAAGGTTAATTCATATCTTTGTAGCAATTTTGGTAAATCGGAATCAGACTTATACAGTTCTAAGGCTGTTTTCAGAAGATGGTCCTTGATTTAGGGATCTGGACTATGATAATTAGCAATGGAGAGTGTATCCAATATGTGCATGCCTGATGAACTAGAAATGAGTCAAAGGTTGATACCGGTTTCTCCTTTGTAAATGAGGGAGTGCAAATGGTTATCATTCAATACTTGTTTCTATTGTAATATCATTATTTAAATTATTAATATATTTTATTATTCACATTTCCTCTAAATCATCATCTTCATCATCATCTAAGTCCTTAGTTCCACTCATTAGAATGTTATTAGTTCTTATAGATCTATATGATTGATTTTAACTATTAAGCTTTTAACTAAATCTACTTTGTCTTAATGATATATTATTATTTTATTTCTTCAATTCAGAGTGTTTCTCAACAATCATTTCCCTCATATTTTAGTCCAATTAAGACAGTTACCTAGTTAATTCCTTATTTTCCTTCTTTAACCTATTAACCTTCTTCTACCAATCTACCTCGCTATTCTCTAATTAATCAACTGTCATTTTGAGATTATTGCATTCAGTCAATAATGATCTCTTTTCATGCTGTAAGGAATTAACTTGAGCTTAAACTTTATTGAATTTTTATTCAAGATCATCCATCTACTTCTCTGATAATTCAACCATTTTCTCAATCATATACTCATTTTACTTTTATTCTACCTTATTGTCATCGATCAATTGTTTGAATCTTTGATTCTCTTATTAAAAGTATTGCAAATCTTAATTTGTTCTATCTAAATGTTGAATAGCAGCCTAGAGTTGTTATTGCAATTATGATATCTATAAATTAGATTGAATTTACTTCAAAGTCTGCTTATTGTAATTATTCATTCAATTAAATATTATTGATCTTCATTCTTTCTAATTCATTAGTAACATTTGAACTTTTAATATAATTTTATTTCTTACTTTTATTTCTCCATCACTGGCATTTCAGGTAATATCTTTCCTAATTGACTTTCAAATTACTTCGATAAACTATATAATTGATCATTGTCGGCTTCTAATTTCAATTTATCCAATTTCATCTAATTATTATCCTGCTATAGTTATTTTATATCTTTCTTATATTGTTGCAATTTATTTTTGTATTTATTTTGCAATTTGTCCAATTCTTATTTGAGATGAGCATTTTCAGTTTCCAATTTAGTTCTAAATTTTGAATATTTATTTTCTAATAATGCCAAATCTTTGAGAATATCATCATTTTTCTTAACCTTCACTTACACCTAATCCTAAATCTCTTTATTTCGATTCTTCTCCTCTTCTATTCTATGTTATTGATCCTCAACAACAGTATTTAAAGTCCTAACATTTTCTTCCAATTAATTCACTTGATCATCCCGATTTCTCAATTCTCTTGTGAGATACTCTAATTCTTCATATAATTTTTTGTTTCTTTCCTATTCTTATTTTATCAATTTCATAAAATCATCCTCCCGTTTCTCATAATGTTTAATATTCTTAATCTCATTTTCCTTGATCACTTCAATATCTTGTTCCAAACTTCTTATTTTCGCTTTCAACATTTAATTATCCTCTATCGCATATCTTAATTATTGATTCAACTCACGTTATTCTTCTGAGCTTTATGGATAAAAATTATCTTTTGATTTGGCAGTTAAATACATAAATAATAATTAAATAATCTGAACAAAACAAAATTGCACTTATCATTTCTTTATCTGAATACGATCGAATATAGACTCTCTTGCATCCATTCGCAATTACCCATCTCTGTTTCTATCCGAATGTTGTCCTATCACTATCACTTTGTCATTCTATTTGAAATTCGGCACTGCTCTCATCTCTGAATTCCTTTCCTTGTAGTTATTAATCAATTCTAAATGAACATGTTGAAATCAAAATCAATACCTATAGCATTCTCAGCTGAAGCCTAATTTGAAAACGTGATTGTCGCCTGTTTATTGTTTATCTAAAAATAACAAAGAATCAATTACACTAACTCCCAAGATATTGGCGTCATCATCAATTACTTCTCTGAGATCTTGTTAGCTCGTATTTTCTTTCAAATTTCTAATAAATATTGAATATGAGCCGCCTTTCTTCACTTATTACTCTATCCATAACACTTATATATCTCACCATCCTTCTTTGTAATGTTCAGAATTCCCTTCTTCTTATTCACATGCTAAGGTTGAAACCTTCCTGATTGACCAGAATTTTAGATCATTATTACTTTCTTCGAAATCGCCTTTTTCTAAATTTTAGTGGAATGCTCATTGCCAATCTCTTCCTCGGATTCTCTCCTACCTTGCTGTTTCTAACCTGATTATTAAGATGGCTTGTATTCATATTGATGATCTCTTATTATGTTAATACTCTTTGAGAATATATGATTCTTACTCATTAGAATATTATTTTATAATAAAAATATTTAAAAAAAGCCAATAATTGATAGAATTCTATGCTTAATCAGATAATATTTATAGATCATGCTATTTTTCAAAAATGATCCTCATCTAATTGTCTATCAATTATATATTATAGTCCTGATTTTATGACATAGCTTGATTAAATAAACACCCTTAGGTATGGATATATTATAATTTCTTAGATAAAAGTAGAAGATACGATTGGTATTCTATTTGAAAATCATAGATATTAAGATTACTAACTTGGAATATCAATAAATAAATTTCATTAATCATAAATGCAAATTTATTATTATAGTTTTTAGATGATCTAAATTTATTCGATATTAATTAAAATTTACTTTTACTTAAGTAATATTTTAATTTAAATAAAGTGATTCACCTTAAATAATATTTGTTTTTCTACTCAACTCCACAATTAATGAAATATAATTGATATCTATATATTTGTAATTAGATTAATAAATAATTAAATGTGTATCAATGAATATATTTAATCATTTTAATATTAGATTTAATAATTACTGAAATTCCTTTGTATATAGAAGGTTCTTGAGAAAAGATGATTTCATTTTAAGATTAATAACAATTTTTAATATATGATTTATCAGATATCTTCCTGATGAATTTGAACAACATTCCTTATAAAATTAAAAGGGAAAATATTACCTTATAATATATTTGACTGAACTTAATTGAAACTCTTTGGCATTTGTTAGTGCATAGCCAATTAGATATCGACCTGGTGGTAACTCCTTCATTTGTGTGAAAACCCTTCCTACACTTTCAATAGATTATATAATAATAATGATAGGGGCTAAATTTGAAATGGGTACATTTAGTTTTGTAACTTCTATATAAAATTAAACCTGCTATTTTTCCATAGTAATCTCCTAGTCCAAGTAGCTGTTAAGCAATTGCAACCTAGTAGTTGAATAGTAGTCTAGAAATAATTCTTATATAAACACTGAATAGAGATCATATTTCTTATTTTTTTCAACCTCCATAATTTCTTTTTCTTAAGCCCATTTTGCCAAAAATTAGCTTTCCTGTGATTTGATGCTTTCAATAGCATCTTATAGTTGATTGCCTTTATATTAGACGGCAACAAAGAAAGAATCCTCCAAGTATTAATCAGATTATTTGATGATATTATAGAGGATATTGAACTATTTAATTAATTGTAATTGGGAGGATGTTAATTGGATAATTTTACATCTCTCTAACTAGGGTTCGCAAGTATTTGTGTAATCAAATTAAGCATTATCAGTTTTCTTCAATTTCATTTTATTGTTATTATCATTGACCATTTACAAATAAATATCAGATTTATATTATTCAATACAGTTCTATAATTGTTAATTAAAGTAATTAATTAGATCAAGTTGTTTAGAATGCAAAATATTAGAAACTTTGATGACCAGAGCATCACCATTGTTATTTTATTCTATTTATTGAAGTTCGAATCCGTAGATGTCTAATAGACCCCTGACATTCGTGTTTGATTTGAAAGTCTCTATCTTACAGTTAAATTTGTGACCCACTCTGAAATTGATATTGACATTGTCAATAATATAATAGAAGGAATGATTTACATAACTATCTAACATTTCAATGACAACATTCTTGATTTCCCTTTGATTGTTTGGTACCTTGACATAAAAGCTTAAATTTTTGTCAGCCTTATAAACTTTGACCTCGTAAGGTAGATTGTAATTTTAAGCTAAAAACTAATCAAAATCATTTGGATCAAAAACATTATTAACTAATTGCAGAGTACCTTTCCTATTGAAAAAGATGAGTTTGAACCCGCTCTCTTCACTGCTAATTAAATAGTCCTTGACGATGGAATCCTAACATTATTTGATTCTCTGTTCTAGAATGTTTCTTAAAATCTAAGTGACTTTACTTTCATTTTCCGGTCTCCCAAATATGTAAAAAGATTTACGAACTAAATTAATTCACTTTTAATATACATAATTTGGCTATTTTCTTAATTCTATTTTGAATGTTGGTGCCGTATTTCTTATCTATTTAGGATGCTAAATCAATAACCTTAACTTGACTCCACAATTCAAATTTACAATTCAACTGTTCTTTGACCAGAGTTTCGACCTCATCTGCATTGAATGAAATTTCATCCAATTCAAAAGGGAAATGAATAATAGAATTTTTTGAAAGTGCACTCGAAGCGAATTCAGTGAGATTGATCCCACTTTAAGAAGCCAATCTTAACTCGATGATTTGATTTTGCTCCACATATTCTATTGCGCAATTATGTGTTTTTTGAAAGGAATCTTTGTAACAAGAGAACCAAATGGCCTGTGAGTCTGTGATACGAAGATGTGAAAAAGTATTAAGAAGCTTGTTGAGTTCCTAGATAATATAATCTGCTTTGTTGTGAGGCATCCAGGCTAGAACATAGCTGTTTGGGAGTTGTATTGAAACATCGCCTCGGTACCCGGCATTTTCTGCCAATTCGCTTTGAAGCTTAATAAACTTGTCCTTGACCATTATACACAGTCCATCAAACTGATTTGTCAATTCCTTGTATTCTTGACTCTTGATCATTTTTATGTAGAGATGATAATTATAAATAAATTTGGTGTCCTTCATGAGAAAGCGCAATTCGTATTCTGAAGTTCCTATCTTTTCAGCCTCGGAGACAGCCTATTTTAGAAGTGCATTGTTGGAGGCTTCAAAGAAGATGAACTTGGAATCGAAACGCAACTTGACTTTATATTTAAGTTTGATGGGATCAAATTTCTTTACATAGATCATCCATAGGACTTTTTCTGCAGGAAGATTGATTAACTATTTTTCAATAATCATTTTATTATTTGGGTGATTTCACACATATTCAAATAACATTAAATTAATACCTGCTTATTTTTAGTAAAATAACAGTGAGAATTAAGCAAAAGATTATATAGTACTTTGAGTTTTAGACAATGCTAACTCAAACAGTATTTAAAATAATAAACAATTGGAGAATTATAAAATAAATTATTTATGTTATAAGAAAAAGATAGCAAGCAATCCTATCTCATAAAATAACCGTTATAAAAAACTTGGGTATTGTGGTTGGCTTTGGGTTTGGCTTGCTTCTTACTTTTTGGAGATGCATACGCTTTCGATAATCCCATGGCCTTACAATCCACAATCCAAAGCGAAATGAATTTGAACAATGTGCAATTTAATATGCTTTATTCCATCTACTCAGCTCCAAACATCATATTGCCATTCTTCGGAGGAATCCTGATAGACAAGATCGGAGTTAGAATTAGCATACTCATTTTTTCATCAATTTTGATCTTGGGCCAAACAGTAGTTGTGATTGGAGGATACACATTATCATATGGCACTATGCTAGCAGGTAGATGCATATTCGGCATTGGATCAGAGAGTTTGAATGCTGCCTAAGCTGCAATTATGTCATAGTGGTTTTAAGGAGGATAAGTGAGTTTGGCATTGGGATTATGTTTATCAATACCTAAATTAGGCAGTGCAATGAATAGTTTGGTCAGTCCTATCATCCAAGCCAACCATGGTGATTTGGGATTCACTTTCTTGATTGGCTTGTTCATAGTGATATTTTCATGGGGATGTGGTTTAGCCCTTATTTATTTAGATAAAAAGAATGAAGAATTAATGGAGATTTGGAAATAAACTAATCCTGAATAAGAGAAGAGAGAAGAGAAGAAGGAGGAATTAATGCAATAAGAAATGAGTTTATAAATTAAGAAGAGTGAAACTACTGAGAGTGATCGTTCCGAGTCCTTACTTAATGATGATGATGACGATGATGAAAACGATGATGAGGATGAAGAAGAGTAGGAGAATGTTCATGAAGCTAAAGAGGAAATCAAGTTATCAGATCTAAAAAACTTAGATGGTTCCTATTGGATTTTATCATGCATTATTATGTTGAGTGAGGCATTGTTTGTTCCTTTCTTAGATAATGGGAATGCATTCTTCCAAATTAAATTTGGGTTTAGTTAACAATCAGCTGGTGTTTTACTCACCATACCCTATGTTTTTGCAGCTTGTGTCACTCCATTTGTCGGAATCTATAGTGATAAAATCAGATAACGATCTCTCCTCATTGTGTTGACTACTGTCATATTTATAGTCACTCATTTATGTTTACTACTGATATATTGCGATGTAATATATATGTTTCTAATTCTCTTAGATTGCCTGTGGAGTGTCAGCATTACCATTGCTGTCGTTGGGAATATGTTATTCATTCTATTCAGCTATATTGATTCCATCTATTCCTCTTGTGGTCAAGGCTTCAATGATAGGTGTTAAAGTATTTGTATTTTAGGTACTGCCTTTGGATTGTTAGGAGTTATGTAAAATACTGCCTTGGCTTTATTTCCATTGATAACTGGCAGCATCTACAACAGTCATCTCATAAATGAACAAGGGGAGTTGGATCCTTTTTAGGGGTAATTAGAATTAATATCACTTTAGATATGTATATTAATCTTATTTTTTTGTTGGTGTCAGTTGTTTTAATTTTGTGATTGCAATAAGTCTTTATTTGTTTGATAAAAATGGAAGCAAAAAGTTAAGTCGATTAAAGTCAAAGAGTAAATGAATGTTCATAGTGTGTTATTTTCAATAATAAATTTATTATGAGTAATCGAAATAAGAGTTTGACAGAGAGGAAAAACTCTAAAAGTAAATGTAAGACTGCGATCTCTTAAAGAAAAAACTCTGATAGCGAAGATTATAATTTCTATTAAGAATTCTAGTTATTCTATCCCTAAGCTCAGGGGATTAAGTTTACGAAATTTGAATATATGAAAGAGTTCTTTAATTTGGGCATCTCTGAATTTCCCTCAGATTAAGAGATCCAAAGAATTTAACAAGAGATTCTAACTACCAGTGGGTGGAATTCAAACCTTAAGAAAAATTGGACGCTCAATGAAAAGAAGGTGCTTATTTGGCTTATTGGGAAATTGAGCATTTTGCGAAATGAAGACATTAGAGATCTATCAGCTGAATTGTTTGAGGAGATTTCAAGGATGATTTGTAGGAGAGATAAAGATTAATGCAAGCAGAAGTGGTCTCAAATGCAAAAAATCGCATTGCAATAACAACCTTTCAAACCAGATGAAGATAAAAAATTATATGAGATCATTCTACAATATTAATCAGTTGATATGGGATAGAAGTGGAGTTAAATAGCGCAGGAATTGAACCAGCATACAAACATATACAGATCCAGTAAATAATGCAGAGAGAGATGGCTTAATCATCTGAATCCAAAGATTTCAAAGTAATTTAAAAATATTCATTTCTCTTTTAGACAACCTTGGACAGATGAGGAAGACATTTTATTACTGAATCATGTGAAAGATTAGGGAAGAAGATGGGCAGAGATTTCAAAGATTATGGATGGAAAGAGAAGTGAAAATAATCTAAAAAATCGATTTAATAGTTTAATTAAAAGAGAAAAGGACTTGCCAGTGATGTAAGTTCTTTTATTAAACTTCTTATAGTCACACTTAAGATGGATCAGCTACTCATTTGGATGATTTATTGTCAGGTTGCACTGGACCTGAAATAACTGACCTACAAAGATAAGCTATTGATGTCTTGCTGTCGAAATTGAAATGGAGGAGTGCAGAGGGCTAGAATAAGAATACAAGGAAAAAATCCATAGAACTCAATGAAAATGTAGATGATTAAGTAAAGCGACAATTTTAATAGCGAGCTTAGATCACAACCCCATACACTGTAGGAAATATAGAATCGGAATCTAATATCATGGAACTAACTCCTTGTTTAGTTAATGTGAGTAAAAACATTATTTACTTCTGCACACAAGATACATTGATTTAGTATTTGGGTTATCATTAATAGTAACAGCAATAATTCAAAGATCAATTCGATAAAATTAAGAGTGAATTATGCGCCTTTGATCTGGGCTTTCAAAATTTCAAGTCCACTCTCAGCATGATTGAAGAGATTGAAGAGCCTCTCAAAAGTTTATCATACTTGTAACCTAATGATTTGGACGGATTCTTAAATTTAGAAACACCAGAAACGGTATCCAAACCATTATATGTGAATTCCCTTGACATGATCACCAATTCGGCTATCAAATATCTGTAGCGTTGGAAAACTGAGTGTTAATTCAATGATCGGCGCAGATCAAGTATAGCAATACCGAGATCACTTCCGAATTTGATATAAATTTAATAATGAAAAAGAGTCTTATATTATTATTCATAATAATACCTTTTATTTTATTCAAATGGGATCATTGTATGCAAACATACCATACAATAAAAAGCCTTATAAACCATTAGGACAAATTATCAGATCAATTATCATTTTATGATTAGTTCCTCCTCATGACTATTCAAAGCATTTAGTTAAATTGGATAAATACAATTACCAATATTGATAATTGGTTTGAAAATATTTGGTCTACTTCTCAAACTAAGATAACGTAAAAAAATCTCCCATCGGCATAAAATTTTGCTTCTTAATTTGGAGGTGCAATCATTTTAACTAAAAGCAGTGCATTAAAATAAGTTGATAATGTATTGGTGGACTCAGTTGAAGTGTATAATGTTAATAATAAAATAGGTATATGATTACAGAATGTAATTAAAAAAATGTGTTTTTTGTTGTATGTTTAAAAGAAGAGATTTCTTTAGAAGCAATAACATTTATAAATAAGGAGTTGTATTCCTCATCTATTAAAAACTTTTAAGTAATTAATTGAGATATCTTATTTATTAGGTTTATGGAAGTGTTGTTTATCCGACCAAGGAATGGGAACTTTTAGGTAATTTTTTTGCGGAAGACACAAATGAATGGTAGATTTTCAATTTGGATCAACGATTCTTGAGATATTTAAAAATACTAATTGTTGATTTTCATAACGCAGAATTCCATTGTACTTTAACTCAAATTAGGTTAATTTTTATTATTATTAAAATTAGAGTCTTCGGAAAAACTGTTATTGGAGATTTGATTGATTCGCATAAGAGAGATAAGGTTATTAAACCAGAAACTAAAACTATAAATTTAACTTAAGAGTAATAAGAAATTAAATTAAATGAGGTTTCAGAAGAAGAAGATCGATCAAAAAATGATACATGCTCTGTTGTTGATTATTTTTATAGCAACCAACTTTCAAAAAGAATTGAAAATTAATACATTAATGTCCTACCATATGAAACGAGACAATCCCTATTTAAAGTGACTGCTCAGAATATCCTAATATTATCTCATAATGTAGAATTATTTAAAAATGAAATCAATTAAATAAAACACTAAGACATATAGTATTAAAATGAATAGGATCAAATTAAGGTATTTCAATAATAATTGATCACATCAATATAAGAATAAAAATTAATAAATGAAAAATTAGAGAATGAGTTGTATTTTATCAATCTAAAATTGATAACCATGTTCATTATACTAATAGGAATAACTTTAATTTTGTTGTTTATCAGTTTTTGCAATCAAAATAAATAATCAACAATTGAACAATAAAGAGTATCTTTTAAAGCTTAAAGTACAATCATTAAATCTTAGCCTGAGTTGATTACTTCTAAACTCATTGAAAATAATGCTAACAGCAGTAATACTACCAAATAAATAAAAAGCTCAAATGGGAAATTAAAAAAATCACATTGATTTTTCATTAATATATGTATATAAATATATATAGATGTATCAACCTATTTTGATGTTCAAAAATAATATATAAAATGCAGTGTAGATGCCAAATCTTGCAGCAATTCCATACACCAAAACGGATGAAAATTTAAGTAACTAGATATAAATTATACTCGTTTACCTTTCTTGCATAAACCATAACCATGTGCCAAATCACTGATAGCACTCCCAATAAAATGCAATACTACCATTCTACTATAGTGCTAGTTATCATCATAACAAGAAGTGCAAAGTGTAAGCCTACGAATAATGCGGCAACCCATCCAGATGGAAGAGTTTTAATCATAAANTATGTTTAAAAGAAGAGATTTCTTTAGAAGCAATAACATTTATAAATAAGGAGTTGTATTCCTCATCTATTAAAAACTTTTAAGTAATTAATTGAGATATCTTATTTATTAGGTTTATGGAAGTGTTGTTTATCCGACCAAGGAATGGGAACTTTTAGGTAATTTTTTTGCGGAAGACACAAATGAATGGTAGATTTTCAATTTGGATCAACGATTCTTGAGATATTTAAAAATACTAATTGTTGATTTTCATAACGCAGAATTCCATTGTACTTTAACTCAAATTAGGTTAATTTTTATTATTATTAAAATTAGAGTCTTCGGAAAAACTGTTATTGGAGATTTGATTGATTCGCATAAGAGAGATAAGGTTATTAAACCAGAAACTAAAACTATAAATTTAACTTAAGAGTAATAAGAAATTAAATTAAATGAGGTTTCAGAAGAAGAAGATCGATCAAAAAATGATACATGCTCTGTTGTTGATTATTTTTATAGCAACCAACTTTCAAAAAGAATTGAAAATTAATACATTAATGTCCTACCATATGAAACGAGACAATCCCTATTTAAAGTGACTGCTCAGAATATCCTAATATTATCTCATAATGTAGAATTATTTAAAAATGAAATCAATTAAATAAAACACTAAGACATATAGTATTAAAATGAATAGGATCAAATTAAGGTATTTCAATAATAATTGATCACATCAATATAAGAATAAAAATTAATAAATGAAAAATTAGAGAATGAGTTGTATTTTATCAATCTAAAATTGATAACCATGTTCATTATACTAATAGGAATAACTTTAATTTTGTTGTTTATCAGTTTTTGCAATCAAAATAAATAATCAACAATTGAACAATAAAGAGTATCTTTTAAAGCTTAAAGTACAATCATTAAATCTTAGCCTGAGTTGATTACTTCTAAACTCATTGAAAATAATGCTAACAGCAGTAATACTACCAAATAAATAAAAAGCTCAAATGGGAAATTAAAAAAATCACATTGATTTTTCATTAATATATGTATATAAATATATATAGATGTATCAACCTATTTTGATGTTCAAAAATAATATATAAAATGCAGTGTAGATGCCAAATCTTGCAGCAATTCCATACACCAAAACGGATGAAAATTTAAGTAACTAGATATAAATTATACTCGTTTACCTTTCTTGCATAAACCATAACCATGTGCCAAATCACTGATAGCACTCCCAATAAAATGCAATACTACCATTCTACTATAGTGCTAGTTATCATCATAACAAGAAGTGCAAAGTGTAAGCCTACGAATAATGCGGCAACCCATCCAGATGGAAGAGTTTTAATCATAAAATCTAAAAGTTTTTATCGATTCATATACTTCTCCAAAAATACTCTTCCAATATTCCCAAACCGATAACAAATAGTGCCATAAATAGCACCATATATGAAGTGTTTGATTCATCAAAGTATGATTTGTAAAGCTTCGTGTTTTATGCAGAGAGAAACAGGATTGTCAGAGTGAAAAAGGAAATGAATGTGATTATGGTAGATAAAATCAAGAGTTAGGTATTCTCCTTTTTGAAGATGAATTCACCCTCATTATTTTATTTATTATACCTGCCATGTAAAATTCCAAGACCCTCTTTCCTTGTGCCATAAAAAAAATGTAGAAGTAGACCACCAGAATTATTAGCATCATGTAGGTTAACAAACATAAGAGTGCTGAGGTGGTTATAGATAGGGCTAGTCATTATGAAATTTTCAAACTTATCCAAGGAACGACCATCATTGCCAGCATTGCCAATTCTAGATAAACTTGTTGACAAACTGAAAGTCCCAAGGGAGGCACATCATCCACGGGGTTTGTGACTGTTGCTAAATCATAACTAAGGTTCATTCTTTAACTGTAAAATATAATTTATATTAATGATTTTATTTGATCACATAATAACCATGATGCTATTGTTACTTCGTATTAATTAAGTTTTAAGCAATGTAGTTAAAAACGAAATCCATTAAATATTTTCTAATACAATTGTAAAACAAAAAAAATGTCTCTTCATTCCTCATTCGGCTATGATAGTCTTCGCTCAGTCATTTTTGCCAAAGCCATTAAAAAGTGTGAATGTACTATTCAACGTTAATATTATAGAAATTTAAAATGAGTATTATTCATCAGAAAGTTGTTCAGATATTAAGAGTAGCATCTCTTCAGATTCAGAAAAGCACATCTTTGACAGGTACTCTAACAATTTATATTATTTCTAGAGAATTTGCTTCAGAATCAGCTGAATCAAAAATTGTCTTCAATAATCAACAATCTCCTCTCTCTTAGTTTAATACTCAACAATGAATATAAATAAATAAACAATTATACAAAAATACATAATCCTTCATTACAACTCCTAAGCTCTTCAACTATGGATACAAACAATCTTAGAATCATATTGTTTTCTCTTTTAACAAAAACAGTTATAAAATGACTACAACGATGATTGCATCTAGAATAATCTCACAGAATTCAATGTAGAATGAAAAATAAAAAATCAATAATATCTCTATTCATATTTAATTAAATTAAGACCTTTTAATAAGATAAATTCTTAATAAATATTATTATATAAATTGCTAAACATTAAGCTATATTCTTATTTATAAAAAGAATTCTTTCACAACAATCACTTTTTGTAATTTTTACTTAAATTTTAAATATCTACAGATAAAATATACCTGTTTAATCTCTCTTTGTTATTCCATTATTTAAATCTTCTGATTGTTATTTCTGAGAAATCTTTCTTCAACTTCGATTGAAGAAATTGTTAAATTCTATTATAATTATATTGGAATATCTTCTTATATATAACTAAAAATCTGATACTATGATGCATTATAAAGTAATAGAAAATCAAAAATAAGGTTTTTTGAAGCTTTTACGAAAAATAACATTAAAGCTATCAAGAAGGATCTGATAAGTGAAGCAAATGCTGTTTTATGATCGTATTTCTCATGCATCAGGACTAAGAAGATATATAAAAAATAAAAGGATTGCACTATTTAACTATCAGAACAACAATATTAAAGTAAAAATATCTTATTTTAAAATATAATTAAATGAATAATCTATCTGGTGAGTTTTGTAATTAGATCTTGGCATATGAAGCTTAATTTTAATCAATGATACCATTAGAAATCTTAATAAAAAATTGAACTTAATTTCTCTTAATCATTAATATGATTTAATAAATGAAAGGATAAGGAAAAAACTTACTAATAAATATAATATTTATATATTAAAAACTCTTTCAATTACCATAGATGTTAACTTGTTTATCAAAACTACAACTGTATATATATTTATTAAATTCGGCAAATCTAAAATAGAATATAAAATTACTTTATTGCAGTTACAACATCTCTATGACTTTCGAATTTGAAGAATTCTTATTACTTTTTGATGTCAAACAAGTGTATATTTTTATTTTCACCTACAGCCAAGTAAGCCCCTGATGTGTCATAGGAAATACTGCCTAAAGGATATATAAAATTATTTATTACTTATGTTTTATGATTGAAACAATTTTTAGAATTAACCCGGATTCCTTAAGTCCCATTACAACACTTCAGTTGATGATACAGATGCCAAATTAACTCCATTCTCAGAGAAAGCAACCTGACTTATAGATCCCTAATATTATTGGTTTTTAGTTACTTCTTATCCTTCAAATTAAGCAACCAATTAGCCAGATGTAATCTTCCAAATTTTAATCTAAGAATTTTCTTATCCAATTGCCAATAGCAACCCATCTGGATGTATAGCAACTGATGTAAATTAGCATTATCCTTCAAAATCAGTTACTTTACTAATTTATAAGCCAGATCTTAGATCATAAAACAACAAAAGACCTCCAGAGGTAACAATAATAGCAATATAGCCAAGAGGATGAATAGCTAATCCAGTGATATTCTGTCCTACTTTTACTGTTTAAGTTACGGCTCCTACATTAGTTTCAGTGTTAAATTAATAAATGACCAAATCTCCATCTGAAGTTGATGAAACAAATCTTAAATGTTCATCAGTTGTAATAAATTTGATTGTATTTATTCGCTGATTACTTTATTGATTCTAATACAATAATGTTTCAGAACGATACAGTGAAACTAAACCTGCTTATCCTCCTACTATCACATAATTTGCTTATATATCTAATGAAGTACCACCTTAAGTTTAATTGTTTTATTACTTGATCTCGTAATTTGATAAAATCTAAAATATTGAATAAGAGTACTTAAGGATTAGGAAATTATTCAAAATATGATTATTGCTTTCTTAACAATTTTCTTTGGCTTGTTAATTTCAATGCAGTTTATTCTATATCAGTCACATAATTTGCTGATAATTTTTCAGGAACATTATTAGTTTCTACTTCTACTTTATGATTTAATTTATTTTGTAATTGCGCTAATTCTATTCTTGCTTGATCTCTCTCTTTTATTAGCTTTGCTATCACACGACATGCAGCATCATGTTAATATAGAGCATGTGTTAATTCATGTCTTACTTATTCTAAATGCTATTTCAATTAAAATTGTTCCAACAATAAAGCATCCCATTCGTTTTGTAATAGGGAAAGCAATGAGGGTATTGAGGTAGCAGTCACTGGTCTGGGTTTTTACACTTTGGCTACTTTCACCTTAATGTTAAAAAATATCATAATACCTCTATCAGATCATCAAAATTCAAAGGTCTTCCTGTTATTGGACATGTGCCTGTGCTTTCAATATGTTTTTCAATCAATCTTTTTTCGTAGATGTGTCCACTCACTTTGGATATTACTGGAGTTTCGATTAATTCACCAGATAATGCACAAGTTTACCAGGATTACATATGTTAATGATATGAATATATTTGAATATTTAATAAACTTATGTTAATCATCATTATTTTGTAATTTCTGTCTTAAGATTGTCAAATGAATCCACAGGTACATATTATGCAAGTGTGTAATACTTTCCTTTACCATCATCCTCTTCCTTCTTCTTTCTTTGCAATCTAACCCTAATTCTTCTTGGTAAATTACGAATTCCTCTTGCCCAAATTGCCTCATTTAATTATGGATCAACTCTCACATCATCAGTTAACATATTTTTTTAAGCTAAACAATCCCTTCACTTTTTACCAAATCTAACAATGTGACTCACTGCTCTAGGTGCCTTTCTTTTGAAAGTCTCCTTGTGAACAGCTTTATGAAGATTTATTGTATAGTCTCTGCTCACTTCGCCCAAAGGATTAGGCTTTCCCTTCTCTTTCTTTCCCATTAATTAAAATCTTTAAAAATTAATTTTAAAAAAGTAAGTAATCATCATATATATTTACTATTCTAGATAATTGATCTGCCAAGTTATCTTGAAATTTGATTAACTAACATTACTGAACTACTTCTGGATTTTGTATTTTTGTTTTCACTCACTAATGAGTTCACCTTTTCATTGTAAAAAATACTTATTTTAAAATCGATTGCAGATAAATATTCTTTCTTCTTAGAACACAATTTACTGAAGTACTTGGAGATACTCTTTAAGAAATTGCAGGTTGCCCTTAAAGTATTTGGGACTTTAAGTCTTGTTATTCTAACATTATCAGTTAAATTGGATAAAGCTATTTTTTATTTTATATCCTTCTCCTCATATTTAGCGATTCTGAATCACTCTAGTTAACACTCGACTTCCTCTCTCTTATTAACTCAGTCTTATTGGTCAATTTAGCTCTATAACTCGATTTCTTATCGAGCGTCTAGAACTTCAGTTTAGAAACCAGTTAACCTTAGGTTGGTTTGAGAGCATCTTCAAAATCCAATGATGCATTATTTTCCCATCCTTGGACAACGTCTTAAATTTTTAACATTAAAAATATTATGCACATTATTTAATAAATATTAGTGAAATCATTAAGATTGTCTTTTTTAAAAATTTCACTGCTCCCAAGCTAATGAAAAATGATTATTCTGTATAAAAAATAGAAGTATAATCTCAATACGATAACTTAGATTGTTTCAAGGGGGAGGAAGGAATTGTGTATCTTGATTTGAAGATATAGGAATTTCGTATATTTAAAGCTTGCAAAGTGGATTATATGCTTATTTGAACAGAAGATCATTAAATATTTTCAAATATCATTCTTTTTTACTGCCTATGAAACAATTTATAGGTCTAGGTAATTTTTTTTTTAATTTAATATAAATTATCATTATCTCCAAATATTGAGGAATATTTAATCCATTTATTGATATTATGTTAAACTTATTGAAATGGTATTGATTCTAAATGAGAATATCAATTCACTTTTCTTAATTTTCATTATATTCACTCAATACATAATTTAATTTATCACCCAAAAAGCAGAAAAACTATATTTATTCTTAAACCCACTCTTATTTATGAAAAGTTATTAGGTTATGTATAAGTTGTTAAAGAGAATCATCTATTTAAATCTAAACTTTTTATCAATACTAAATTAGATTAGTTTTCATAATATGATATGAAGACTTGAGATTAAGGAAGTTGAAATTAATTGCAAAGAGATAAAAATGTTAAACAAATAATGAATAGGTTTATCCTTTTAGTCATTTCCATGCTTGGATTGATCATATTGTAGAAAATAGGAGAGTTTCTTTGAATGTATTTTATATAAAAAAAGATATTAATTTATGGTTTACAAAATCAGAAATAAGTCATTCTTCTGGACTAGAGCTGGATGGAAAAATAATTGGCATCCTAAGAATTTTAATGCCCCTAGACCATCAAGCTCTGAATTCACCATCGGTATTAGATGTCGTTATGATCATAATTCATTTTTGAGAGGCATTGAAATAAATTTAATTTATTAGCTTACCATTCATACAGAAAGATCTCTAGACACTGTAAGTAGTACTTCTTTGGCAACAAAGAATTGGAGGAATTATTTTAGATGGGTTTGAGAACATTTTTCATAGTGCCACACATTGCTGAATGTCAAGTCACTCAAATCAAGCATGGTGGTGAAAGAAGAATGGTTGATTAAATTGATAGAGATTTTGAATTGGTATCTTACAATTCTCATCCATATTAATTGTTTACCTACTCTGTTTGGAATTAATATTTAGCCAATCAACAAGAAGCTTATGAATAGAGAAAGAATGGTGGCTAGGCTATTGAAGATCAAGTGATCGATCATATTAGGTATGTATTTTGAGTACTATTCCTAAGCGAATTGGTGAAGGATGAAAAAGCTAAATTGGGAGCTGGAAAACAATTGAGCATTGAGAGAACAGCAGAGATTGTTATGAATGTGATGAGACAATTGAGAGCAGCCTAATAGAGACCCAATCTTAATAATAGGTAAAGGTTTAGTACTTATAGGGAAGACGTGCTGACGGAGAATTTGATGATTTCCTTGAGTAAAGAAGACCATTCACAGCTCCAAATAACTAATCAGCTACTCATTGAGCTGATTATATTAAAAACAATATATAACAACTTATTAATTATATTATTTATGTATTATTTCAATATTGTAAAGCTTCCTAAGCATAAAATTTAACGTCTCTGTCATTGTCATCTGTCAGTTCATTTATTGCTCTACATTACTGTTAAATCTATACTATTTTATTTGATTCAGAGTGCCTTGATGGTCAATCCTTTTTGATAATGACTTTGCCACCTTTATACTAACAAATCTAATATTGGGGACGATGTCTTTCATGCACTTCTATACGATTGGCCATAACTTATCTATAATCGTAGGCCCATCGGCCACTAGGCCAATTTGTTAAATAGCATATAAGGCATTCATCCTGTACAAGAAACCAGTATCCTTATTAAAAGTCTCCAAGCATTTAGATAAAAAGCTTCCCAATGCCCAATCGATTTTGTAGGTTTAGATTAGATCATTCAATCTGCTCAACCCTAAAGTTCTAACTTCAGCTGCTCTGTCCTTCAAAAACATAGCATAGACTGGTTCTAATTACTTTATGAATACGTCTGAATTCTTAATTGTTCTAAGATGATAAATCAGAAATACAAAGCAAGTTGAATGACTGTTTACATGATTTCCTTTCTGACTCTCCATTTAGGATCCTCCATGCATTTTTTAAAATGAGGAATGAATTACACTAAAGCATCAGAACCAAGTGCAGCTGCAAACACCCCAACTGATTATGCTGCATTCTTTCTTACATCTTAATTGTCATCACTCATTAATTCAATTAGGTAGGATTGCAATTTGCTTTAACTATTATCTCGAGGTAAAATAGTAGCAATCTATCCAATAACTAAACAAGCATTTTCTGATAATTATCAATAAGTATTTACATTTCACTTATGCAAATGCATCCTTAGCTAATAATTATAATAATGGAATTATAAGATTTAGTTTCTCTGGAGATACAAATTTAATAAATTTAGCCAAACTTTTCACAGCTACCACTCTAACATCACTCTCAGGATCTTTTAATAAGTTAGAGAAGATCTATATTAATGAAGAGTCTGCAATCTCCTTACCCACAGCTTCAGCTAACTTAATATTTTTAGATAATAACGTACTTCTGCAAATATCTTTGACAATGCCAATCTTACTCTCCAAGATTTATCTTCTGCTGAAGATATGATCAGTGGTAATATGTTTGTTTTATTTTCATTGATATTAAGGATGTTAGCAATGTTCATTATGCTTTCCATACACAATAATCTAACTTAATCTTATTCATCTTAGCATAATTATTTCAAAACAGTTATCAAAACTTCAATAACATGATTTTTATCCATGTATTATGCAATTTCACCTATTTTCGTTGCCACTGCTCTTCGAACCATTGGCGTTTCTTCACTGCATAACTCAGTGAATTTTCTAAAAGGTAAGTTTACATTAAGTACTATCTAAGTTTTTCTTTCTAATTTCCAGCTCTAGCATACATGGGACACATTAAGCTAACAGCAGACACTCTACATGTGAAATTGGCTTCGTTTGATGCTAGTTTTAAGATCTACGAATCCATTAAACATTTTACCAATGGGACTATTGTGTTAGAAATTTCATTGTCTCCCAAAAAACCACACACAATAATAATTGATTTAACAGCTTATTCTCTTACAACAGTCTCATCAAATCCAGCCAATTGCTCCAAAATAGGCAATAAGCATATCGATTATTATGGAATTATTTGACTAAATAAACCTATTCAAATACGCAATGTAGCCTAGCTCTTCTGCCATAGCAAATAAGACTTCATCATCTTCCTTTTTCATTAATGCTGCAAATTTATTATGTTATAGTTACTTTCAAAATATGGCAAAAGAACAGACTTTATTTTATCTGTCCCTAAAAGTGTTGCGATAACTCTAACTCTATGCATCGCATTGACCTTTAGATACACTTCCTCATTTTCCATATCATCCTTAAAAATATCCATTGGATTGTCACCCATTGTTGATTGATTTAAATCTTTAATTATATATTATATTTTTTATAGATTCAAATTACATACTCTGACAATCCCATGTCTGCAGCTTCCTACAATGCTTTACTCAACATATCCTAAACAAAAGTCTAGTCTGATTTTAAAGACAAAGATTTGTGATAATAGTGAATTGCCTTGCTCAGACTGTTTGGCAACTCACTCAAATGATACGAAAACGCCAAGCCAAAAAATGTTTATGGAGAAACTGAATTTAACTATAATAGATCTCATTTAATTACCTAGATGCATTTTTCAAATATTTATATTGCATTTTTATAATCCCTTTATTTTCTAAAAGTGTGACCCAAATTCTAGAGTGCAGATTCTCTGATCTTATGATTTGAATTTTAACAGAACACTAAAGCATTCAAGAAATACTATATTTCACATTATATAACTTACATCTTTGGCTTCATTATATTTCTTTTGTTTATAAGCAATGACTCCCAATTCATTTTGAATCATGGGATCAGTAGGATTGATGTCCTTAGCCTATTACAAAGACAAGATTGCAGTCTGCAAATTATTTGTCCTCAAATACTCCATACCAATATAAACATGTGCTTGATAACAACCAGGGAATTGTCTAGTGATGGATCTGTAAATCGACATGGCTTAATCTGATTCATCTTGAATAGCATAAGAATGTGCTAACCCTATCCAACTATAAATGAGATGTTAATCTAATTGAATGGATTTCTGGAACTATTTTCTTGCAACTTCATATTTTTTGGTTGAGAAGTAATACACTCCAACAACAAACCAACTCAAAGCATTTGATGAATAGTTTTCTATCAAATTATGAGCACAAAAATATAATTCTGCTATCTACTCCAATTCCAATAAGCATGACACATACGTTGGAATGACATCAAAATACAAGGGATCCTATTTGATTGCCTTTAATGACCAATCGTATGCAGATGCAATATCATAACTATAATATGCCTTCTTAGCTTTAACATTCAGAATGTCAATATTATTCTTCTTGTCCAATGTTAAGTAGACTAAATCATTTTGTATTGGAATTTCCTCCTTTCTAATGTAAGGACTTCTGATGGGCGATGGTTTCATATGTTGAGTCTCCACTTTATCCACTATTTGTAATTACTAGGATATCTTTCTTTTCTCTTCTTACAAGTGATCTGCTAATTTCTGATTCCCAATATCGCAATTAATTGTCTTACTTACATAATAGTCTTTCAACCAAGCCTCATCTGAGTTTAGTTATATTTATTGAATGAGATTCTCCTTCTCATCAGAAGAGATCAAATAGGAATCCACTAATTATTAAAACACTCGCACATTAGTTGGAGTCTTCTATAAACACTCATAGTAATTTGAAACTGCCAATTATTTATTTTCTAATGCCTCATAGCATTGACCTCGTATCCAATCACTTTAGGATGTAGTTTCATCTTGCAATATCTCTATTCCTAATTCATATTGCTTGTTTGCATACAAGGCTCTAGCCGCTAATACTGCAAAATCACCTTGTGTAAATTTGTGTTTTAAAAACAAATTATATACTCCTGAATATTCAGCATTTGAAAAATGACACTAAAATTATTATAGTAAGTAATATTACAATTCCAAGCATAAATACCAAATATGCCTATATATTTTAATCCTGATTCAGGCATAATAACTTCTCAGCAAAAAAGATAGCTTACTTGTATTACCCCTAAAGATAGCTACTAATTCCCAATTAATAAATGTTCATAAATGATGGATTATTCAACAATTGATTTGTAAAAATTGAGTTCGAAGAAGGATTAAAATAAGGAAGTTGCACTTCATAGTACATGTTTGAATATTTCTAAGGTTCGCTTTATTATTTGTTTATTTTTGATGTCTTTTTTTGAATTGACATTAAACTATTATGTTTAAAATTTGAATTTTTATATTAATTTTATGCTCACTCTAATTATATTTACTAATGGACATACATTTTAGGAATAAAAAGTTATGGACAACCTAAGTCAGATTTAATTCAATTGTTTCGACATCTAAATTGAGAATAAACTCTAAAATATTAAAATGTCAAATTTAGAATTAGAAATGAAAATTGCATTTACTTTGTTGATATCAAAACTCTAGAAGTTTAATAGATAACAATGAATTCTAATATATGAATGATTCATTAAAATGAAGATTTTGATGATGTCTTCATTCTGATCTATGATTATGTTACTTCCTCTTCATATATTTGTACCTTTAATTGTTTAGTATAGGTAATTTATTCTTTTGGATGAGTGGATGTCAATATTTATAAATTATTTATAATCTATCTTTTATAAGTTTTTTTATTGCTCATATTAAATTTTATATATTGAAAAAATTTTTCCTTCTTTGATCCTAATAGAGACATATAAAAGCTTAAGCTCAAGGTAAATATCGTTGTCGGCCATACTAAGCCTAAAGCACCGGATCCCATTCGAACTCCGAAGTTAAGCGGCTTAAGGCGAGGTTAGTACTAAGGTGGGGGACCGCTTGGGAAGTCCTCGTGTTGACAACCCTTTTTTTTATTTATAGTTATAAAAAATTAATTAAAATTTATCAAAATTATAATAATATAAAATAATCTGCTTATATTTTTACAAATTTATTATCATTCTAAATTTTTATTTATGAATAATTAAATTGAAAATGAGAAATCTTAATTGATAAGAGTTAGGGTTGTTCGTTGGTATGCTTCTTATAAATATAATCTTGAAGTTAAAGAATAATTATTGGATATAATAATTTATCAGGTTTGAAGACATAATTGTATTAAATATTATTGATTTACCGAGATATGAGGAATAAAAAGGAAATAAATATTCTTAGTAGATATATTTGGCTAATCCCTTGTAAAATAAAAAAATAAAATGGGTTCGTTTTTATCGAATAAATTCGAGTTGATTTTTATAGATTTTTATCAATTACTATTTTATAAAGTGAGAGAAAGATGAAAAATAAGAACAAAAATAGTATTTTCCATTTTTTTTATGAATAAATCAAATATCAAAATTTGATGGATAACCAATATTTTTCTTCAATAATTGATATTTAGATTCAATTTACAAGAATGTAGTCATATATAACGAACAAAGTTTATATAATTTGATAAAATTATATATGTATAATTAATGATAATTTAGAATTTTTTCGAATGACATTCCAAAAAGTTCTTATATGTTCATATGAATATATTGTTGGATGCTAGAAAAAATAATTTTATTTAATGAATTATCACCAACTTTATAGAGTTGAATAAAACAAATCCATGTCAGAATTGAAATTAAACACCTTTAGAAAATATTGTGAGCTTTCTTTAGAACAAAAGAAAGATCTGGAATGTTTTACTCTAATCAAACATTTCATAAATAAGTAAGATGACTACTAGGATACTGATTCTTCTAATGCTTCGAGTGCTTCTGAGACTTCAAATACGGTGCACATGGAAGGAAATGAATAGCAATAGATATGCATACAGATGTTTGATATTATAAGATAAATGAAAAGAGCAGTAAAATAGTCTTAAAAATTATGTTCCTCCAAGATAAAAAAATTAAATAAGGTTATAGAAAAGAGAAATAAAGAAATCAACCTGATTAAAATTAGACTTGGTCTGTTGTGAATAAAACTATTACTATATAGTTAATTAAATGTAAAATACATTTATATAAATTAATCACTTTTCTAACTCAAAATTAATTATGAATTCATTAATATCTTAATTATCATCTTCTGTTTTTAACTTAAAATACTATAATTACAATCATATACCAATTGTTTGAGTGATCNTTTTTTTTATTTATAGTTATAAAAAATTAATTAAAATTTATCAAAATTATAATAATATAAAATAATCTGCTTATATTTTTACAAATTTATTATCATTCTAAATTTTTATTTATGAATAATTAAATTGAAAATGAGAAATCTTAATTGATAAGAGTTAGGGTTGTTCGTTGGTATGCTTCTTATAAATATAATCTTGAAGTTAAAGAATAATTATTGGATATAATAATTTATCAGGTTTGAAGACATAATTGTATTAAATATTATTGATTTACCGAGATATGAGGAATAAAAAGGAAATAAATATTCTTAGTAGATATATTTGGCTAATCCCTTGTAAAATAAAAAAATAAAATGGGTTCGTTTTTATCGAATAAATTCGAGTTGATTTTTATAGATTTTTATCAATTACTATTTTATAAAGTGAGAGAAAGATGAAAAATAAGAACAAAAATAGTATTTTCCATTTTTTTTATGAATAAATCAAATATCAAAATTTGATGGATAACCAATATTTTTCTTCAATAATTGATATTTAGATTCAATTTACAAGAATGTAGTCATATATAACGAACAAAGTTTATATAATTTGATAAAATTATATATGTATAATTAATGATAATTTAGAATTTTTTCGAATGACATTCCAAAAAGTTCTTATATGTTCATATGAATATATTGTTGGATGCTAGAAAAAATAATTTTATTTAATGAATTATCACCAACTTTATAGAGTTGAATAAAACAAATCCATGTCAGAATTGAAATTAAACACCTTTAGAAAATATTGTGAGCTTTCTTTAGAACAAAAGAAAGATCTGGAATGTTTTACTCTAATCAAACATTTCATAAATAAGTAAGATGACTACTAGGATACTGATTCTTCTAATGCTTCGAGTGCTTCTGAGACTTCAAATACGGTGCACATGGAAGGAAATGAATAGCAATAGATATGCATACAGATGTTTGATATTATAAGATAAATGAAAAGAGCAGTAAAATAGTCTTAAAAATTATGTTCCTCCAAGATAAAAAAATTAAATAAGGTTATAGAAAAGAGAAATAAAGAAATCAACCTGATTAAAATTAGACTTGGTCTGTTGTGAATAAAACTATTACTATATAGTTAATTAAATGTAAAATACATTTATATAAATTAATCACTTTTCTAACTCAAAATTAATTATGAATTCATTAATATCTTAATTATCATCTTCTGTTTTTAACTTAAAATACTATAATTACAATCATATACCAATTGTTTGAGTGATCTTTGGTTAAACTTTTCTTTGGATGCAAGATTCTTGATCTACATCGATTAAGTTTCAATCAGTTTGAATAATTTCTCAACAACTTTTTCGGGATCAACTTATGAACCAGAGTCATTTGAAAATAATCTTTTTCTTATCAAGTTTATGCTATTTGAATCTTTTTTTATCATTTCTGTTACTTTATCAGAAGTGATGGCTTCTTTTAAATTCTAGTGTTCGTCCTCTTGTTTAAACTGAAAATTAAATAGGGAATTTACATTTCTTTACTGTTTTTTCATATCTTTTTCTCTGTTTTAATATCCCAAAATGACACTTGACTGATTATCAATGTATTTGACCAATCTATCATAGATTTTATCAGGATCGAATTTAAGATTGACTTCTTCTGGGAAGTATTTTCTTTATAATAAATTCGCACTAACGATAACTTTCCTAAGATATGCTTATAGTTTTTCATTAGACGAAATTTAAATCATTTTTTCTAAATTTGATAACATTTCTATAGGATCGACTAAATTTGCTCTTGGTCCATCATCCATTTTATCAGGTAATAGAGCTTTAGCTTTTGTTGTCCAATTGCAATAAACATTCATGATTTTTTTGAATAAGGTCATGTACATTTCTTTATATTATTCAAGTTCTTTGTTTGGTTAATCTTAATTTTGATTTTAATTGGATGATTACTAAACTTTATACATAGACAAATCTTAAATTTTTGATTCAAATTCTCTTTTTTATTATTATAAAGATTTTTCAAGAAATCTTTTATCTTCTTCTAAATCAGCAGTTTTCTTTGTGAGTGTTAAGACAGTGTTTTCAAAATATTCATATCTATCAATAATCTTCTCAGCTGAAAAGTCCACAAATTTTTTAGTCATAATTCTGTATTCTGGTAGGAACTTTTCGAGATCAACGCTGACTCGTTTGATATCATCCAATTGGACTTTGGATTATTTTAATTCTTTTTATAGTTGCTAATTTTTAAAGTTTAAACTTTCATTGGATGATTGCAATTCGAATATTTTGTTTTTTGCCATTTCTAATTAATCTTTAAGTTCAGAACTAAGTTTGATGAAAAAAATACTTCTCTCTTATGAATTTATCAACCTAATTTAACATTTGTAAGCTAATCCCATGTAATAATGCTTTAGATTCAGCAAGGATTTTATCCTTGGCAACGTTTTGAATCATTTGATGTAGGGTTTGTTCAGCTCTTTATTTGATGTCCATAATATTTTTTCTCCTAGGATTCATGGTAGCAATCTCAGAAGCATTTTTCACAAGTCCATCTATAATTTTCCTAGGCTGAAAACTTTGAGTTTTGAGCATTAATTTCCGTTACAAATTTTAGGATGTTACTTTTGTTTTGGTGTTTAATGCACTCTTAAAATATAAAGGAAAACATTAATTACATTAACTTATTGTTTTAGTTCATCATCTAATGCTTCTGGTTTTGTGTAAATGTAATTGCCAAAGGCATCAAAAACTATGCGATGAAAGTTCTTTCTGAATTAATCGTATTCATCAACGTTTATCTTTAACTCCTTATCGAAATAATCTTCAGGACCGTCTATTTCAGCTTGATCATTCTTCACTCTCAAATTGCAAGTCCCAACTTCTGATTTGCTAATCCCTTCGACTCTTTTCCTTTCCTGCAATTTTTTTAAGCTCCTGGGTGTAAGACTGGTGGGATTCGTATATCTATTGTTTTTAATAGATGTATCGAGGCCATCCTCAGAAGGTTAAGACATCCTAATCTCTAAGATCAAATAGTACAATATTTATTTTGTGTGAGTCAGTGCAGTTTGTGGCCTAGTGTACGATGTCTAAACTGATTAAGGAGTTTTTGTTACGGAATTATGCATTATAATAATAAAAATTATCAAGAACCCAAAATTTTTGTTATTCCTAGTAAATTTTTCATAACTTTGTGTTACAAAATTTGGCAATCCAACTGAGATTTCTGATCTCGAAGTGATTGACTCAACAACTAGAATTTATGTGATGATCATGATCTATTAAATATAAAGGGTTATATAATTTTCGGAAATTTGGAGATATAATAATAAAATATGTTTTCACTTCCAGGAAGCAAATAACGCATATTGTTACCTCAAAGACACAAGACTATTTGCTTCAAACCTGAAGTATAAGTAACCCAGAAACTGAAACATGCGAAGGCTCTTCACCCATTTCATTAATAGTTGAAACCCATCTCATCGAAATGCTTAGAATATGTACTTTCAACCAGGTAGGAAGATTAGACTATTATAAGTTCAAGCGAATCAGAGGGAGAATGTGAGAACAACAAAAGTTGTCATTGCAAGGATTGTGGACATTAATCCTAAAAAATGAAACATATGAAAAAGAAATATCGACGTTTCAGTCCTGTTATGCATGGTATAATGAGAGAAAGGAGAAGTAAACTCAAACAGAAATTTAAAAATGCAGTTTATGTTATTATGTGGATGCTAAAATTAGTGATTCAGAGAAAGAAAAAACCTGTGATTATCAAAAAAATAGTGAGATTGAAAACCAAATTATTTGAAACTCCTCCAGAACCACCCCAACAAGACCAATAGATTATTTATCTAGAAGTATCATCTTAATTCTATGTGTAAAGCCTATCCAGCCAGTGCAAGTTTAAATGATTGATTTTAAACACAAGCAACGAAAATCAATTGTCAACTATCTCAACAACAAATTGCATGATTAAGAACCCCATCTAAATAAATATCAGTTATCACTTACTAAAATAAGACAACAAAATAATCTCTCCAGTAGCCATTCCAGATTACTACTAAAACCATTGAAAACCTAGAATTGTGAAGTTCTAACTCCCCAAAGAAACTATCTGCAAACTATCATACACAAGGCTACCCCTCCACATCAATCCTCAAGTTCGCCTTATCTAAAATAACCCCCTTTAACAACAAGAGCAAAATATTTATAAACTAGACTTTTCCTATCTGGAAGATATTGATTTTGTGAATAGTTTATACTATGTAAATTGCAGATATGTTATAAGTTATAATTTCTATATTGTTTTTTTAAACTAATTAAACCAATAATATGAGCTAAAATCTAATAGAAAAATAATCTATATTCCTAACCACATATATTTAAATATTATTCTATACAAAAATTATAATGAAATGGGCAGTAATATTTAATACTACAAAAACTTATTAGACTTTTTTATGAATTTTGACCTCAAATAATGATTATAATTTAACATAAAAAGAAGATTTTACGTTTCTTTTATATTATGTCAATATCATCCATAAACCAGATTAAGCAATCAAACTGTAGATAGGAAATAACAATAAATGTATATTGCAATTTAATGAATTGATATTTAAAACATTAATTAATATAATAATCTCAATTACCTTTTTCTTTAATTTTTTTATAAACATTGTCTTAGTATTTAATTTACTTTTTGATTTCTTTATACCTATTACAAAGTAAAAATAAAATAAAGGATAGGATTAATAATAGTAGCACTAAAATGATGCCCAAAATTATAACAGCTTCATAATCTGCCTTGTTGGTCTCATACTATGTTCATAACTCTAATTAGAGTACCTACAAATTCATTGAGAAATCTACCAAAATCCCTTCTTAAGAAGTAATATATCTATTATAAATAAGAAATGCAGGAGTGATGAGTGTATCAGGTTTTTGGATGATGACATTGTATAGAAAATTGGAAATGGTTAGATTTTAAAACCCATCGCAAATGAGAAATGGCAATTAGGAATGATTGCCATAAATGTTTTGTTTGAGATGGGAAGTGACAATCTATTAGCATTGATATTCATCATCTTCAATAAATATGGTTTCTTTAAGGCAATCCTAGTAGTTTAATTTTAAAACAGCAACACAATGATACTCGTAGGAGGAGGAATCTGGAATGTAAAGTAATGTGTAAGGGTGATTGGCTTATATGCTAAGATTGAAATTGAGGTTCCCAAATTAATAATTTGTTGTGAATTGCTTAATGATGGACAGATGAACGACTGCTTGTTCTTGTTTTTTAATCGAATATGATTGTGATATAAGAGTAGTGTGAGCGACACAAAATAACAAATAAATAATCATTATATAATAATGAATAAAAGTATTAGTAATTATTATTATTTATAATATTAAATAACTGATAATGTTTAGCAAGAATAGACAGGAGTAGTTGAGAACGTTCATGGCTGAAAATCAGGATCCGATGATTTTGACAAGTATGCTTCAATAATTGAATTATTGTGTGGACAGATGTTCATAGGAGTTGGTATAGGGAAACAATGAGATAAAAAATGTGTAGATGGAAAAGAAGTTGAAGAGTGAAAGGACAAAAAGAGCTGTTAGTTAAGACAATACATGTTACAATCCTCTGTGGTTGATAAATAAGGACAAGAGAAGAATTGTTGAGCGACATAATTAAGAATTCAATACATTTTTACCTTAGGTAAAGAGATTGATTTGAATTTGAGAGTTTGTTTGGAGTGAAAAGGACAAGGAACCAGAGTAACCAAATCAAAGACTGAAACCTTTGGCTCCAATAAAGGGAACTATCAACAGGCCAAGGATATTGTTGCCCAAAGAGATACGCAAAAACCCATTGAATCAAAGGAAAAGAATTTACGAAAGTTTGATTTATAAAGAAGGTCTATGCAATTTGATAAATAAGGGGTTAATTGACAAACACATCGATGTGAGTCCGGCTTTTGAGTTTAGTTTGATGCTAATGTGATAAAACGGATATGCATTATTAATTTTAATGAAAATAGTATTATTGCTATGCATGATGATGGCTGTCTCTTTGGGAATTTCATCTAAATTAAGTCATGCTAAGAAGTTGGAAGAACTTCGTGGTAGTAAACTGGGCAAGACTATTTTAAATTTAGTGAATCTTCATTCTTCAGTAGAAGGTCCCATTTCTGAATTGATAGAAGCAATAGAAGAGTTAGTAAGATCAACAATAATAATAGATAGCTGACATCAACACCAATATTGATGAAGTGGAATACAAATTTTAAGTACGCACAAATGAGCACAATTCCTATGTGGCTCAGGTGGGATAACAATTACAAGATGCTGAATAAGATATTGCAAGAATGATTGATGTCATAGATAATTTATTGATTCCAAGAAGAGATCAAATAAGAAATAAAATTGAATCCCTCATTGAATATGATGAATTTAATAGAAAAAACGTAGATGAAACTACACTCCTTAGACAATAAGAACATGAGGCATACCTTTAATAAATAGAGGAAGACAACGATGCACTTGATGCTATTGACGATGCCATCAATTTGGTAAGTTCTTTATCAAATCCATCTTTGTTACAAATCAAGAATATCAAATTTACATTGAAGAGATTGTCATCCAAATAATGGAATCGTGTTCATCAAGGACCTATGGTACAAGCTTTGCTTTAGATCGCATTAAACTAAAATTTTAGTGACTAAGGAATATTGAAACAGATTGTAGATGCATTAAATGAATTCAGAAATCAAGTTGTCGAAGCTATGAATGCATTAACTAAACAAGAGTAAGTTAATAATGAAGAGTTTGAAGAAAGATTAGAACAGTTGGATAATGAGCATCGAGAATTCCAGAGATAAATCAATCAAGCTCAAGTGGAGTTGGATGCTACAGATCGTAATTATATTTCACTATTTAATTGTAGAAAAACTAGAAGATTGCAATCAATTCCTTGTTCAGAGATAGGCTGACAGATTATAATACAAATCCCAATTGGATCTAGAAAATGAAACCTATGCTGTCGACACTGACATACACACTCAAACTGCTAATGAACTCCAAAGGGAATTGCCTATTGCAGAATAAGGATTATCGCTAATAAAATCAGCCGATTTTTCTGATATTAAGATATGAATCATAATAAATAATTATTTATTTAATAATGAAAAGCAAAATAAAAAAATAACCACCTTAATATGCCCTCAAATTAACAAAAGTAAATTAGACTCTTGACTCCAAAAATCTCAAAGTACTCAACCTTTAAGGATTATAATTATTACAAATCGATATCAGAGTGGAAAATCTACTAACTCTTATTTTAGATTGTAACAATCTTAAGAATGTAGACATCATTTCTCAATTTCCCAATTTAAATACTTTGTCAATAGCTCATAATCAAATAGAAGAATTCGATGTCCCCTCAAGTATTTTACTCAATATTATCAAGCTCTTAGAATATTAAATATATCTAATAATCTCTTAAAGACTATCCATCTAAGATAATTATAACAGCTAGATGCCAGTTCCAATTAATTATAACTCCTTAAATAAGATTAATAAAACAATCTCACTTAGTTTAAAATAGATTGGCTAAAAATAATAAATTAAAATGATGTCTGGGAACATTTAACAATAAAATAATTTGCAAATTAATAATAAATTACTTTCCAATAATTTTTAGACAAAGCAATCGATTTACTAATACAATATGGATTCAAAAAAGAGAATAATTGTTTCGACTAAAAGATTATTCACACTTCAATACTCTAAAATGATAAATATTATTTTGATTTAATCTTACCCTATTACAAAGAGAATCGGCATCTTTTTGATAATTCTGAAACTCCTTTGTGTTTGGCAATCAAAAAACTAAAAATGAACTTTATCGGAGATCTCATGAGTAACATACCTATCAAATACGAAATCGATGCATTTCATGAATCCATTAAACAAGGACAAATATCTCTAGTAAAACAATTCCTAGAGTTGGGAATCGATTCTAATGGATATAGTTAAAAGGGGATGACTCCCCTAACGAATGCAGTCTTGAACATTACCTAAATGAATATGGAGATGATCATTCATCTGCTCCTTTAAAGTTAAGCTAATCCCAACAAATTAAATTAAAATGGGTATTCATTAATTCAAATGTGCATCATTAAATCCAATCTAACTGCACTTAGATTCATTGCAAATCTGAATAAAAAAAAACAAACTAGGTTGAAATTTAGAATGAACATTAAAAATACTAACGGAGATTATCCTTTGCATTTAGCTGTGAATAGTGTCAGCATCCTCTATTTTCTGCTCAATAATTAAATTGGAAATCCCTTATAAGTTAATTATTAAAATCTGACAGCCAAACAAATGCCATTCTCTTAGAATAGACCCCTTGTGTATAAATTGCTACAAAAGGAAGAGAGACTTTAAGTCGCAAAATAGTTAGCAAAAAATGATTTAAAATTTAGAGTGTTGAACAAGTGTTAAAACACTTAAAAAGATTATAGTAGTGACAGTTCTTGTCCTGAGTTATCTGAAGATGAAATGCCCAATAAACCAAAAATTAACAGAAAATATATCACTGAAATCGATGAATTAAGTGAAGATATCAGACAGTTATCCGAAGATGAAGAGTGTTAACATAATTGCAGTTCAGAATCAGAAATATAATATCCAAAAGATAATCTAAAGTCCCTCAAATTAGTTCAATTAAATTATTAAAATTATCAACTCTTTAAACTCAATTCACATATTAGATAGAACAGTATATTAATCAATAAAATCAATAAGAAAAGATTAAACGCAGATTAGTTCAATTATTACTCAAGACAAGGATAAAACTTTAAAGAAAAAACAACTTCTTTAGTTTGTCTCAGACAGGAACTACTCCTTTTGGGATAGATAAGATAATACCAAGACCTAATTTGTTCTGATTTTACTTCATACATGAATAAACTCAATCAAACTATACTCAATTTAGAGTCGGAGTTTCAAAAGGATTTGCTTAAAGATTATATGAATTTTTAATAAGTTTAATTTTTAATATGAGTTACTTAGTGATATCAATATTAATTATTTTATGTAGAGTATTTAAGAGTCAATTATTGATAAATACCCTGATAGAGTGTATGATTATTACAAATAATTCTTAGCCCAATTTTACTTGAAATAATAGAAAAATCTAAACTTCAATTTTCGGATGGATCAAAATTCAAAAAGTATTTGGTTGATAAATCAGATCACTTTTATCACTTTTTTTAAATACTAAGAAACTCTTTAAAATTGTCAAAGTAAGAATCCATCTATTTATTTGTGAACAAAACCGGGTTGATCAAACCAGGTAATTAAATTTTCATATTTAGAAAGTTAAGTTGGAGAAATCTATGCAAAATATCGTAGCAATGATGGGTTTTTAAGAATCATCTTAAATGAATATGCTACATTTGGAAATTGTTGAGGATCGATTATTTATTTCTAAATAATTTTTATTATTGTATTTAAAATAATATAAATTCAGAGAAAATGTTAAATTCTATTTTTAATGAATTCTAAATATACTCCTCCAGCCTTACTTTAAATTATTTTAGTAGGTTCCATATACTTATAGAACTAATTTTATTCTCATGATTTCTAAATTTCATAAATATATGCCATCCTAATCATTTTTAATCATAATTTTGGAATTTTCGTTTTTTAAAACCTAGAATCAGGAAGAAATGCTTAAAACATGAATTTGACAAGATCATTTAATAAGTACAATACTTCCTTTTTTATTCTATAACTATTTTATATCATTTTTATTATTTATCTCTTCCTAATTTCTTAAGGTATTAATCTTCATTTTTAATTCTGATTTTCCGCTTTTTGAATAAATGGCTCATTTCACCTTTTATATCTTCGAAAGTATCATATCATTTTTATTTTTTAATTATTATTAACCCATTATTAGGCTCATTCATTCTTCACCTTTTTTCATAATAGTTTAATGACAATAACAAATAATCTGAGAATGATGATATTGCAATAGATTCCCATGATGTATCAATAAGTAGAATCTACTCTACTTAATCTTATATTAGGAATTTGAAGAAACTAAAATAATTTATTGCAAAAATCTCTAGAGGAATATGGTTAGAAACTGGAATAAATGTAAAATTGAGATGAATAAACAAATTCCTTGATACTACTGGATGAGATCAATTATAATGATATTTTATTATACATATTTATACGATATTATATTTGTTGATTTAGTAATAATGGAAAACTAACATCCATTCATCGTACTTCTTCTGGGAGACTGCAATACAGGGAAATCAACAATAGTGGGGAGATATTTGGAGAACAAATTAGTTGAACCACAACCAACAGTTGGAATAGTAAAGCGAGAGAGCCAAATAGAAATTGGTAACAGCAATTAGAAGGCTTAAGTATTTTGGTTAGCTATTTAGATCTACGACACATCTGGGAATGAAAAATTTAGAGCCTAAGTTTTGGCTGAATTTAAGAATTCATCAGCTGTGGTATTGGTTTACGATATAACTGATTATCAAAGCTTTTAAAATGTGCAGACGTTACAGAAAGGTATTGAGTAGATTGATTGTGACTTAGAGGTGGCAAGATAGAATCCAAATATAGATTATTGGATAGTTGTGGGAAACAAGTTGGATTTGAAGGAGCAAAGAAAAGTTCATATGGATGAAGGAAAGAAGTTTGCATCAGCGATTGGGGCTAGATTTATGGAATGCTCAGCTTAACAACCAAGCAATATCAATTTGATATTCTTGACAATTCAACAATGGACTTAGATTAACATTTAACCGAAATATGTCCCAGAGCAAACTCAAAGACTTTTGGAGAAATTGAATAATGATGAGCAACAAAAGCAACTTTAGACTTCTACCTCGAAAAACAATTAAACAAAATTCAAAAATAAGAATACGAGTTTCTCTTTGATATAGAATAATACGAATAATGTAGTTTCGTCGTCATTTGATGATTAATAAAATTCATTTAATGGAGATAGCATGTAAGATTATTTTGCATAATTATTAAAAAAAGCAGATTAGTAGACTCAAAAAGTAAATTAATGATATTATAAAGTTAGCAGATGTGATTGTAGAGGAAGCATAAGAAAATATAATTTAATCGTTGAAATAACAAACATTGACAATTTCAAATTCGAAACCACTATATCTTCTCGAAGATCCAAGTTCTCAGTTATAAGAGAAAGCTGAAGACAAAATATCAATGATGAAAAAGAAGCATAAATAATTAGATAAGTTGAGGAAAGAGATTGCGTAAAACTTGTTACTTGTTCAGGAACAAAGGAAGAAGCTTACAACTGATTAAGTTATTGAGAACACTTAAACTTAAAAGTTAGAGAGAGAGTTATAAAAAAGATTGTTGAGTGTTGAAAAGAATATGGATTTCTTGAAAACTGATATCATTTTATCCTAAAAGTCACAGAAGTTTTGTACTAATAAAAATCATTTTCTATCAAGTGATTAAACTCAAATTCTCAAATAACACATTAACTAAATTCAAAATCCGGAACACATTAAAGAGTAGAATGAACAGATTGCTAAAATCAAAATTGAAAGAAAGAAACTAGAAGAATCAAGAAACAATAGATATAAACAATATGTTGATAATTTAGAATCTCTGTTGAAATAGGAGAAGGAAGTTAGGTAAAAGAATGAATAAGATTTAATTCTAAAGAGAAAAGAAAAGGCCATGTAAAAGATAGCATCAATGGATAAAATACGATAAGAGCGATCATAATAAATGATTAAGCAGAATGAATAAGTGAAACAAATTATTGGAACAACACCTTTACATATTAAATTAGAAAATGTATTCTAAGAGAAGAATAATACCTCGTAATTAGAGGAACACAAATTAAAATTGAAATAAATTAGAGATCTACATTAACCTGTTAGAATGAATGATTTGAAAGTATGGGAAGAAAATTATGAAAAAAGGAGGAAATCATAGGAAGATATAAGAAATTAAAAAATTCTCAAAAATAATCAACTATCCTATCATGCATCTTATGAATCCTCTGCTTATAAATAAGTTAAAGAAGAATAAGCTAAATATCTAAAAGAAAAGGAATAAACACTCAAGGACTAGTAATCAAAACAATAAGTTAAATAGGATTTCATAAATAAGCTTAAGGATTACCTCCCTTCTATTAGCCCAGAGAAATAATAGGAGTTAGAGTAGATCATTAATAAGGCACATCACAAAATAAACTTTTATGAGTTCATAGAAATGACTAAGAAAGTCAAGTTAAAAGGAGTGTTTTTTGACAAGGAGGGGAAAATCCTAGAAAGAAGTGTTGATGTAAAATTCTTATATACATAAGATAGGAAGAATACTATGAGAAAATAAAGGAAAATGAAAAGAATGAAGAATAAAATGCTAAGGTAATTGGAAATAAGTATCTGAACGATATGAGAAAGATTGTCAAAAAACCTAGTTAACATCAAAGTGTCGATAAGCTCCAATCTCAATCAAATCCAGAATAAGGGTATTAATAGGCAGTTAGAAATCCGAAGCAAAATAAGTTGAATGAAATCAAATCTCATTGGAAATTAAAGCCCAAATTGACATTTGAAGAAACAGATCTTGAAAAAATCATAGATGGAAATGAGGGTATGTATTTAAAATATTGGAGTGAATGGATTCTCAAATCATCATGTCATGCAAGAAGCAAATAAATTAGCATTTGAAGCAGTCAGAAAAATGTAGATCATAGAAGCGAAGGGAAAGGGGAAAGAGTGCTTTAAAGATATTGAATCAGCAGATAAGTTGCTAATCAATTCCATCAAGGTTGATATTTGATAGCATTTATTTTTAGGCTAAACTTTCTCTAATGGAAAAGGAACTCAAGTCTGAGAATCGAGGATAAGAGACATCTACTAATCAGAATCGGGGGAGAAGTAATACTAAATAGCATGTATGAAGCCATTTTTCATATTCATTAAAACTCATTAAAATTTTACTCCTCATCACATTGCAGCTCTTATGCTTATCTATTTTCCATTTACATTTAATCATAGGTCTATATCAACTATTTAATTTAATAACTCTTTTCAGTTTCAAAGTTTAAACAAACTTTCTTATTGATTTGAATGCCATAATTGTTAGTCAAGGGATTGAAAATATAAATTCCCAAATTCTTTTGGAGTGAACTGATCTACTCGATTTCTTCATAATCAAGTTCAAGGATTTCAAGTTGGGAATTAAGTTGCTTGAGAAAAGTGATGCATTTATAGTTTATACACAAATAAAAAGATGACCATGTACGACAATCATCAATAATATAAGAGGATGAAAATTTATTTTGTTTTTTCTTTTCTTCCCAATATTGTTTACTCAATTCATACAAATACATTAGGGTCTCCTTATCGCTTTGAACTTTAAAATTAGTGACACCAAAGAATTTAGTGGATTTCAGGATATCCAAAAAGATTAACATGGCATAGTGAGCTTCAGTCTTAAGAACGGTCAAATTGTCTGAAATGTCTGACTCTGTAATTTGATTGTTGGGTTCTTCGTGATTTGCATTTTTTTCAGAATCTTAATTCTATTTTGACTTTTGGTTTTCTTTCTTTTAATCTTCTGTATATTCATTCATAACCAAAGTGTAGAAATTATCAAATATAGTTGGTAAGAAGTTAACCCATGTTTCTTATTGGATATATTTAAAGATTTAATGAGGAATCAGCTAAGAGAATAATTAAAATTAATACTTACTTTTTTTATTTCATTAAATGGGATATTGTTTTTATCTATCTTTTTGAATTTATTTAAAATTAGATATAATGCTGCACAAATAACATGATTTTTTTATTCCAAAATCAATCTCTAATTGGTAATATCATCAAATAATTAATAACTAACAATTGTCAATCTGACCAAATCACACTTACAGAATTCAGTCTCTTCCTCACAGTTTACATACAGGTATTTTCGCAATTATAACAATTTCTAATTATATTGAGGTTAATTTTAAGCTTTTTTGAACAGTCCCTTGGTTTCATCTGTTTTGATCAATAAGTTCCATAATTTTTCATCTTTATCCAATGGTTTCAACATCTAATCATCAAGGAGATACAACTTAAAATCATATGAATATTAAAGTTAGATGTCTGCTGCTACTTCATCTCTTAATTGCTCAGCATCTGTTTCTCTACATATTTGGTACTCCTACTCAATGGGCTTGAAATTTTTGAATATTAGCACTTTTATCTTAACTAATTACAGGTTTCCCTCCCCTTAGACAATCATTGATCCCTATCGTGAATTACATCTAGTATCTGCAGCAAGTAACTAGGAAGCAGAAACTTTACGACTATTTATCATACTGGAGGCTCTTAAGCCTTTGATGTTTTGCTTTTACTCTTATGGTTACTCTGAAATTTCAGATTGCTACTACACCTCATTCTTAGTGGCAGTCTATTGTATCTATCTAAATAAATCACCCATGGGCTTAACAGGGCCTCTTGGAGTACTCACTTAGGTCTAGATGGTAGTAACATTGGATTAATCAAACTTTCTGAAACTTGCTTATTTGAAGCTGTTTTCGATGAGTGTAGTTAATGGTTTTTTGTTTCCTCTGAAGTTTAAGACAGATAGATTAGTTGATTCTCTTTCTTTTTCTTCTTTTAGTTTTCTTAAGAGACTGTAAAAGTTCTCGTGGAGGCCAAGTTGATTGAGTATTTATTTTTAATACTGGTTTTCTGCTTTAAAGTCTTTAGAATTGAGTAGTAATAGTAAGAATTCAGTCATTAAGAGTTTTCTTCTCTAAACTTAAAAATAAAATTAGTTACATCAACCACAAGGGCTTCATTCCTATCAAAGTAGGTATTTTCCTTGATTTCAGGTATTTTGATATTGGGAAACTTGGATTTGGCAAATTCCATGGTTGTTTTGAATTAGCTAAATCTCAAATAGATTTGTTGGGTGATGATATTATTAATCACAATTTCAAAGACATATCTCGTAAACTTTTTGTTGGAATTGTCAAGTAATTCCTGAGTTCCCTAGATTTAAACAGTGACCACAAAATTTTACTGAGCATTCTATTCATCCTAAGGTACATAATCTGGTTTGATTTCTTAAATTAATTTGTTTCTTCTATCTTTCTTCTCTTAGAGTTGTTGTATGATTCCATTAACGAACTCTATTTGTTCTTTAAGATCTTTTTCAGAGTCTTGACTCTAGACAACAAAGGTTACATGGTTGTCTGATCCATTAATTTAATACAAGAACTTATAGTTATACATTTCAGCCATTTTATTGCATTGACTAAGATGGTTTAGAGTAATGAAGGTTCTAAATACTTGACCCTGTTTGATTTGATCTCTTTCTGTGATTAATATTAGATCGGAGAAAAAGTAGACGATGACAGGTCGAACTTCACTTTCTATTGTGAAATACATTTAAAGGGATTCTTCTTTTAGGAATTACCTGTTCAGTTCCAAAATTTTGACATGTTTGCCATATTGTTATTGCAATTCAAAAATTTATTGTTTTGATAACAAATTGTCCATGGCTTTGTTATTTTGGTTAGCAACTGCTTCGAATTCTTGGAGGATCTTTTGGAATTTGGGGTAGTCTTGATTTTCTTGGTTTAGATTTTTGAGGTAATCCTTAAATAGGAGAACATATTTAGGGATTCTTTAGACTGGCAAAATTAAGTAATAGTTTTCTAAAGTCTTACCAAGATTTTTCTTATCTGCTTAATCTAGAAATGATTTATACTGTTTATTGTTGTGTCTGAGATTGGTTTGTAATTTGATGGCATTTGCGTAATTAATTAAATAATCTTGGTATATTTTAAAGAAGTTGGCATGTGAGAGCAGCTGTTTGATGGCATTCTGATATTCTTGATGGTAATCTTTTTGGAGGTCTTTGAAGATGATGAGTGTTTCTTGTGATAGCATGTAGATAGATTGAATATTGGAGAAGAGTCCTTTGATTTCACTTGAGGAAAGGATGCCCTTGGAATCAGACAAGGGTTTCAAATAGGAATGGATCATAGTTTTGAGTGCTGAGCAATAGATTTCTTCGGTTGCAAGCAATTCATTCAATACTTGTTTTCTATATCTGTATTTGTGAGTCTTTTTTAAAGGGGCCACTCTCTTCTTAACCAAGTAGGTTCTAATTTTGGATTGAATGTAGACAATTTATTGTAGGTGATCACGTTGTATTTGTTGTGGCTGTTCATTTTCTTCCAGAATTGATCTTGCTTCTTTGACTGTGGCACTGATTCGACCAATTGTCTGTTCATCATCTTGAAAGTTTGACATTGAGAGTTTGACTTTGTGGGATGCTCTAGTACTCTTATTGATGGATGTATTTTAGACAATTTGATTAAGTTTGAGTTTGGTTGAAGTGTAATTTGAATTGGTAGGTAGGAATGATTCTTTATGGGTTTGTGAGGGCTGGGTTTCTAGAGAGCACTTAAAATTGAATATTACTCAAATATTGATATTGGAAGATTTGAAACATGTTAGGTTTGGTTTTCTTTTGCTTTTTGGTCGTGTGATCTGACGGGTTCATAAATTTTGTATTTTAAAATAAACTATTTTCTTCGGAGAATACAAAACTTGAGTTATTTTTGTAAATATATTATAAAATGAGCATTTTTGAATCTCAGAATGCAATTCAAGAAATGCGTAACGCCATAGGGAAATCAGAAAATCTCTAGAATATTTACAAGGAAGTAGTTAGTCCTTCTGAACAATCCAATTAAAGGTTGCTATATGATGCAATTACTATAGTTATTTTTCACCTAGTCATAGTTAAATGGTAGTCGATAAAGAAAAGGTCTTGATCAATAAGTACAGCAATCTGCTCACGACTCAACCAATAGGGTAACCCTTCTTTCATGATCGTAGAATGACGCAAGTCTGGAAGAGCAATGGATTAATAATAATTACAATGATCATACGATTCCTGTATACGTTGAAGTTGCAGACGGAATCCATGAAGTACAAACTCTTAAACAAGAGGATCTTCGCCATGATTTAGGATTTGTCGTCTGACTACCTGAACATTGTGCGTCATAGGAACAATAAGTATCAAATCAAAGGGAGATCAGAATTGAGAGTTCATTACTCCCTCTTTAAAAAGCAATTGAGAGCCTTGCTTGATTATTATGGCAGATTCATACCGATCTTCTAACCGGATCAGAAATTCATCATCTATTATGAACTCTGTCTCATGATATCGATAACGGTGAATCTATTTTACGTTCCCATCAACATCAGCTTTCTGAACCAAGGAGTATCCATACCATTTGATGCAATGCCCACCATCTTGTAACTGATATGGATCTTCATCTCATTCAATCTATCATTTTACGAAGACTAAACATTACAGAAGAACAGAATTAAAATAGCTAGTAATTATCTTAAGAGTCAATTTACATTCGACTTCATTATCGTCTTTACGCTCTACTTCTAAATACTATATGGCTATTTCGTGCCCCTGATCTCCTTTGTATTACGAATCCCTAAATTGATAAGGCTGTTGGATCAATTCGAATATAACACCAATTTCAAAGAGAACCTGGCAGCCATAATAGACCTCATGAAATTGATTGTCATGCTCATTTTCATCATCCATTGTTGTGCCTGCAGTTGGCATTTCTTGGGTGTCTACGAGAAGGAGTATTCCATCATTGGGAAGAATTGGTTGGACTATTACGATATCGGCCATTTGAGTTGGATTGAACAGTAAATAATAACATTTAATTAGAGATACATTGCATCTTTATACTTTAGTGTAATTACCACACTGACTGTTGGCTATGGGGACATCACTCCTTAATCAGCCTATGAATAGCTCTTTGTTATTTTTGTAGCCATGAGTTTATGCGGAATGTTGGGGTACACCATAACCAACATCGGAGAAATCTATAGATCCATGAATGAGAAGAAGAGACAGTATAAGACCCAGATGAAGGCCATTGAGTAAATCATTAGACAAAGAAATCTCAACGACAAACTCTCAATCAAAGTCAGAAAATACTATCAGCATCTCTTTCAATAAGAGTAGCAAGAGAACTCTCAAGGAGAACTACTACTCACCAAATTGACTCGCAATCTGGAAGAAGAAGTCATGATCGATACTTATAAAGCCACTCTCATGAACTCCTATTTGTTGAGGCAATTCAAGGAGTCCACCATTGAGCAACTGTGTACCAAAGTTAGAGTCCAAAAATTACAACCTGGAGTTGAACTTGTCAAGGCATAGCAATTTGCTGATCAGTTGATTTTTCTATTGAGTGGAGAATTAACCTTACTAGGACACAACTCCAGATAACCCATCATCCTTAAACAACTTACTCAAGGCACTGTGATTGGAGAGTAGGAATTCACTGAATAAGGGTTCTATGATTACATTGTACTCAGTCAAGGATATAGTAAGATTGCTACCATTTCTAGAATTGCATTTTATGAAATTTTATAATATGATAGATAAGAATTTGAAAAGATGTGTAAAATTAGAGATTAATATAAATTTAGTGTCAAGAAAAGAAATGTCATTGGAAGAACTTGTGAAATCTGTGGGTGGACGCATGGATATTTGTAATGTCCTATGACATTTTATTAAGTGGATAAGATGAAGTTGCTCTCTAAATATAGACAGAATGTAGAATAAGAACGAAAATATCTTAATGATTTTAGGAGAACTCACAAATATAATACCCTATCTTAATTACAAACTGCTTAAAATGCTTGTCTCGACTTCATGATCAGCTAGAAAATACTCGATGAAATGTATCAAATTTATTAAGCTTTTCTATAGACCAAATTAAGAATAAAATGATGATTCTAACTACAAGTTGAGATTGAATATTCATGATGCTGATTCCTAAAACTTAGACTCTAGCAAATCTCTCTAAGAAGAGACCAAAGGCAATCAAGCTAGTCTCTAAAAATCCCCTATTAAAACCACCACTACTAAATTTCAGTTCTTCTCTAAATAAACGGATCAATCACGAGATCAACTCTAACACCCCTTATTTCAAAGAAAAAGTATCAAAAAGCATTCCCTCGTCATTGATAATCCTAGTAATACTAAAAAAGAGGATGACCTGAAGACTTACATAGAAGAACTCATTTAAAAATTGAGTGTTAATTAAAAAGAAAAAGAAAGGGAAAAATCATTAATCCAAACTCAAAATAAAATTACAACCTATAATCCAGATCTAGAGTTTGAGGTAATGCAATCTTATAAGTATTATTTCCCTCAGTTTAACATTGACAATATAATCGATAGAGTCAATGTTACTTATGATAAATTCATGCAAAAAAACAAGAAAAATCCAATACGAATATTTGTAAATAGAAGAAAATTAAAGAGAAAAATAATTATTAAAGACTGACAAATTTGAAAAACTGCTATTAAAATTATATATATCAATATATTAATAATTATATTATTTAATCAAATGAAAGATAATTAATTATACTCTATGATCGATATCCCCTTAAACAACTTAATAGTAAAATTGAGGTTTTGTTTTATAAATGAGTTTCTAAATTTGTCATTCCTATATCTATGATTTTGTATTAACTTTTTGATCATCCTTATTATTGATTTAATTAAATTAATAATGAAAAGAACAAAGGAAACTATCTTTAGACAACATCCCGACTGGTAATAAAGACAAGGAATCAGTGGACTTAAGGAATTCGATGGTGAAGATCTATGTACGTCCTATATTATTATGTTCGTTAGAATATGATGCTCGAAATAAATTTAATAAAGAGTAACAGAAGCAATGGATTTAGGAGTAAATCGAAGAAAAGAAAAGAAAATAAGAATAAGAGAAGGCTGAGGAAATGGCTTATGCATAACAAACTTTGGAAATCAATAGATTTAGAGGAATGCTGTAAGATAATTTTGCAGCCAGGAAAACTGATATTGGAGTTGCTACTAAATAAACTAATCTATAATTTGTATTTATTACATTCTAAACTCTTAGGCTAAAGAGAAGAAAGACAAAGAAGAAAGAGATAAATAAGAAAGATTATAATATGAGAAAAATGAAAGAGATTTATTACTTGAACGTGGACGCAAACAACCCTATAATGGATGATACAATGATTTTATTATCAAAAGTCAAACTTATGTTATATTCTAAACTAGATGATTCTTCATACTCCCCATCATTTCTTAAGTATTTACGCATAAATTTTATTATGCATATTTAAATTTATTACTGTGTTACTTTAGATAAAATGAGAATAATTTATTCATCCCAATTATTCGTTATCTAAATGGTTTTATCAGATTTCTAAATAGTTCTAGCACAATTATATAAAATCTTTGAACTTCATTTTTAAGATAAAATTATTTGATTGCTTTCCTTTTATAAAGATAATTATAATCATTATATATTTTACAATTAAATACTCGATTGCAATAGGTTAGGATATATAAATTGAGGTTAGATACAATATAATCAAATTTGTAAACACTTACACTGGATTCTCGTTAATACATTTAAATAATGGCTAAAATCTTATTAATTTAGTAAAAAGAATTAAGTTAAAATGTGAATGATTTTGGAAATTATCATCAAGATTTCCACATTGGCAAGAAAAGGTAGAATGCATAAATAATCTACTAAAGAAAATTTTTAACATAAATATTAAATTTATAACAGACTGCAATACAAATGAAGCGCGTTTCACCAAAAATAATTGATAAATTTAATGCAGATCCTCGATCATCATTATAATCCTGTCATGTATCTAAATCTAAACCTTTAATACCAAAAACCCCGCTTTAATATTCAAAGTCTAGTAGTTTAATTTAATCTTTAAATGGGTTGAGCAAGTACTTTAATAAGAAAGAAGAAAATAACCAAATTGCTTATTATGCACCTTAAAGTATTTAAAGATCATCAGCTTCATTATCACACAGGGAAAAAATAACTGATGATATTTAAAATAAAAGTCCGCTTTTTGTAAAGTAACTGTTATTTGGTAAAGATAATTAGAAGGAAAATTTTAATTATATATCAAGCAAATCAGCTTAAATACCTTATTTCAGTATTATTTAAGAACCGAAGCTAGTCAAAGATAATAATAGTAGTCATAAAAACAATATAAGTAAAATTCTTAGGAATGAAAAATCTATGAGTGGATCTATTGATAATCAGTAAGATTGGAGAGTGAAATATGAGGATTTACAACAAAGTTTATGCGAGAGAATTCAATAATTAGAAATTGAATTACAAAATATGGAGAAAAATAAAAAGATTGATCAAAAGCATACTGATTAATAAACAAATCAGTATATTGAAAAATTACAATATATTGTATCTGAAAAGGATTAAGAGATTCTTGAAAAGGATTTAAAAAATGAGAAACTACAAAAGATTATTGATATGTAGCAAATAGAAATATAGAAGTATAAGGATGGAATGTAGAATATAAAAAACTCTAATGAGATCCAGAGATTATAGTAAATAGATTAAAAATTCCAACTAATCAAAGGAAATTTTTCATCACTTAAAATTAATATTTAGCAAATTTTTGATGTTGCTTAATCAGAATAATAAATACATAATTTATCTCTATCTTCCTATTCTGTAATTGAGATGATCAATGAGTTCAATTAAGTCATTGAAAAGAGCACTTAGAAGTCAATGCAAAAGTAATACTAAAAGGAATTCTAATTGCCTTGAGTCAAAACAACTACGACTTTGAGTATTCTGAATAGGAAATAGAAACTAATGATTTCAATTAATTTAAACAATTTTATGATTACTTAATTGAGGCAGTATCTCTTAAAATGGAGGAATTCTTAAGATGGATTTATGAAATTCTCTTTCAGATTAACGATTGAATTTATAATATTAAATTATCTGTAGAGATGGACTCGCATGAATTCAAAGAGAATTATTATGATGCAAATGTTATGAAAAGAAGAAGAGTGTAGGATAAAGTAATGGTGGCTCCAATCTTGGAAGTCTTTATGGATATTTGTAAAAAGCTGGATTATGTAATCAAAATTAATTTAAAAAGAGACATCAAAGGAATATTTGTAGATGGTGATACCAATTAATGAATCAAGAGAGGGTCTTTAAAATACTGATTAAATTATCATATTGAATTATTTAAAATAGATAGCTATTTATTTGATAAAATCGAAATTAGAATTAGAGGATAAATTGTGTTCTCTTGGAGATGTCAAATAGTTTGAAATTGAGTTATAGACGATGGAAGCAGATATAAGATAACATATAAGAGTGCAATAATAACTTTAAATTTTGCTAGAATAAGCATAATAAAAGCTAGATGAATTTGAATCTGAAAAACTTAAAACTGAATAGTTTATAACTGATTTAAAAAAAAGTCTTGACAATAAGGAAANTATATCAAGCAAATCAGCTTAAATACCTTATTTCAGTATTATTTAAGAACCGAAGCTAGTCAAAGATAATAATAGTAGTCATAAAAACAATATAAGTAAAATTCTTAGGAATGAAAAATCTATGAGTGGATCTATTGATAATCAGTAAGATTGGAGAGTGAAATATGAGGATTTACAACAAAGTTTATGCGAGAGAATTCAATAATTAGAAATTGAATTACAAAATATGGAGAAAAATAAAAAGATTGATCAAAAGCATACTGATTAATAAACAAATCAGTATATTGAAAAATTACAATATATTGTATCTGAAAAGGATTAAGAGATTCTTGAAAAGGATTTAAAAAATGAGAAACTACAAAAGATTATTGATATGTAGCAAATAGAAATATAGAAGTATAAGGATGGAATGTAGAATATAAAAAACTCTAATGAGATCCAGAGATTATAGTAAATAGATTAAAAATTCCAACTAATCAAAGGAAATTTTTCATCACTTAAAATTAATATTTAGCAAATTTTTGATGTTGCTTAATCAGAATAATAAATACATAATTTATCTCTATCTTCCTATTCTGTAATTGAGATGATCAATGAGTTCAATTAAGTCATTGAAAAGAGCACTTAGAAGTCAATGCAAAAGTAATACTAAAAGGAATTCTAATTGCCTTGAGTCAAAACAACTACGACTTTGAGTATTCTGAATAGGAAATAGAAACTAATGATTTCAATTAATTTAAACAATTTTATGATTACTTAATTGAGGCAGTATCTCTTAAAATGGAGGAATTCTTAAGATGGATTTATGAAATTCTCTTTCAGATTAACGATTGAATTTATAATATTAAATTATCTGTAGAGATGGACTCGCATGAATTCAAAGAGAATTATTATGATGCAAATGTTATGAAAAGAAGAAGAGTGTAGGATAAAGTAATGGTGGCTCCAATCTTGGAAGTCTTTATGGATATTTGTAAAAAGCTGGATTATGTAATCAAAATTAATTTAAAAAGAGACATCAAAGGAATATTTGTAGATGGTGATACCAATTAATGAATCAAGAGAGGGTCTTTAAAATACTGATTAAATTATCATATTGAATTATTTAAAATAGATAGCTATTTATTTGATAAAATCGAAATTAGAATTAGAGGATAAATTGTGTTCTCTTGGAGATGTCAAATAGTTTGAAATTGAGTTATAGACGATGGAAGCAGATATAAGATAACATATAAGAGTGCAATAATAACTTTAAATTTTGCTAGAATAAGCATAATAAAAGCTAGATGAATTTGAATCTGAAAAACTTAAAACTGAATAGTTTATAACTGATTTAAAAAAAAGTCTTGACAATAAGGAAAGGGAATTGATGACAATTAAGAACGAACTCTATGACACCAAACAAAAGGGAAATCAAAAGGCTCCTTTTTAGCCAACGAAAACAGAGCCCATTCAATCTTCTATGGACCACTTAGATAATTTATAACTATTCACTTTAGTAGAGAATTCTCCGAACAAAAATAATTTCAATCAAGTACAAGCAGCCATTCGCAAAGGTAGGAATCAGCAGTTAAGCAAAGAACCACAAAAACCTAAGGGGGATAACACTCCTTAATTGAGTAAGTGTTGTTCCATAATGAAAGAATCATAAAATCAAGATTCCCCAGAGAGAATATCACGGAAATATTCACAACCTAATTATATGGAGATCAATGCTCTGAGATAGTTAATCAAAAAACCTTGGTATACCTATTGATTGATTTTTAAAGTCCTTTGAATTAAAGAAATGAACCTTAGACGTTTAGAAGCATAAGTTAAGAGACTTCGCATATACCTAAAAAATGCTGATTTATAAAAGATTTATTATATTATTAATATTTACAAAAATGAATTCTACAAAGTCTGAAATACTTTTTGCCGGATTCAATCAAGATTCAAGTAAACATTCAAAAATGACATATAGGCATGTTTTGTGTTGGTACTGACACTGGATTTCGAGTGTGCAATGCATTAAACTCAACAGAGAAATTTTAAAGAGATTTGAAAGGTGGTATTGGTCATGTAGAAATGCTATACAGAAGCAATATTTTGGCGTTGGTTGGAGGTGGTTTATAGCCTAAGTATCCCGATAATAAAGTGATCATATGGGATGATCGTAAAAATGCAATATTTCTATTTAGATCTTGTAAAATGCATAGGTGAAATGAGTTTCAGGACCAAGATAAAGAATGTTAAATTAAAAAATGATAGAGTGGTTGTTGTTCTTGAGAAAAAGATATTTGTTTACAATTTCACAGACTTGAAACTACTTGACTAAATTGAAACATGTCCAAATCCAAGAGGTATATTGATAAATATAGAATAAGGAATTTGCACCATTAATACAGAGGGTGATCATACTATCTTGGCAACATTAGAGAAATCAGTTGGCAAGGTTTTTGTAAACAATTATGACGCTAACAAAGCTTATTGTATAGAGGCTCATGTTTCTCCAATTTCATATCTTCAATTAAATTCCACAGGCACCAAATTGGCCACTTCTAGTGAAAAGGGCACTGTGATTCGTATTTATGATACAAATACTGGGTATGTGAATATTTTGAATGATAGGTAAATATCACAAGAACTTCGAAGAGGCAATGATTATGCCACAATAACAAGTTTAGCCTTTGATTTTAGATCATAATGGTTGGGTTGTGCATCTGACCAAGGCACCATTCACATCTTTGCAGTCAATTAAGATGGCTTATAATAAGAATAATAAAATTAAAATCAGGGTTCTCACAATCCGAAGAGTAAATTCGAATTTCTAAAGGGTTTTATTCCAATTTTGGGATCTGAATGGAGTTTTGCCTAATTTAGAGTGCTTGATACTAAGTGCAAAGTGTCATTTGTACCTGATGAACATCAATTGATAGTAATTTCATATGAGGGGAAGTACTACAAGGCTTAGTTTGATCCTTAAAAAGGTGGAGAATGCATAAAAGTGGAAGAGAAATACTTGATTAGTGACAAAGTTTGATTTAATATGTTAAATAACTCATAAACAAATTAAATTCTTATATCAAAAATATTTGTAGCTTAATGTCATCAAGATTACGAATAAGCTACAGCTCTTTTAGAATAGTTAACAGGAAATTTAGTTGAGAGTTTGAATATGTTCAATAAACATCCAAAAATACACAAAATACTATAAGACAACTTCGAAATATTCCCTGAAAATTATTTAGTTTAACCACAATAAATGGATGAAGGGATTGAATAGTACCATAAATATTTAGAGTAAATTTGCAATTAGACAAGTAAGGAAGGTAAATGTTTGATTAATGTAATAGAGAAGAAAACCAAGAACAAGAATCCTTGGACTGAAGAAGAACGGAGATTATTTAAATAAGCAATAAAAGAAGGATCATCAAAAGATTGGAAAGCTATGGCAGCAATCATAAAAACACGATCCCCTCCGTAAGTTCGTTCTTATTACTAAAAGTATATGAAAAAGAAAAGATAAAAATTAAAGACAGAAAACAAAAATGAATGAATAAATATCTATATATGTATCAATAGAATATATATATAATTAAATAGAAGACAAAGGCAATTGAGTAGCAAGAATGACAGCCTTCATTATCCCATTTGCATTCTGAGTTTTCTATAACATAGCTAAAACTGAGACATTATGTTGCATATGTAGCTTTATTACAAGTTTATTGATGACAAGAATTGAGATTTTGACTCCAAAAACATCGTGGATGATTTTAGCATTCCAATTTGATTCCAAAATCATTGCAATTAAACACAACGCATCCTAAATGAGAAGGATAGCATTGTTATTAACTTAATTTATTAAAACTTGGACATTCATTTATAGTATAGTCGCTACAAACCATGGTCTTACATTAGTTATCTTCCCACTTACAGAATTATTTATTGCATGAATTCATGAATGTAATATCTTCGCAACTCTCCAAAGCAATGCAAGTATCTCCATTTTCTCCATTTAAAACACACTCACTTGTTTACGTTCCGATAACTTAAATAGCTCCAACGCAATATTCCACACTATAATCATCGCACAATCTCTAATCAGCATCAGATACACAAATTTTTGATTAATAATCCCACCGGCAATCTATTTCCTAACAATTTTCTTCGTTAGAATCAACCTTATCATTTTCCTGTAGCTCCTCACACCCTTTCAATTCCTTACAAAATCCTATTGTAATGTCCCAATAACATCGTAATTTTCCAGCAAAATATGAGCAATCCTCACTTGTTCTTTCAAGGCAATTTATTTCTTCACAAATGCCAGATTTTTGTTCAAAATAGCATCCTCGGGCATCTCTACATAAGTCCTCAAAATATATCTCGTTGCATGAACATTTCTTTGCCATGGAAATATACAAAAAAGAGAGCATGCATATTAATATTGCAATCATTTTTTATTTTTTAATCAACATACAATTAAATACAACTAGTCAACTTTGTACTTATTCTCATGATATATTCAATGCGAAATTACACTCTAAATGAGACATCCTATTTAATACATTTAATCCTATGCAAATCTAATAAACATACTCTTAAATACATGAAAAAAATTATAATAAGTTTAAAAATTATCATATCTTAATAATAAAACATGATTAATATTCGAGGAATCATTTTTAATAGTTATTTGTAAGATATGCAAAGATTATTAAATTAAATTGATAAATCTACAAATAAATTTAAAAAATGGTAAGCATCTTTGACTTTATTTCTTCTTCAATCATAATTGCAACTATTAATAATTCAAGAAAAAAAAATAATTCAAATCATCTGGTTAAAATTTGGACGAGAATATAAGATTATACTACATAAATCGTCACTAAGTAAAAAAGTTATTCAAATTGCTATATTTTTAGTTTCTATTATTATATATCATAATTGAGACATGATCATTCCATGTTTTTGGATCAATGCTTTTTTAATAAGTGAGATTTTAACTCAAAAGTGAATGTTAAATCTGTCTCTAATCATTCATCTATTTCTATAATTAATTAATAATATTATAATACTCTCTTACAATATCTCATAAAAAATAAATGAGAACCAATAGTAAAATTAAAAGAAATATTAGGTTAGACATATCGTTTATTTATATTTAATTAAATACATAGGCTTTAAATTAATAAATTTTATCTGTGATACAAAGAAAAAAAGTCCAATAATAACCAAAGGATTAATAATTCAAGAAGCATTAAACGCAATTTGCCATTCAAAGATTTTTTCTCAAACAGAATGAGAATTGAGGACAAATAATTAAAGAATCCTGAATATAGATTTGATAGATTTAATTTTTAAATATTTTGAGGGTAAGCAATTAATATTTATGATAATAAATTTTATTTCCCAATGAATTTTTAGTAAAGATTGTAAATTAAATTTAAAATTTATCAATTATCTGTTTAATCGTTTGTTAATTTTTGTATTTATTAAAAATTAATCAATCCCTTTAGAATTTACCTTCAAACCATTCACCAATTTTCTCTTGATCCAACTATTTTAATGTACCAGCTCCATGCATATTTCCTTCTTTCCAATATCCCTTATAGTATGATCCATCCTGAAATTACATTTCCCCATATCCATCTTTTCTACCATTTTTATAGTTGCCTAAAACTAAATTATAGTCCTACCTACATATTTCTTGCCATCCGGCCAATTGAACTCTCCTTTTCCGTTCATCTTTCCTTATAGCCAACTGCCCTTATATTTACGACCATCAACCCACACATATAAACCTTCACCTTAGATCTAATTGTCCACAAATTCTCCTTCATAATAAGACCCATCAGAAAAGGTATATTTCCCTCTACCTTCTTTTTTTCCTTTGACAAATTCCCCATCATACCATGCTCCATCTGGCCAAACTTCTTTGCCTCTTCCATTTTATAAGTCTTGTCTCCATTCCCCTTAATAATATGCTCCATCATTATGATAGAATATTCCTTCCCCTTCTGCCTAATCCTATTGCCAATATCCTTCATACATATCTCCATTTTGATGTATCATTCTTCCATGTCCATTAGTTTTATCATTTTTCCATTCTCCTACATAAATGCTACCTGATGGCCAATACTATATGCCATAACCACTTCTTTAGCCTGTTTTCCATCCTCCAACATAAATTATATTAGATTCATTAAATTGCTTAAAATAAGTCATCTAAATTACATAAGGTGGATAAGTTGTGATTCTATAATTATCTGAAGGACTTTGCTTTGGTCTATATTTACCGAATTTTGATATTGTATGTCGAACGAATTCATTTTCAATTTAAGGTTTTCTTTTGTAAGGAATGGCATCGCTTGAAAAAATGAGATCTGTATCTTCTTGCTGTGTTGAGGGATCCAAAAAGGTTATATTTGCCATATTTTCTGGTTGAGTATCTTCAGGAGTGATCAGGATTGTATTCGACTAAGCTTTTCAATTTAACGTACGTGTTTATATGTTAAAGGGTACATTAGTACTGGGGGGTCAACGAAAAAGGGTTCTGTCACGGGCTTTGAACAACAACCTTATCCCATTAATAAATTTAGTATTTAAAATAATATGTAAAATCCATTAAATTAAGAGGTATCACTTTCACATAAACCTATAGCAATTTATATTGATAGAGAAGATCAATGGAGAATTATGCATAGGAACTTAATAGCCAGTAATTCAAAATGTAATCCAATTTTTATAATAGAGATTATAGTGTCCTGTTATTAATGTTAGAAAAAAAATTAATGTTCAGCCAGAGCCTAATTTATGAAATGTGACTATTGTAGTTAAGTAAATAAAGTTTTTGATCCAGATCCCTTAGTAAGTGATCAAATACTATTCATTTAGTTTTATGTCGATGTTTTTTGTTAGAATTGTTCCAAAAGAATTAAAATACCAAAAAATGGAAGTGTTTATAAATGTCCATTCTGTTTTGTTCTCAACAGAAAAACGAATAGATGAAATAACAAAATATTCATTTCTTATTATTTTATTTCTAAGATTAATTTTTAATCTCTGCAATAGCCTAATTGTCCAAGCTTTTAAATAATTATATAAATCATATTATGATAATAATACAAAAAGTAGTATAATAAATTGTATTATCATTATATTTAAGATTGTTAAATAGAATATGTAACTGAGATCATTGAGTGATTAATTGGGATTAAATATATTACTTAATTATCAAATATCTACTTGGTAGATAATAGAAAAAATAAAAATCATATTAGTTTCTTATTACTTACATAATCAATAAAATCTTCATAATCTGAAGGATAAGTAATTTCAATTTATTGATTTTTTATAGAATTTTTCAACTTTATTTATTAAGGACTCACCAAGGTCTCTTTGACTCTAAATGATTCGTTGAATTTTTTATCCATGGTCTATTTATTTTATTACCTGATTTATAATGAAGCCTTTGGTTTTAATTATTTTAATCTTGGAGTGATATTAACCTACTTGAAAACTAAAAGTTGAGAGCTTTCTAAGAAGGATGGAGATTTGCTTGTAGGTGTAACAGGTAAAGTTGTCATGTGTCTTGGGGTTAAGAATTCTAATTTCTGATTTTAACTTTATGATGCTTTTTTTTATTTCTAACTCCTTCCTGGCCCTACCATATTAAAGTAATGGTATCTATCTGAAAGCTCGACTAAGTGCATTCCGATAATCATTTTCTTTCTTTTTTGTATTTCACAATATGCGACTGTCGGTTTAAACATAAAATAAATACATAATATTTATTTATATAAAATATTTTATGCATGCTAATAATATCGGAACAATGAAAATTAGTAAAGTATCACTGACCCTTTAAGATTAATTCTAATGATCCTCATATCTTAAATTCAGTTTAAGATAATTAAAATATCAACTAGTTGAGAGATTTTTCTTATTCTTTATTTTGATTAAAATTTATAATTTATTAATTTTTCATTTTCCCTAGGCAAGTTTAATAAACAGATTTGAATTCAATTCAATTAAATGTTCATTATCTACATTCAACTTGAAATCTGAAGATTTTTATTAAAATAAATTTTTTGATTAATCATTAAATACCTTAACTGCTAAAATTCCTATAGTTAGCTACTTAAAATATAGATTTTTGATATATTAAACATCAAAACAAACTGGATGTCTTCATAAACTGTTATAATTTATTAGAGAATGATGTAAATCAAATAATATCTAAATTTCACAATTTTGAAGAGGCAACTCTTCCTTCTCATAATTAAAATTCTATTTTTCATCCTTATTTATTTGATTAAACATTCTTATTACAAAAGCTATAGTAATCAGAGGACTAACAGAAGAACAGAAGACACTGTTATTATTTATAACATTGACTTTGATCCTAATTAGATCAATAAGTTATCGACGGAATACATAGATTTGGATGGAAAAAGAATATCATGCTTTATAGATTTATTTCTTAATCAATAATGGAAGATAAGATTATAGAGAGAGACGCTTATGAATATAAAAATATTTAGAATAATCTTAATTGGTTCTTTAAAACTCAAATGTTTATTCTATTTTAAAATATCCAAGTTGAATCTTTAGAATCCTTTTACAATTTATTTTATAGTATAAATGTGCAATTATAGTTTTAAAATAATTATTATTAATATTCTAGATAATTCTTATTAATTCAAATTAATTCTAATATAAAGAAAGTGATCAAATATATTATATGTGTATATATGAATAAATAAATAATTTAAGTAATTGTAGATCTGTTTTATTCAAAGGAATAGTGTTGTGGGTTGAATGAACACGAACTTAAAATATTATGATAATTTTCTAAATTAACATGTTTACTTAAATAAATGAATATAATTTAACTTTTAATTTTAACAACTCAATCCAGCTTTCAGAAGAAACCTATCAATAAAATAGGTAATAATGTATTTCTCAATAATATTTATATTTTATAATTAAATAATAGATGCACTTGAATATTCAAGGCTCTAGAAAACCCAGTTAGATTAGTAGCCCAACCTCAATCAAGAAGCCAACGATATCTTAACTTCTCATAAACTTTAGATCACCTATTACTGTTCCTAATAGTTCATAGGTTTCACCTCAGAATTCTGAACAAAATCTTCAAAAAGCATTGCATTCTCATAAGGGATCTTAGATTGATGTTACAAATTTAACAAAATTGATTAGACATAGCAAATCGCCAAATTTAGAAATAAATGATATACAAAACAATGAAAATTAAAGCTAATAATAATTATAAGCATTATTGGCAAAAGCAAGAGAAATTACTTAGAATAAATCAAAACCACCAATAATTAAGCAATAAGTTCAATCAATTTAAACACAATCGATTAATCAATTAAAAGAACTATTCAATGATAATTTGTATTGCAGAAATACATTTCACTTTCAATTTGTAGTTGGGATTGGTGGATTTGGTAAAGTATGGAAGGTAGAGCATAAGAAAACAGGACAGATATATGCCATGAAGGAAATGTCAAAAGCATTGTAAAAATAGTATTTTTACACTAGAATTATAACAAAAAAAAGTGTTAATTCAGTAATGAATGAGAGAATACTTTTGAGTGAACTGAAACATCCTTTTCTAGTTAACATGAATTATGCTTATTAAGACAAAGAAACACTGTATTTAATTATGGATTATATGTCTGGAGGTGATTTGAGGTATCACATAGGAAGAATGAGAAGATTCAACGAAGAGTAGACTAGTAACATCAAAACTATTATATTGAGGGTTTTTTGTGGCTTGCATATTCTTAAGTCTTGAATACGTTCACGAAAATAACATTATTCACAGAGATATCAAACCAGAAAATTTAGTTTTAGATAGTAAAGGATATGTGCATTTGACTGATTTTGGGATAGCCAGAGTTATGAAACCAGAAAATTCAAGTGATACAAGTGGAACACCAGGATACATGGGTAAATACTTATACAAGTTGTAGCTCCTGAAGTAATGTATAGATAAAATCATACATATGCTGTGGATTATTATGCGTTGGGAGTCATTGCTTATGAATTTATGTTAGGAAGAGTATATATTATTATTAACCCTTAGAGACCATATGTTGGAAGGTCAAGATAGGAGATTAGAGACTAGATTATGGCAAAATAGGTTTAAATTAGGAAATCAGATATACCAGAAAATTGGTCCATAGAGGCTGCTGACTTTATTAATAGAGTAATAGTTATATCAAATCGATTAGCTTCTATAAAGGAAACCTCAATAGAGATTAGGTTTTAATGGTAGTTAGGAAATCAAATAGCATCCTTGGTTCTAGAAATTTCCTTGGCAGAAATTATAAAATTTTGAGTTGAATCCTCCCTTCCAACCAAATGTATTGATGTATTAATCAAATAGAAAACTGAAGATAATTTTGATTAAAAATAAATAATTTTGGAAGATTAGGAGAACAATGAATTGATCCAATAGAATCTTCTGGTTTTAAAAGACCCTTCTTCTTCAGGTATTAAGAGTTAAATCATTAAGACTTATTTTAGGGTTATGAGTTTAATGCCAATCAGAGTGTAAATAAAGTTTCATCAACCACTGATCAATCTTCGAGTTCGTCTTCTAAACATAGTAGAAATTTCAGTTCGAACATAGAAAAACCACGATTTTTTGAACAAGCTCATAAATGATTTACATAATCCTATTCATTATAGTATATTAATGCTATTTATAAATTATATAATTTAATTATAATCATTTATTAATTGGATTATAACAGTTTTAGAATTTTCCAAGAAAAAATTATTAATCCAATTTCCCTATTGAAACTATTAATAATAAATTTTTGAATGAAATTTTCTAGAAAAATAGGAGAAGATCAAAAGGTCAACTCAAAAACAAGAAAAATTATGAAATGCCCCAAAAATACTAAAGAAGAATAAAAAAAGAAATTATTGAAATTAGTGCTACTTCTAACAGACTTACAAAAAGATCTTCAGAGCTTAGAAAGACATTGTCCTTCAGAGTTTCAAAAAATACCTTAGTAGAACCCAAAATCGAAGGAAAAAGACTCTAAATTTTAAAGTAAATCTAAATCAACTCCCACAAAAAGTCTAAAATGATAGTTAATTTGAATTTGGATTATACAAATCATAATATATTTTAATTGACATATCCTTAAATCCCTCTCGGTAGAATATGGGATAATATTTAATGACTTTTAAGTAAGGAATTTCTTCTTTTTTCCTTCTATTCAAAAATAGTTGTTACTTAGAAGGTTCTTTAATGGAATATTAGCATATATATTATATGGACATAATTTAAATTTTTCTTCCTTAATGAGAATAACTTATTTTTTCTGGGAAGATATCCTTGCTAATTGAATTTTTGATTCTAGAATTTTATATTTAATTCAGAGTTTAGGCTCGAACAAAGATGTTATTCAATTCACACAACTCTCTAAGCTTCTTATTAGTCCTTTACCTATAAATTAATGTTTAGAATTCATTTTGATCCCAAGTCAAAACACTGAAAAAAGCAAATATTTAAAAAAAAATAGCAAATAAATAATGACTATTATTAAATTTGAGAATATATTCTTATGAAATGATGAGGGTAGAGTAGATGGCACATGTCGGTATGGTTTTTGAAATGATAGTCATCATTAATAATGAAAAGATTTTTCATGAAAGAAGCGATTTATTTGATAATGTAATTATTTCAAGATAGTTATTTTTTATTAATCCTATTAAAGAAGAAAATGTTAAATCATGAAAATTAAGAAATACCGTAAGATACATCTGAAATAACCTCAGTCTAAGAGAATTATTTAAATAAAACAATTTATCTAATTGAAATGTTCAAGGGGTTATAAGATATGATTTAGGAAATAAAATAACCAAGTACCAATGTTGAGTTAATTGATGCTATCTCACCCCTTTTTTACAACCCAGAATTAGATTAATACCAAAATCATCAAGCTTCCGAACATTTTAACATTGGTTAAAACATGAAGAACTCCCCTACTCTATAATTGAATTCAATAATTGAAACGCCATCAGGAAGATTGTATGGGTGTTATTGCCATTCAGAATAAAAAAAGTATTATCCTACTCCTTAAGCACTGGGAGGACATATACGATAGTATAAAAAAAATATGAATAAATAAAATTGAATTATTCAAAATTTATAATTTACAGAAGATTATTATTTTAAATAGTTCTTGAAACCATTTAGTATGGCTGGCATTTGCAATAGAGAATAATAATAACAGTAATTTCTGAATAAATCACTCTATGTTGTCTAATTTAAAGTGGCTTTTATGCAAAATTTTGAGGGTTCTATAGAAGTATCTAAAATATTCTTAAATTTAGGCTATTAATATTAATCCTTCAAAGCTATAATACTCTAATATACATCACTTCTACCATCTAAGTTATAGTAATAATACAATAGAAGATTCTCAATTAATACTTAAGTTCAATAGTGCAGTCCTCTGACTTTTATTATTCCACTCATAATATGCATAATATGGTGTTTTGATTTTAGATTTGTCAATTATATACACGGGTTGAAATCTTTGAAGTTATTAAAAGCTCTCTTCTTTGATTGTATTGCTTTTTGGAAGAACTCAATAATATAAAAAGATAAATTTAAATTTCATCTATTAACTTTAATTAATTTATGGGCTATATGTGTTCTAATATCAATTAGTTTGAACCCTTTTCTTTCAGATACTTAACATTGAGTTACCTTAATACAATATACAATATTGCTAGCCTTATTATTAATTTCATATTTATTTCTTCTTCTAAGAAGTATAGGCATCATTAATTAAGTTATTACATGTTTATTTCATTTAAGATACTCCTTCTTTTTACTCAATTTCTTTCCTCTATAGAAATAACACCTTTTGAATATAAAAATTAGAACTCCTATATTTTCAATTTTATTAATTCTATAGAATTTGCTTATTCTCAAATTATAATTTAGAATAACTTTTAATGATTATCTGGTTTGGGATTCCTTACTTTTCAACTCTTAGAGTTTCTGAATGAATGAATGAATGAATGGGACTACCTAAAAAATCGAAATTTTATCAATTTCTTGTATCCTATAAAATTCAAATTTTTAGCATTATTCCTCATTTATTGATCAAACTCATCTGTAGGCCTGCATTATAAATAAAATCCTTTGCTACCGCATCTCTAATTCCTGATTCCTATTTTTAAGATGGTTTATAGCAATTTAAATTATCATTTGATTAAATATCTATACGATATTTCCTGTCTTTTTCACTTTCATCAAATTTAATTATGGCTGATAATAAATCATGCTTTATCAACTTCATTTAATATTGGTTTTAATCACTCGAATAATCTAGAAATAGATCAAACATGCCTATCTAATATCTTGAATAATACATACAAATCCTTTAAGATTATATCTTAAAAATCATTGTAAACTTTATTGCATATTATATTAATATATCAGTTTATATTCAAATAAGTCATGAAATATTAATTAATACAAAAGTAATGACATTATGGCTATAATCTATCGATTGATTTGCCCTCAATAAATCACTATAATTAATTTTCCACATTTCTTTACTTTATAATAGTTTTGTATGTAATTCATTCTTTTTATGACATTCTAATATTTCTCTTATATTTCCTAATGTTAATTATTAATATGTCTTTCTATAGTCTCTAAAAATAACCTTAAAAAATTATCAAAGGAAGCAGATAATTATCCCTTACTTCAAGTAAATACATATATCCTTCTAGACTTCAATTCCAAATAACAAGTCAAATTTGAAAAATTTCAACACTCTCTAAACTATTTGTGTTGTTTATTTTTATATATCAAATCTTTTTTATTCAAATAAGTTTTTCATTTTTTCTATGTCTTCATATCTAAGAGAAAATTGATTTTTCCATTTCAATTTAACATTAGCATAAATTACTTAAAAATTAATGATAAATACAAAGCTTTCACCAAGAAAATAGGTAATTATTTAATTTAATAATTATAAATTATTAATCATTTCAATTAACATTTTAAATAACAATACTAGAAATTACTAAACTCATTCTTTTACTTTGGATTACAAATCTTGCTGTTCTTCCATTTCTATTTATTTTTTTATTAAATTTTTCAAATCTGACATCTCATTATAAATAATCTTATAATCTCCACCCTCTCTTTTAAGTTAAACTCTTTTCTTCCACAATCTGAATTTCTTTTGAATGTAAATTATAGCCACCATATCCCCACTATTGAAACTCGTTGGTTTAAATTTGCTAGTTGCATCTTTCCTTTAGAGATCACCTAATTAAATCCTTAATTTTTACTATACAGTCTTGTCCGTAGGTTCCAAACTAATATTATTAAATACTATCACATACTTTGTAACCCCATATTTAAGTGTAACAGATATCTTCGTCAGAGATAGGATGACATCATGGAATTAATAACAGAGCATATTTGACTCCTTTGATTCGTAGATAGGAATGTTCAAGACTTTGAGAAAATTCTTCTTATTGTTTACATCTAATAAATCATCTTGGGCCACTCCGAATATTATTGCGATTTCAGAAGACAACTTCCAAAAATCCTTATAATTGATTAGTCCTTTCCCTTCAGGATCATAATTCCGCCACAATGACAAGACATCATTCAATTAATATTTGCTTACTGCAGATTCTTCACTTTTGACATGCTCCTCATATGCTCCGAGCACAGAGGCAATCAGCAAATTCAAGATCATCAATGAAAATATCAAATGGAATGAGACGAAATATAAATAGGCATAAGGAGTGCCACATCCATTGAATCCATACTTTTAGTAATCATCATAGGTTGACATATAATTACAGGCAAAATTAGGCTATTATTCGTGCAGAGTATCAACCATAATGAACCACCAACTTTCTGAGCTAGCAACCTTAATCAGGGAGAACATTGCAGTTGAGAATTTGCGAAAATGTTGATCCCATCCATTTAGATTTGACTGAGTTCTTATGAATGCAAACATATCTATTCCGAGTGTTGTGTAAATGAATAAAAATATGAACATGATAAAGAGCATAGACAATGAATTCGGAATTACAGAGAAAATGGATGAGAATAGCTTCTCCAAATTATTAAAACGCCTATCTATTAATATATATTTAATACTTTATTATTCTGAAATTCCTTTACAATTAAAAAGCTACGGATATGGTATTTGAAATTCTTTTAAAATGAAAATTATAGTCCTCATGATTACGAATAAACAAATTTGCTATTGCCCACCAAATTCCAATACTATCTAAAATGTTTGAATTATCCTTAAAGTATAAGCTCTTATCTTTGGCTAGGAATCTACAAACAATTTCAAAAGCAAAAATAAAAACAAAGACACTATTTATAGAATCTAATATTTGGTTGTAGTCATCACCAACACTTTAATCAGAACGTTGAAAATACATTGATAAAACTATTGTATTACAAAATATGATGATTAACCAAAATATTTTAAAATATTTTTATTTAACCAATTAAAATAGTATTTTCCTGATGCAATTTGATGGTTTTTTGGATTTCACTAATGGTTACATGTTGTAAATTTGCATTTTTATTTAGAACCATTCCCTCTGAGTTTCATCAAGTAAATGGAAGTTTTAAGCCTTCATCTTTGCTTCTTGATAAGCATTCACAATGAGACCAATAAACATGTTTAACAAGCAGAGATTTCCTAAAAAGAAGAATAACTGAAAATATAGAGCATATATCCTATTATAATTCTGTATTGGCTAATGATCTACATCAACAGCATTCCAAGCCTATTGTACTAATGGTATCCAATTTTCAGATGTGGCAGTACAGAACAGAGTCAAAATACTCTAAAAGATGGTATCAAAGGTTAATATTTAATTTACCCATGATCCCCCATAATCAAAACAATCCTCTTTCTTTATAATGAAGTCCTTATGAATACTATCATAAGCATCACAATAGTAGAAGGTCCCTTTCAACAATTTTAGAGCCAAAACTCCATATATTGCTAGCAATATTAAGCAGAAGATAGTTAATTATATCATCTAAGTAAAAGCATTTAATAAAGATGCTTAGGCATAGGCAATATTCTTAGAAAAGACTGCTCCTATTTGGATAAATTATAAAATTCTTAGGGATGTTACAAATTTGCTTAAGGGATGACTTATATCAAAGATCAAAGTTATCAAATCCACAATTGTTATCACAAATGAAAAGATATTATAAATTGACTATCTGAAGAAAGATTACTCATTCTTATATAATCCAAAAGCAATGCAATTTAATAGAATCACCAAAATGTAAAATACAGTTAAGAATATATACCCAACCTACAATATAAAAGAAATGTCTGAATTAGGATCTTCTAGTGGACTTAATAAAGCAATCCTTATACAAGTTAGCAAAATTAAGGCAAAATTAAATATTCTAAAATAGATATTCGTAACTAGGGAAGTCACTAACATTCTAAAATCAGATTCTGGAGCAAATATGAACAGTGTTTTTTCTGAATTTTCTCTCCGCACTGATTTTCTGATGTTTTGATTCATTTTTCTAGACGAAGATGGATCATTCCCTTATCCTGGAGATTTAATATTCTCATTGTCATTAGATTCGTCATCCATCTCATTAATTTCATCTTCTATATTGTGATCTTTAACGTGATCATCTGAAGCATCTTTTTTTTCTTCTGGCTTTCTTAAGCAATCAATTATGCTCTCCTTATTAGCTATATTATAAATAAATAATATATACATAGAATATTAGTTGGAGTCTACACCTTATAATCTATTAAATCACAATTAGGATTGATATTGTCTTTTTGACCTTTTAGTTCAAAGAACAAGGAAAGTTTTCCATTTTTCTTAGCATCATTTGGTTATGTTAAAATTTATGCTTATGCTTTCTATTATTAATTAGCTGCATTGATATTTTATGTAATACTATGGATTTTTGCTCTTTATCTTTTTTTCAAGATGGATACAAAAAATCCCACAGCATTCTTATAGTATTGTGTAAAATTAATAGGTTTGATTTCTTATTCTATCTTTTTAAGTTAAGTGCAAAATTCATTTAAAAATACAGCTAATAACAATCTGACAAACAGAATCTATCCTAATAAGATAAAGAAAATATGATAGAGGAGAGATACCCATATTCTCTCTCCATATAATAACATAGTTATGTGCCATTCCTCATTATAAAAGATATTAGTGGCAGCCATAAAGGAATTACCTAATCCTTCATAATTAATAGATGCTGAAATGCCATTAATTGAATCGACTGGTTGATAGGATCCATTAGATAATTGTTCAAATCTTACTTTGTATGCTAAAAACTCTTATCCGAAAAGGGAAGTAAATAATATTATTATTATGAAAAGTAAGATCATATCCTTGATTTTAAAGAGAGTCTAAATTAAACATCTTGCTAACACACTAATTGAGTAGAAAATTCTTGCGATATAGAGTAATTTGATCTAATTTTAATTAATAATTTACTAAACGAAGCATTTTGAATGCCTTTACTAAATTAATGTATCTATTTGTATTAATAATTATTGACTCATCAAAAAAAAATAAGACAACAATCAAAATAATTTAAGTCAAAATTACAAGTGAATCAAATACATCAATGATTTCTTTAAATTGTTCAGCTAATCCATTACCCCATAATGATATAAAGAATTCAAATATAAAATAGAGGATACATATGAAATCTAAAATCATAAGACTTTCATAGCTTAAAATATCATGAATAAACTTACTTTGTTTTACTTATTCCATGATGATCAGAAACAATTACTATAGCTGATACAATTATTACAAAACAATTTATATATTTAAAAGTATTTGACTTGGCTATTATGGTTGAAATGTTTAAGAACTTCTAGAAGTGTTCTGATAAGAATGTTTGTTAATCCTCCTCATCTTAATAATATAAAGATATTTAATATTTCTTTTTGGAATTTCTTTTTTTTGATTTCTATTCATTTATTTAAGCTAATCTAGTCATTATTTGTTGTTATTTCTTTTTCATTATTTCATTTTCTATTACTTCCTTCTCATTATCAATGCTTTTATTTTACTTTATTGTACTCAATACTAAAAATGATTCATAAAATGAAGCCAATAGCAAATTTGATAAAAGATATGCCCTACAATAAATGATATTATATTTACAATATGAAAATTAAAGATACGAAATAAAATGCAGTAATATAAGTGGTCATTGCTCTCCAAAACATAAATGTTGTCCCTGACCATCCTGTGACATTTAAGAATGTAAATACTACAAATAAAGAGTAAAAGAAATCATCAAAACGAATAAACCCAAAGCCAAATTATTCAATCACATTTTCTGTCATATTTCTAGGTAGATTATAATCTGCTAATGATCCGCAATATGAATTATCCGAGCATTCCCAAATGCCGCATAAGAATTTTATATCATCTACAGCTCTCCACTCCTCATTAACTGGTTCAGGAGTCTCCCTACATCTATATTCTGTAACCCCCATAAATAAATGAAGACCGATTATGCTATAGTATAGAACTACGAAAAGCAAAGGTATTAAAATTGGACCCAATCTAGAAAAACTTCCGATGAATGCATCAAATTGTTTCTTTAAAATTTTGGAATCCTATATCAAACGCAAGGTCCTAAATAATCGTATAACTCTCAGAATGTGAATCAATTGATTTTCACTTTTGATGTCTCCCAATATTGACCATGTAGCAATAAAAGTAAGGAAGTTTACAACATTCCACCAAGATTTTAAATACGCATTTTTTCCTAATACAAAACCCTTTATTATTATTGATCCAAGACATTCTAAGCCAAAAATGATGTTGCAAAATATCTCTAAGGTTATTGAAATTCTATTTCTATTGTCATCTTCTAAGTTAATTCTTGATTAATAATCATACAGGCAAACTGCTATTATATTCAAAAATGTGATTATTCGAATAACTTGAAGGAATAACTTTTCGTTAAATGATTTATATAAACTCAATCGGAAGGGGTTATCCGATTTGAAGAGAAATAAAGAGTTATCTGCAAACTAGGTAATATTAATTTTAATTTACAGGCCATTAAGCATCGTTTTACAATAGATCGTCCTCGATTAATTCTGGATTAAGGTATTACATTGGCTTTTTCATCTTAATCTCCAATAGATCTGGTTTTGCTATGATATTGTTCCAATTAAAGATCTCATTTTCAAAACTTAGAAAAGAATTCAATCTTAAAATTGTTTATTAATGGATCGCCTCATCCTATCTTGCTTTTGGAAATGTCAAAAATTCTACACCTATGGATTTTAGAGTTTTAGACATTATTTAATATAATATATAATATCTTCAATAAGTTATCAAAAACTATTGTTCTTGGAATCCATGGCAAGAGCATATGTTTTAGTGTTATTTTAATTTATATCACATTTAACAACTCTTTGTCCATTTTTTAGTTAATTCAAGTGATGTTTCAATATCTAAAACATTTTAAGTTGAATGTCACTTTTCCTTTATAAATATTTGATTTACAATTTGCAACCCATAAAATTGAATCACATTAGACTTGAGTTTCCATTTTAATAACATGTTTTCAATTCTTATCACATTTTTGGGGTAAGCGTTATGAAAAAAATTTAATTAATATTTTTTTAAGTCTTAATTCATCATAAATGATTGTTTTATTATATAATAATTTTTATATAGCTTTATTAATTATGAATAAATGAACCATAAAGTTAAAATGCATATAATTAATATTAGTTTAGACATTTTCAAATGATGTCAAACGTCAGTACCTCATTATTTTAAATTCCAGAAAAAATTATAGAATATATATTAATTTCAATTATTAATATAGTGACTCTTAAATTCATAGAGATATATCACTGCGAAACTATTAATTGTCATACAGCTTTAGAAAAATTAAAAAAAGTAGAAAATTTATCGAAAATTGTAAATTATCAATAACAAAGTGGTTTAGAAATTAAACATTACCATACCAATAATTTTTTATTTGAAATTGTCACATTTTAATGAGTATTTTGATTTGAAATTATAATGAGGTCTTATTATATTTCAAGCTAACTTTTTGTTATTTGAGAAAAAAGATGAATAAAATATTTATAATTATCAATTTAAATCATTAAAATATCCAATTTCATCATAACTATTAATCTGATAGTAATTATAATTTATATTTTTACGAACACAAACTTCACTGAAATTGAAACCTATTTGAAAAATTACATTTAGAGCATTATTTATAGTGAATAAATGAAGATGTCTAAATTAAGATGTATAAATTTATGAGATCAATTTTTGATGTTATCGTACTGATTTATGCAAATTGAATTCAAAGTCCTCCATCATTGTAAAATCTACTAGGATTAATTTGTATGGGGATATCTATGCTAAATTTATACGAATTGAAATGTTTATTTGTATATTTTTCTTATTTATTATTTTTACTTTTAATAAAAGACTATGGAAACAAGAGTAAAATCAAAAAACTGCTTTGTTATCAAAACTCAATTTACTTAATAAATATTGTCGAACCCCTCTCCAAAATAACGTAGCCAAAGATATTTTACAAAAGTACCCACAAATAGGGAATAAAAACCAAGTGTCATAAAATTACTATCACTTAATGAAATAAAATCGAACTTAGAAATGTATTTTAGAATGTTACTCATTTTATAGTCACAAAAGAAGTCGAAGTTCTGAATCTACATATGAAGGAAGTTTAAATAAAAGATGTTAATTTATATTTTTAACTTTTACTCACCAAAAACCAAAATACCAAAGACATAGACTTTGCATTAAAATGTGGAGAAAATTGATCCTTTGCGTTTAGGCCATCCTTTTTATGTTTAAAGTTGCATTAGTTGAATACAAGATAAGAAGTAGTTCACCACCAAAAATGTCAATTTGCCAATAATTAATCCATCACCATCCCTACCCAGAAAGTCCCTCTAACAGAAAAAGAAAGAAGAGTTCAAGTGTAGAAACCAAAAATAGAAATTGTAGTTTTGGTGAAAAGATTCAAACTTTGATTCTTCTCTAAAAATCGAAATTAGATGCTCAAAGAAATAGTACTTATCTAAGACAAATGAAAAACCAAGATATAAGATTAACTCGCTTGATCAGTTAAAAAGCAGCAAGCACTCACTCTCTACACATCAATTCTCTACACACAACAATCGACAATTCCAAGTAGTTACCCTCTATAAATAAAGTGGAGTATTTTGAAAGACCCCTCCTAATTTCATCCTCATAAAAAAAATTTTCTCTAAAAATAAAGAAAATACATTGAAAAAACATTACTCAATATTTAATTGTACATTATGTTATTATAATATTTCAATAGCCCAACTTCTCTAATTCTGCATTGATGCTAGTAAGTTCTTTAGCTCCAATAGCCTTTCTTCTGAGATTTTCTCTTTGAATTTTTCTCTTGTAATATGTGGCACCTCTAATAAATTAAATTTTATTTATACCTTTATTTTCTCTTCTCTTCAAGTCTGTTAACAACTGCTTATGAATTCCATCCGACTGAAGCGCATAAATCACCCAAAGTGCAGAAGGGTCTATGGTTCTTGAGTCTGATCAATTTAATGGCATCTGGAATAACCTATCTCTTTCTTGTGTCATAAGGAGGGGGGACACCTTCAAAGACCTTTAATCTTTCAAGGGCAGCTGCTCCTCTCTTTGACTTGTATTGAAGCATACCTCTAACAACCTTCCAAAAGCATCTTGATGGTGTTCTATAGTGCTTATATCCTCTTCTTGGATTGAAAGCCATTCTCTTATTCAAATATTCTTCGAAGATGACTCTGTTTCTAAAGAGAGATCCTTCAATTATTAAAATCGCTTACCTGATTGTTAAATCAACTCAGTTCTAACAACAACAATTCTTTATCCTCTTTACAATTCCTTGGCAATATATGAAGCCAATCTACCAAGTAAATGGCCTTTTCCATCAATCACTATTTCCTTCTCAAACATTTAATTTTAAATAAATTTTCAAAATGATTTTTATATGATAAAATACTTAACATTCATGAAGACAATTCTTAATGAGATATACTTAATTCTATTTCTCATAATTAATTAATATATTAAAGCAGATTCACATCTCCATATAACATTCTAAATTACTTTTTCTAATCATCACTCAATTAAATAAGTTTAGTAAATTATTCCTCCATATTTTAGTAATTTATCACACTAATCACACTTATTTTTGGTCCAAATTTTCCGCTAAATGCCCTCCCAAGTTTTGATCTAGTGCTTGCAAAGATAACCGGAATATTTTTATTGAAGCATTCTTTTAAAACCTTCAAGATTTGATGATCTGGCCCATCTGAAATGATACTCATTTTTATTTACTTTTAATAGGACACTCTTAAATGCCAATTGGTATAATTATTAATTTTGCTGATTTTTCAGGTAACGTATATTAAATACTTCTTAAACATTCTTTAATACCAGCCACAATTCTCTTTTTATTCTTTTTGGGTTCAATTACTTTCTTTTTTGCTTACATAAAACTGAGTTCATTAATAAATTGCAATGCCATATCGTCCAATTCTTTACAAGGAATTTGAGTAATCCATGGTCTAATTTTCATATTATTATATTTTTCCTTAGAATAAGGATTGATGTTGGATAACTAAGTTAGAATAGTTATCAACTATTAGTCATCATCTTTTATTTGATCTTCATCAACTGTCTCATAATCAGGATCATTAATATTGTCCCACAATTATTTTGCTTTTTGTATCTTTGATAGCTTTTTCTTTTTTATCTCTTGCTAAACAATTTAGACATTATTATTCTCATCTAAGACATAACCAAATTATTTTTTTTTTTCTCTTCTCACATATTATTTGTATTAAATTCTTAATTCCCTAATTAATTAATTGATTTTCTTCATTCCTAATAAATTGTTCCTTTTCTGCTTTTTCTCCATTAATTTTGAAAACTTCTCCATTCTTTTTCTTTACTCTAACATTCTTTATCCCTTAATACGCTCATCATATTCTGCTTTCTTAACTTCATATTCTTTTACTTGTTTATGAAATTCCTCATACTCTTTTTGAGTGTAGGTCCAGTAGCCAAGTTTTGGATCTAATTGCAATGCATATTAAAATACCTAAAACCAATTACCTAGGTTCTTCTGGAGCTTCTATGTTTTCTTATTTTACATCTTTCTTTTAGGCCTTCTATTCTGTTTTCTATTATTCAACCTTATTATCCTTCGGCAATTTCTCCATCTTTTAACCATATTTTTGTTGCTATTCTAGTTATTGTTTTTATTAATCATCCTTATTGCTTTTAATTTACATTTTTTGATTTTCATTCAATTCCTTCTTTTTTTGTTATTCATTAGATTATTTTGATTGCTTATGAGTATTCTACTTATAATTTTTCGAATCAGGACGATAATTATAGTTTTCATATTTAAATTAATCTTCTCCATAATTGTCATAGGGATAATAGCACTAGAAATTAGTATTTTGAGATGGCTAGTTAGTATTCATTTATGACTCAATTATTTCACAAGAAAATGCATTTGCATTCAAGTTTAGTTTTTTTCTTTGCTGCATAAATTATTTATTAATAAATAATGAAGGGACCTAAATATGTAGAGTAAGACATCATTAAGAGGGTTTGTTAAGCTGAGTAATTCCAATAACATAAATTTAAATTGATAAACACGAGGTCTGATCCATATTTATCAAGAAGAGTATCGCATATTATTCATGTTTTAGCATGTTTTATAAGACAATGATAAATACTAATAAATAAGAGCAAATAAATTCTATACCAAATTGTAAGTGGATTTACAAAAGGAGCAACGATTATTCAAGGAAAATGCCAAAATACTCAATCGAATAGTAGATATAGGAAATTAAAAAACTTACTCATCGCTTCCAAAAAGATCTCTGAGTAGATAAAGTTCTGCCAATTCAATTAAGTCTCTTAATTTATCTTACAGAAAGAAAGAGGCATTGAAAATAGTTGGGGAAAATGAAAAATTGATGCAGCGGTTAGAGAGAACCCCTTCCACATTTAGAAATAAAGAAACTTTTCTAAGGGATTACAAAAAGTAAACTATTCATTAAATTATAATAAGGACAGTCGAACTAAAGAACAGAATCTCAAAATTTTCATAGCAAAATCAATATAAGATGGGTAAAATTGTTCAGCGATTAACCAAAACTACAACCAATCCCAAATTTACCAAATCCAACTAAAGCAAAACCAGTGCTCCATCCTATAAAAATTCTGCCTTGTCCTAATTACGCATTGAACCTGACAGGTTTTAGCAGAAGCTATAGTTCCCCAGAATAAAATGATTAATAAAATTTATATAATTGTTTTTTAATTCCTTATCAACAGAATTATCTCTTAATAACAACTAAAATGTATTCAGCATCCAAGGGGTCAGTACTATTAATTTTCAGATCCAATGACCCATTTGAATTGTAACAACCATATATTAGAACACAACTCTTGCTTTCTGCATTGGCACCTGCACAAATAATTTCCTAATCAATCACTTCAATAACCTAAAAAGAATAATTAGGATTAGAAATACATTTATATTAATACTTTAGATCATCCTTTTGAAATCCTATTCCGATTTGATCTTGCTTTACAAAGTAACCTCTTTGACATTTTGATTTCTCTCCCAAAGTTGTTCATATTGATCTACATTAATATTTGCTGGAATATATGATCTAATTTATTGTTAAGGAATAGGCTATGCCTAAATAGGAGAAGTTTAAATCTATTATTATTAAGGTTGTTGTTATTGAGGAACTACTGGTTTTTGAGTTATAATTTATGGTTGCTACACATATACTTAAGGAAACTCAGCGATTGGTTATTAAGATGGTTTAGGGTCATCAATCTCTAATAAATTCAAAACTTAAGCTGGTGGTTTTTATTGAGATGCTTGGATTGGATTTGCATTTGCATTCATAGGTTTCTATGTAGCCATACCTGAGATTCCTTTTTTCTAGGTTGATCTAATACATAAATAATTATAATTACTAAGATTGTTGTTATGTTTAGGAAATGGGAGCAAAAATTTGATATGCTAATTTCTGCTTTTCCTTCAAATTTGGATCTTCTTTTGGAGGTAGAGGTCTGACAGGTGGAATGTATGGATTTTAAGGTAGATTATTATTTACTCCCATTTGTCCACTGCCCATAGCTTGCATTGTTGTTTTCGATATTGTTTAACCAATTGTATTACTTCCGATTCCTGTTGTTGATCCTATAGCAATTGGAATTGCATTCACAGGTTTTGGAACTGGTGGTTACTTTTAGGTGTAACCTGAGTCATCCCAAGGTCCTGCTATAATTGGAGCTGAAGGATTCTAATTTGTTGTTTTATTTTCTTCAGCTCCAGCTCCGAAAGTACTAGTTTTGGCACCTCCATAAGGTCCAAAGTTAAGAGTAGGTGCTTCTGCTGCTGAACCTAAAGCAGCTGCTTTAACTTATAATGATGGATTATATCGTTGAGCTCCTCGCTTTCTTTCTTATTCGACGTATGCATCTAAGAATGACATTTTTGGATCCACAGTGGTATCTTTGGAAGATTTGAGGGCTGCATTAAATTTTGCAAGGGTATAAAAGTCTACAGCTCTTTATTAACAATCTAAATTTTTTGATTGCATATATTTTTAAAAGATAGCTCTGGTTTAATCAAACATTTAAAATGATCTTGCTGATTGTAATTTAGCCAAACATGTTAATATCCATGATTTGGTTGTTTCTGATTCTAATTGTGAATCTAATTTAGCGATTACTAATTGGGTTAATTCATTCAATTTATTTGGATCTTAATCATAGATTTATGATCCAATTTCACCAATAACCCAACAGACAATTTTCAAAATATTGTCTTACAGATCATTTTTTAATAGATCAGAATAAATTTCAGTAATGAACACACCAAATTCAGTTCCAATATCATTAAAATTATCTATTAATAATTTAAAGAAATTGTTTCTGACATCATTATCAATGAATTCAGATCCGAATTCAAATAATGTGTTAGCAGTCTTAATGAACCATTCCTGAGTAGGTGCATGTTTTTCATTTAATAAAGATATTTTAACAAACAAATCCTTTTTGAAATTAGTATCTGAACTTGTTTTGAGAAAATGAATCAATTTTTAGATAATGACTTCACAATTTTGTTCATTTGTCATTTTAAATAGTAACTCTAAGGTTTCTTTCTTTAATGTATCATCATTAGATTCCAGACAATCTACAATTGTCATTTGATGTTCTAATACATACTTCTATGAAATAGAAACGATTTAAGTTAAGGCATTAATTCCGAAATATTTAAGATTATTATCCTCAGATTTCAAAAATCTAGATACAGAATTAGCTGCTTATTCAAGTAGACCTTGTTTAGGATAAATACCACTAATGCATTTAACACATTGATAAGTCACAGCATAACCTATATTGATAGCTGTGTCATCAGCTCTCCTTAAAGTTGATCCCAATACTTCATAAATCTACTCGCTCACTTTCAAATCATTGGCTCCCAAAAGAGTAAGGATCTGAAGTAACTTAATTTATAACCAAGGAGCAGGAAATCTATGATAATCATAATCCTAGATTTTAATAAATCAAAATCTACCTTATGTAGTTTATGTTCTATAATTTATTTGAGCACTGAAACAAAAGTACCTGTCAATGGTTTGTACTTGTAAACAGCTCCTCTCTTTAATTCTTCATGATAGAGATTGAAAGCTGCTCCCATAACACTTGGTTCTTTGTCTTGGATTCCTCTTCTGATTCTATCATCATAATCTTATTCTGTAATGCAATCTTGGTTCAACTATCTGATAATCTACATCACCATCAATGCCTATGATTGATATCATTGACATACTTTCTTCCTCACAACATCAGTATTATGAGTCAATAATTTTAATACAGGTTCTGTCAACGCATTCACAAAAGTCTTACTTATCAATTTTCCAACTGCAGTAAGAGCATTGACTACAACATGAACATCGGTTGATGTCAGATCTTTTTGGAGTGTGGCCACCAACAATATAAGTAGCTCACTATCATTATCCAAAAATAAGGAACAACACAAATAGCCCAATCGCTTAAGTGCCAAATTCTTGGACTGTGTGAGATGAATTGCATAGATGTGTAAAAAAGATGCATCGTGACTTTATAGTTCACTTTTATATCATACCCCAACATTTCAATGTAGATTGCTCCAATAAGCATTTCCTTCACTTTTTTAGGTGGCAAGTTCTTCTCATTTAGTTTCGTCTTTAATTATTGAACCTCTTTAATGATGATCTTGTCTTCTTCCTATTTGCTACGAGTCTCTCCTATTTACTTGACCAGATCATGTAATTCTTTGCTTAAATGTGATCCCGATGACATCCTATAAATTAATAAAATTAAATTTTTAAATTCTCAATTGCTTCCCAATTTACTAATTGTAGTTGTTCTATATAATATACATTTTTGGGTTAATTCTTATTAAATTTATTTAAAATCGACAGATTTAATCAGTCTTAAAATGGAGAAAGTATTTTCTTATGAAAAAGAATGTAAAAATAAAGAAGATCCATTATAATATACTGATTTTGATATTATCTCATTTTAAGGCAGCCAAATATTCGCTATGTTCTTAGAATGGTGTTGATTCTAATTTGGTATGTCCCCAAAGATCTGGGGTAAGGAAATTATAGGTTTCTTTAAGGGCATGGAAGGTTGCTTTCAAGAAGTTTGATCTGGTTCTTGTACTTCCTTTGGATTGGGTGTAGCAATCTTGGATACCAGCCATTTACAAGACTTTCTTGGATGTGATGGCTGCAACTATACCAGTACCTCTGGGTGCTGGAACCAATCTAACTCTGACTGATCCTTCCTTTCCTGTCACTTTGCATGGGACTGTGTGTGGTTGGGCGATCTTGTTTCCCCAATATCCTTTTCTGACTGGAATCAAATTAAGTTTTGCATTAATGACTGCTCCTTTAATGGCTCCTTGAACTTCTTTGGCTGATTTCCATCCCAAACCAATGTGTTAGTGAGAATCTCCAACTACGACATAGGCCTTGAATCTAGTTCTTTACCCTGCGCATGTTTGCTTTTAGACTGGACCAATAGCAAGTGGCTCTTCTTTTAAGGTCTTGAGGAAGTGATCGACAATTTGATATTCTAAATTATATAAAATAATTTGATACCCTTAATTGGAATAGAGAATTAGAAAATAGTTTCAAGACTCTTAATTTTACCAGCCTTTACTAATCTTCCTAATTTGGTCAATGGGGTCCATTCTTATTCACCACCAAATCTTCTGGGTCCTCTGTTTTATCTTGGAGCTCCTCCTTCTCTTCTTTCTCTTTATCCTCTTCCTCCTCTTCCGAATCCTTTCTTCTCAGCTGGAGCAGCTTATTATTATTCTGGTGCAGGTTGTGCTTGTTGTTACTCCTATTCTGCCATTAAAATAAAAATCTTTATTTAAAAATTTGTTTTCAAAGTTGTATATAAGCACAAAAAAGTGCTTATATAATAAAATAATCATAAATGCTGTAAGAATAATTCTATGCAGAAGAACTCACATATTTTGATACAATTTGGAAGATAAATTTATTATATAATTTTTTGTTGGGAGTGTAAATGATCATTCTATTAAGCATTCTTAAACATTTAAAACCAAAAGTATTTGTAAACTAGGAAACAGAAAAATGTAGATAAAAATATCATGCACAACTTCAATTTCAATAACAACATTCACTTATAGATATGAATTAATTGGATTGCGATTAAAACAACTCATGTGTATATAAATTTGACATAGTATTATGCTTGTAATCAAATTTTGGAATTAAAAGTTTCACCCTCCCCCAAATATGTAATACCATCGACTTTGTTATTTGTCATCTAAAGATTGTTAAGCGTATCTTCTAATGTTTGAGGTGAATGATTAACAACTTTTGTTGAGTTTTTTAGGTTGCTCTTTTCAGCAAAGGTTCTAAGTGGAGATATTTGCATATGAATAACATCCCAGCTAACGGAATTAAAGAATGGATGGTTCTTTATTTCTTCATAGCCTCCTTTAACACCCAAACGCTCTTTTGGATCATTCCTTAGTAGTTTTTGGATTAAATCACGTGCACTTTGACTCATGGTCTTTGGATATGTAGGATCATTCAGTAAAATTTATTTAGTGATCATTTCTACTCTTCTTTTTGGATCATTGAATGGTGGATTACCATTAATCATCTCAAATATAAGAATGCCTTTAAATTGTATAAGTACTTGATACCGAGAGTCCAGATGTCAACTTCATAAGAATGGCCTTGTCTTGTAATGATTTCTGGGGCTAAATACTCAGGAGTGCCAGCTAATAGGTAGGATTTTTCATTATCTTTTCTTAAGGTTGCTAATCCGAAATCTGTTAATTTAACATGTCCTGTTTCAGTCAGCAATATATTTTCTGGTTTTAAATCTCTATATATCACCTTAAGTTTTGTATTCAAATATTCAAGGGCTAATACTACTTCTGCTGCAACAAATCTAACAACATTTTCTGGTAATCCATTCTTTTTACATTTGAGAACATTGTAAAATTGCCCTCCATTTATGCATTCCATTACAAAGAATATATACTTTGGATTTTGAAATGCAAATTTCAATTTTACTATAAAAGGATGTTTGCTTTATTTTAATACATTTCTTTCCAAAACTGTGTTAGTTTCTAAATTGCATTCTCTGATTTTCTTTATCTCAATTTATTTCATTGCATATATTTTATTAGTGTTCTTCTTTCTCACCTGATAAACCTTACCAAAAGCCCCCTAATTTAATTATTTATCATACTTGTCCCAGCATTCTTACCTTAATAAAATCATCTTTGCTGATCTGTTATTTTAATGTAAGCGGTGGGATAACTACTAAGACAGGTTGCTTAGTTGCACTGGTGGTTACCAATTTACCTACCATTACACACAACAATTACTTTTGTCTTCGCTTATTGAACTAATAAAGGATTTTTTTAGATCGTGATTAGGGCAACAATTTCCCATTACTAATATATTAATAATTCGTAAAAATTTACATCTTTATTTGATTGATCGCTATTTCCTCTTCCAGAAACACTAAACACTAAAGATTTCAAATAGTTCAACTATTTTTAATTTGAGTATCTAAGGATAAAAGAAATACCAATTAAAATGATCTATCAAATGTAATTACAATTAATTTGAATGTTTTCAATGCTTAATAGTATATATTTGATATTTCATAAATATGAACTAAACTTTTTTGGACTTATTAGAGTCTAAAGATTTCCAATATTTTTAATTAAATAATGTATTTACCAACATTTTACAAATTAGGATACGAAGCTTGGACTGCCAAGAGCAAGAGATTCTTGGGAATTATGCCAGCTGTTGGCTGTTGGGGTATGCTTTACTATTTAATTAAATTCTAGCTGTCTGGGCACTCTACCCAAATCTTTACAACACAATATACACCGATTTCATTCCCCCTCCCAAAGGTAATTGTATGTCCTAAATGAAGGTGTCTAAAGAAGAGTATAAGATGCATGAGACATTGATATATCATTATTTGAAAATTACGATCACAAAATACTTCTTAGCATTCTGACTTATCGAAAAATAAGTCAATTATTAAATATATTTCCACAGTTTTTATTCAATATATTATATATATATATATTCTAACACACTATCAACATTTCACTTATTTCTCCAAAAGACTGCATATTCGTTAACCTATTTGTATTACTTTTAAAATTACCATGCAAAGTGGCTTTCAGAGCTTAATACTCCTACTGATTCTTTATTAAGTAGTTTAAGATGGATTGCTACATAGGTTGATCGATCAAGATCAAAAATTTCTTGATCACATAATTTGCAAATTAGTGATTTGCTAATTGTACAAAGTTAGTAGCCACATATTAGAACTACTGCTAGGCTTAGTTTCTAAATAGCAACCAATTTAGAACAGTTATCAATTCAGATTTACTCAATGCCTCTAAGGCTCTTTCAACAGTATTACTAAAAAATAGAGTAGGAGTGCTCACCTTGCATATTTGTTAATGCTTAATTGATAAAACTGTTAGATTACAAGTTAGACTAGTCGAGTTTTCTCTGGAGAGGGAATCCAAAATTACAATATGTGTTGGAGGATATAGTTTCCAAATTCGGTTTAACTTAAGCCTGAATAATTAGCAATAGATTGTTTGACTAGGTTGGCAATGAAATTGGGAGGGTATTATTGGATGATTTTGTGAATGATTTTGCATCCATATATTTACTGGGCCATGTAATGAAACTAGAATAGATTGATGAGATACAGATTCTTCAACAATGGGAATGAGAAATTCCATTTTAGATTTGTCATAGGATTCAAGCAACTTGAAAATGACATAATTGCCATTGGAATCGTAAATCAAAGATCTCATATTCTAAACCAATTAAGAAAGTATAGAATTCTAGACATCCTCTTTGCCTTACGAATACTCAATCAACTTCTGCATGACTCTGCAACCAAAGGGGTTCTTGGACAAATCGTAAAAGTGAGTCTTCAACTTGTTGAACATTCTGGTTTTGAGTTTGACATCTCCACAACTATCAAAGATCTTTTGAACAACGTAGTTTCCAAAGACGTCCTTCTGTATTTAGGGACTTATTCTTTCTAACTTTTGGACTATCAATAATTGTTATTCTGGAGTCCCAGATTCGATAAGCTTCTGCAATTTTCGAGAGACGATTTAATTTCCCCAAAGTGAATCCTAATGAAAATTTAATTTAGTCATTTACTATCAAACTTGAAATGTAGATGTCAGTCTCGATATCGGGTTCGAAGTACATTTGAGGACTGGCTTCGTTTGAGTGATAGACTCCCATTCCGATAACGTTGTCACTCTGAAGATCTTTGAAATATTGTTCTTCGTTGATTGAAATCACTCTCTAAGATAGAACTTGTTTGTTTATTTCTTATATGGGCGATTCCTATAGCCAAAGTTCTTTGATGTATTTAAACTTCTGATCATTCAAAGATTGATTGGAGTGGGGAGACGATTGCCCTTCGTTGGACTTGTTTTTATTATTTCTTCGTATGAGGTCTTTCTACAAACTCAAACTCTGATGCTTCTTAAACTTCTCTTCCTGATCTATTTCATCGATGAAGTCCAGAATGCCACTATGCTGATTGGTGAGTGGATCTAATTTGGGAGAAGTATCCAAAGTTAACTGCTCGAATTCAGATTGAAGGGAAATCGTAACCGGAGAGCCAATCTCTTCTTATCTTCTTTAGAAACATTCTTACTTTGATTTAGTAGGGCTACAGGATTGAATTGCCTATTAATAATTCATATATGTAAATATATTTAAATATTATGTCGATTATATATATATACCATTCATTATTTAGCTCCTTTGGGTTGACCCTAAATTTAAAGTAAATTTCTACTTTGGTGCAAATATAAATATAATGAACATTCGGAGCGTCTTTGTCCTCATTTGTGATGGCAATCGATGTTGAAATAGTGGGCTTGTGAACTTATTTAACTACGACATTCCTGCATTATGATCATTAATTCAGCATACCAATCATACTCTGGTTTCTCAAGGTACTGAAGTCGGTGCTCAGGCAACCCATACGAAATGATAAAGAAAACTCCTTTGGGTCCCAAAACTCTATGAACTTCCTGAATCACTTTCTAAGCATTCGAGGACGACGACTCTCCACACTTATAATCAATTTGAAGTGATACCAAGATTGCATCCAAAGTTCCCTTGTCAATTGCCCCATCAAAGGCTCCCTCTTCAAAATCCATTGCCCTCGCATCCATGTGTAAATCTAATGGAAAATTACGCCTCTTACATTTGAAATTCGGTCCCTTGTCTTTGTACTTCTCCTACATTGCCTTGGTAACTACATGTGAAATGTCAATGTTTGTAATATTCTAATAACCTTCGTCAAACATCTCCTCGCTCAACCCTCACATACTCAACATTATCAATACTTGAATTGCCTGCTCCAACATTCAACAGCTTGCTCTCAGGTGTGAAACATGCTTGAACCAGATCTTTCACTCCTGCAAATCTCTGGTACCAATCAAATGGTTCTGGATCCCTAACCGTGTATTCCAATGAGCTTACCTCGTGTATCGCTCTTCCCAGTATTCTGCTTTGCCGTATTGAGACATTTGAAATAAAAAAAGAATTCGAATTAATTATTAATGTTTTCTGTGTTTCAAATTTCAAGAATAAAAATATACATTTATGAAACAGTGAGCCATCTTGTTCAAATTTTATTACTCACCCCCAAGACCTCCTTTTAATTATTTAATTATTTTTATTAAACCAAATACATGTTTCCCAATCTCTAACCAGAATAGTTTGATTTATCCTAATTTTCAGATGAATAAATCATGGACTTCATAAAAAGCAATCCCGAAGTGCATAATTCATTTTATGTCTATAGCTCAAATAAAAATACGATCAATTTCTTTTCTAATAAAAGAAAGCCAATACACAAACTAATCATCTCAAGACCAAGCCCTTGACTGACGCAGAATATTTGGTACTCAATTTTATCAATATCCTTTTTTCTCAGAAACTGAAAGACATCCAAGAATACTTAGATCAAGAAGGTGGCATGATGATTGAACCAACACCCCATTTCGTACTCAAAGCCTTCGATCAGAACGGCGAAAAAGTCTTCTTCAATGTCACCGCTCATTCCGTCGTTGATGCTCCAGAAGAAAAACAACTTATTGATTACAACAATGAGGTTGGCATTCGAGTGCCCATGAGCGTTGGGAGCATCAAAGAAGATCATGATGTAAGTAATAATGCTAAATCTAATTCAACGTAGAAGGCGATACTTGCAAAGTCATCGATCTAGTCATCAATCCAACAGTTGCCACCAATCTAATCTCAGATGACAATCTAAAAACCTTCTTTTGCCAACTTGTACAAACCTACGTAGATTAAAAGTACAAACTCAAGTTGCAGGATAGTAAGAATCAACTAATATCGTAGAATTCATCTCTCTCAAAATGAAATACAAAGGAAAAAGCATACAATTTCAAAGAGTCAAGGGAAAGAAACCCCCCAAGGTTTAGGTAATTGATGAAAAACCTAATTAATCCCCTGTGCAGAATAATGACGATGAAGATGAGACAGAACAAAGTAATTACAATTGAAATCGATATTCTAGTAAGGAAAAGGCAGAGAGAGGAGTTCGAAAAATAATCTATGTCCACTCAGCCTCCTGCTTTTGTCACCTAAGAACCTGAATGGGAATTGTACTTGATTTACCCAAATAATGAATAAGAATACGACGGGGACCTAGATTACAATGCAATTAAGCAATACAGATTTTAAATTCTCACTCCCCTTTTAATCACTGGAAAGGCTATCAAATTAAAGGTAGATGAGGAACAATTCTAAATGGTGGCAGGCAAATTCTATAAAATTTCATTGAGATTCCCTTCAAAGATTAATAAGTCTTCTGTTAAGGCTCTCTTTTTGACAGAAAAGCGTACTTTGTGGATATCTGCAGATGTATATATATTGTATATTAGGTTTAGGTTAAGAAGGAACATGAAGAAGAAGGAAATCAATAGAAGGAGGAGTAATACGTTAATGAAATTCAGAATGGTTAGCAACAGTCTAGCAGCAATTATGATTTACAAAGCAATCTAATATTTGATATTGTTTGAATAATAATTAATACAATTCCTATTAAATAGGGTTATCATTCGGTTTAAGTTAAATAACAATTGTGTTTAAAAATCTTAAGTAATTTAATATGAAATATAAACTTTAATTTGAAAATAATAATATAACTAACTGTTATGAATTATATATATATCAGAAGGCTCTTTTGACCATAATGTTATAAAAGTCTTCTCTTGAAATTTCTCGACCATTTGAAGCTGCTCTTTCTAACATTTCTGCAAGTTCTTCCGCTGTCATAGTTTCACCTAATTCTTTAGCCACCTAAAATATTGGTAATAAAACAATACTCGTTTTAAATTGTTCAAGTTGATAGCATTACTGCCATCATCATCAAATAGGTCAAAGATTTTATTGATTCCATCTCTGGTTTCTCTGTTCCCCAACTTAGAAGTGATGGCATCTAAGAACTAATCGAAATCAATTTCATTTCCCTCATTTTCTAATTCTGCAATCATATTAAAGATGGTTGGGTTTTTTTAATCAAATCCCAAACTTTACATAGCTGCCTTTAATTCTCTAGGGTCCACTTTGCCTGTTCCCTCAGTATCAAATAAATTGAAAGCTTCCTTAATCTCTTCGATTTCATCTTCAGTCAAACCAGGTCTAAAATTTAAGGTGCACTAATGTCGTACCTGTCCTATTATTTACGACTGACTTATTGTTATTTTCCAACTGGTTTTTAGGCAACAGGAGCTTGTTATTTTCTATTCATAATTGTTTTGAAATTTGAAAATTAATTATTATTAAATGAAACAATCACACTGCTTAAATTGGAGAGAAAATCATAAATAAATCAAATTAGCTAATTGTAGGTAGGAAAGATTAATTGGAATCGTGTTGTGAGTGTTCTCCAAAAACTGAGTAAAATTGAGCACGAGTTTAGAATGGAGGAATGAATTGTGAAGAGATGGATGTATGTAAATTTATAAGGATTAATAATTCGTTTTTTTATTATAATTAAATATTTATGTTGCTGATAGCAGCGTTATTACTAATAGGGACAGCTAAGCATTTTACAGTAGAACTAAAGAGCCGTCATACCTAAGAACATTTGATTGAAATAGTAAATTTATTGTAACATTCACATGCTCAATTGTTGGAGGAAAGTCATTATCAGAAGATTGGGAAGGGGAATGAAGGGGCACTGTAATTTGAGACAGTGTTGTTAGAGAAGAACATTTAGAAGAAGAATTTGAAGCATTAGAATCATCACAATAAAAAATAGGAACATCATCACAAGAAAAGCAAAGGTACAAATATGGTTGTCAATGAATCATTAATGGATGTGATACCTTTGACAGCTGAGGAAAAAGGTATATTTGAAGAATCTGGTGCATTAGCTCCAGTTGACATACACATTGAGTAATAGATGGAACATCAAAATTAGAAGTTATTGACAACCGATCGTAACTAAGATGGTTCCTATATCGCAGATGTGCCCTTGACTAATATAGCAAATACAATGTTCATAGGTGAATTATAGGTGGGAAGTGCCTAAGGAAGGAATGCTTTCGACGTGATATTCGACACAGGTTCTGCCTTGACATGTGTTGCTTCAGAATAATGTAAAGATATCGGGTGTTAAAAGAGTAAAAGATACAATAGAGCTGAAAGTTAATCATTCAATGAGATTGGCAAGTCAGTGGAAATTGTGTTTGGAAGTGGAACCCTCAAAGGATTGATCAACAGAGAGAGAATCAGAGTAGATGGCTTAGATTTGAAGGATGCATTGTTCATTGAAGTGACTTAATAAATTGGAGATGCATTCCATGAGGGGGAATTCGATGGCATTGTGGGATTAGGCTATCCTCATATGACCGGAGTACCCACTTTGTTTGATTACATGATCTAATAACATAAACTACACTCAAATGTGTTTACATTCCATTTGAATAGAGCAACTGGTAATTCAGGATCATAGCTGATCTTTGGTGGAAGTGACGATTCTCAAATCAAAGGAGAATGGGTGTATCATAATGTTCATGAATAATTCTATTGGTCAATAATGGCAGAATAGATTAAAGTTGGTAATAAGGACACTGGAATCTGTACACATTAACATAAGTGTAAGATGGTTGTTGACACTGGAACCACTTTGTTGACAGGACCAACCAAGGATGTGAGAACATTATTATCTATGATCAGAGTTGAACCAAAATGCCAAAATTATCCAACAATGCCAGATATCACATTTGTTATTGATGGACATGATTACATCCTATCACCTAAGGATTACATTCTAACTATCACATGTATTTATAATAATCATATCCAATAGAATCGGGAGTTGAAGCACCTTATCAACATTCATCAATGGATTAGATTGTTGGTTGTGCTGGAACTATCTTTCCTTTGGATCTACCACCCAAACAGTATACTTTTATATTAATTGTAGAGGTCCCTTATGGATTTTAGGTGACGTATTTATTACAAAGTACTCTGCTAAGTTCGATAGAGATAAAAACAGAGTTGGCTTGGCCTTAAATAAGAATCTTGAATGAAAATCATTAAAATAAACATATCGAATAATTCATCACTCATTTGTACTAAAGTATTATTGAAATGTCTGCAATGCTTCACTATTGTATATCAATCTGACATCCTCTTTATTAAGTTATTCGAATGCTTGATCCTCATAGCCTCGTTCATCATGTAAACTAAGAGTAGACTTCTTCGATGGCAACAGAGTTTCCATCTTATCTCTTTCAGCCTATTCTCCTTGATTATACGGGGAGATCTTATGAAATATTCTAAATATCGTATCTATGAAGATCAGGCATTCCATCATAGAATGGAATTTGATCGAAGCTTGTTCACTCTAATCATCGTACTTAGACATTTGACCCCGAGTAGATATCATTTATTCTAAGTACAATAGGAGTTGAGTGCATTGATCGATTCCTTGACCTAACAAAGTTGGAGGACCTGTTCTCTTCTATTTCTCTTTACCCAATCGAAAGAATGTAATCATTATGTCAATATTAAACTATTTGATTCTTGCCAGATATCTCTTTTTCACTGCCTTGTTTTACACATAAGACTCACTCAATGCAATCAAATATTTAATGATGAATTTCATTGTGCACACTTTCAATACACTAGGTGGTCTCTTCTGAAATTAGTCAGACAATTCAAACCAAAATTAATTAGTATACAAATCATTCTTCTTCATTTGTTGAAACATACTATGTTCTTCTGCTTAATTGAATTCAGATCTATTTATGTTACTATCTATGTAATATCTCCATCTATATTCACACAAAGCAGGTGTCATTTTGCTGTAAAAGAATATTTTATTCATCTAACTTGAAATTTAAGAAAAATCATTCTGGAAATGCTTTTACAATTTCAATAATAAATCATCCTCTTATGAATTCCACTTAACCTTATCCAATTACTGTAGTTCAATGTCCATTAATAACAAATATATTTAGTATTCTCATAGTAAATTTTAATTAATATATATATTTTAAAATCATTTTATTATTTATATCAATCACCTTACAATTAAATGAAGATTTTGGGTGTAATCTCATGTTCTACTCATTTCATTATAATATATAGAGAGGCTGAATACATTAGAGAATTCAAGCTAACACAATTAAATGTGTTCACTGTAATTCTATTCTTAGCACTATAAAAAAATAAGAATACTTAATCTATTTGTATTAAAGCACTTCTCTTATTTATCAAACTAATTGACTCATTATCTCAAAATGTTTGGTTAAATCATTGTAAGCTAGTACTCTTACCTACGAATTCATTAAAAAGAATCTTATAAAAATGGTAAAAATGAATAGTCAAATAGTTTAATGTAGAATCATGCTAATACAATCTGTGAATTCGATTTTACAACAAAATAAATAAGATTAATTAGTATCAGATGTAAAATCTAAAAATTAATCAATTTAGTCAAATTATTCGGAAATAGTTATCGCAACTATAAAGTAAATATTTAAAATTAGACCTGATATTATAAATTCTCTTAAGATCAATATTTAATCAGCTATCTTTACATATAAGTAAAGTCTATATAAATATAAATAGTTTATGAATTAATATTTTATTTAAAATCTAATGTAATGATGGATGATAAAGTTAGGGATAAAATTAATAATTCTGAAATTCAAGTTTATTATTTTTTGTTCATATTCTCAACAAAAATAATGAAATTTTCAAATACAAGAGGCAAATTTAAGATGAAATTATTTCATTTGATTTTAAATAGAATCTATTATTAAGAAGATCCATCCATCACTCTTCTAAAGAAGAGAGGAAGATATTTAAAACAAAAAAGTGTGGATCTAATGATATATTTGATATTATTAGTATAATAATTGTCATTATAAAATTCTCAATAATTGTACAGAAGTCAGAAATTCTTTGTTAAACGCAAATGATTATTCAATTACAAAATAACAATGAAGTAAATTCATGGCAACACTGAACCAAGAGTGTGAGAACAACAACGAGAAGAAGTTCACAATTATTTTATAATTAATTTGTATTCGTTGAATGCACATAAATAAATTATCTGAGCATCCAAACTCAAAAAGTGGGTCATTTGTCCACTTGTCTCCGTAAGCTTATGAGGCCTTATAAACTTTAGAGTAAATTAAAAGGAATAATATGCTTCAGCAGAATTCCTAAATCGTTAGAAGAGTTTCATCACAATATGTTCAATAGCCTCAAAACAATTACTAGAGAACATCCAATTAATTACAGGCCTCTCCAATACAGCAGAGAAAAGAGTTCTAAACCAATCAATCATTATCATTCATAAGAGGAGCTCTGTAATCAAATCGCACTAACAAAATGGAAACGGAGGGTAGTCATAAACCAAATTCATAAACCGAAAGATAGATTACTTAACAGCAAACTCTGGGAAAATCGGATGAGCCTACTCCATTCTTCAGAGACACTTTATCAAGTGATCGCAATAAATGCAACTAGACTAGCCTAAGCCAATATTTGTCTCGACATCAATTTTAATAGCAATTCAAATATATCAATGAAGAATTATAAGCATTTAAATAATAGGTCGAAAACGATGTCTTGATTGAGACTGTTATCACTAAATTTGAATCACCCAAAGACAATTCCAAAAATAGCCAGTTCTTTGTAGATCAATCTTAGAAGGAGAATTTGTCTCCCACAACCAAATTAATGATGAAAAAGTAATTGATCTTAAATCAGATCCTCTCTCTCGATAATCAGATCAAGATCATGGAAGATGAAGAAACTAAAATTGCTCTTGACCCTTAGAAATCAAGGAAGAAGTAAAATACTANAAAATCTAAAAATTAATCAATTTAGTCAAATTATTCGGAAATAGTTATCGCAACTATAAAGTAAATATTTAAAATTAGACCTGATATTATAAATTCTCTTAAGATCAATATTTAATCAGCTATCTTTACATATAAGTAAAGTCTATATAAATATAAATAGTTTATGAATTAATATTTTATTTAAAATCTAATGTAATGATGGATGATAAAGTTAGGGATAAAATTAATAATTCTGAAATTCAAGTTTATTATTTTTTGTTCATATTCTCAACAAAAATAATGAAATTTTCAAATACAAGAGGCAAATTTAAGATGAAATTATTTCATTTGATTTTAAATAGAATCTATTATTAAGAAGATCCATCCATCACTCTTCTAAAGAAGAGAGGAAGATATTTAAAACAAAAAAGTGTGGATCTAATGATATATTTGATATTATTAGTATAATAATTGTCATTATAAAATTCTCAATAATTGTACAGAAGTCAGAAATTCTTTGTTAAACGCAAATGATTATTCAATTACAAAATAACAATGAAGTAAATTCATGGCAACACTGAACCAAGAGTGTGAGAACAACAACGAGAAGAAGTTCACAATTATTTTATAATTAATTTGTATTCGTTGAATGCACATAAATAAATTATCTGAGCATCCAAACTCAAAAAGTGGGTCATTTGTCCACTTGTCTCCGTAAGCTTATGAGGCCTTATAAACTTTAGAGTAAATTAAAAGGAATAATATGCTTCAGCAGAATTCCTAAATCGTTAGAAGAGTTTCATCACAATATGTTCAATAGCCTCAAAACAATTACTAGAGAACATCCAATTAATTACAGGCCTCTCCAATACAGCAGAGAAAAGAGTTCTAAACCAATCAATCATTATCATTCATAAGAGGAGCTCTGTAATCAAATCGCACTAACAAAATGGAAACGGAGGGTAGTCATAAACCAAATTCATAAACCGAAAGATAGATTACTTAACAGCAAACTCTGGGAAAATCGGATGAGCCTACTCCATTCTTCAGAGACACTTTATCAAGTGATCGCAATAAATGCAACTAGACTAGCCTAAGCCAATATTTGTCTCGACATCAATTTTAATAGCAATTCAAATATATCAATGAAGAATTATAAGCATTTAAATAATAGGTCGAAAACGATGTCTTGATTGAGACTGTTATCACTAAATTTGAATCACCCAAAGACAATTCCAAAAATAGCCAGTTCTTTGTAGATCAATCTTAGAAGGAGAATTTGTCTCCCACAACCAAATTAATGATGAAAAAGTAATTGATCTTAAATCAGATCCTCTCTCTCGATAATCAGATCAAGATCATGGAAGATGAAGAAACTAAAATTGCTCTTGACCCTTAGAAATCAAGGAAGAAGTAAAATACTACTCATTCCCCTTCCAAGTAACAGATTGTTGAAAGTCTATATGTAAGAGCACAAAAGAAGCAATCGAATTTCTAACAACTATTTGAGGAAACTCAAATAAGCAAAGAATAAAATTAACTTAAAGAGTGCACTTTTATTCCAAAGATAAACAAGTAGAATATATCTGGAAATTTTATGGAACGCTTGGATGATTGGATCAAGAGGAAAAACAAAAAGATCACTTAGCAACAGGAACAAAGCTAGGAAAGAATCATGAGGGAGTGCACTTTTAGTCCTTTGCATAAACAATTAAATAGGGCCAATCTTAGCCAAACAGCAGTTTATTAAAGAAATCAAGAATGGTAGAATAGAATAAATATAAAGAAACAGAAGATGAAGGCCTAAAACTCATTGATATAAATGAGTGCAAAAAAGGAGTAGAGTACACCAAAAAAAATACACAAGAGATCTAGTTCATAATAATATTAGATTGATCTTGCTAAAATACTGTAATCAACAAACTCTTAAAATACTACGAAAAGGGTTAAACATTAATCTCCAATCCATACTGAAATTCAAAGTGGAATTCTTAATGCCTCAAATAAGAAAATTGAGAATGTAGATACAAAGTATTAACAACTATGTGAAATGGCAAATAGGATTAAGGCCAAATCTAAATATTGATATTTAGAACTTTTACAAATATATATTATTATCAGTAGTTTCCTTTTTATACTATTTTTCATTAATATCATAAATTAAGATTAACTTAAGCCTCTTTTCTTATATAATTACTCATATAATATACTCTAATTGCATGGAAAGAATTAGATTGTAAATATTTAATATTAATAATAATTCTGAAATTACTCACTTAAATTCAAAAGTACACATTTCACAAAAGTGGTTTAAATTTGATTGTAAGTACGTACAAACTGGACATTACATTTGATCATCCATTTTTGCTCCTGTTTCTGGTTTAAGATTGGGCATGAAGACTTGCACTTCTTCGTCGATTCTCACTCTAAAATAATTGCAAATCTATACTGTTTCTTTGCTTATTATTATGGAGCAGAGTTAGTTTAATCATTGTAATTAATGTCCATAGTTTCAATGAACATTCCCCAATCCATAGAAGGGATTGTCTTCATAATTGTAGTCAAGTAAACAGTAGTACGAGGAGGAACAACCTTGCAAATTTTAGCTGGATGTCTAACAATATTTTGGATTATAAGTACTTAAAATTGACCATAATATCTGGATCAAGGGTAATCTAATAAGTTATGTGTAAGGTTTGATTGGTAGTATTATTCAGCATGAATCTCTTCAGCATTGGAGCAATTTGAATATCTACATCGCAGTGTATCAGTTATTGTGGAGTCTCTCCGAATTAGCTAAAAGTAATAGAATCTTTACTTACACAAGAGGGATTGTATTATTAGCCTCACTCTACTTATTTGATTCAGTGATGTGTTCCAAATCCATGGAGAACTGAGATAATTGCATCATTGATTCTTATTCGGCCTTGCTTTATTCTGCAGTTTGATTCACATCAGTTCCGAAATCAATTCCATCGATAACATCCTTCTTTTTTGGAAGAGGAGGAGGTTTTGGAATGGTGAAGGACCCCTACTATTAAATAAGGTTGTGGATATTTGATGATGCGTCTATTTTCACTGTCTGCAAGTAAATGTTATCATATAATATTGTCATAGGGAAGACACTATTGGTGGTCAAAGTAGGTTTGGATTCAGCAAAATAGATAGTGGATTCATAACACTCTAGGATGACTCCCTCCACTTATACGACACTTGAAACCAGTTCTGTCTGGATTGTATTGCCTATGATGTAGATGGGTTAAATAGAATCATAGAATCCTATTTCTGTAACTTAAGAGTAGTAGTTCTTAAATTATTGCCAAAATTGGAATGTCTCTTCAACTTCCTTTTGCTTATTGAAAAAGATGGTTGTTGCTATTACAGGATACTTTTTACAATCATCTAAAAATTCATTTAGAAATCCTTCAAACCAATCTGTGTATTTGGAGTATAAATAACATGGAGGTGGTAGATTAACCAAATAAGAAAATACTTATTTGTTTGCATTAGCGGCAGCCAGAACCATCTTCATCAATTGGATAGCCACATTTTAAAATCTTTTTTAGTTCTCAAATAATAAATTCAAAATGGAAATATTATCATTTTGAGAACCTATGTGAGATTAGTAGAGTATGCTTTGATAAGATAAATTGGTTGAACAACCTGTTGCGTATTTGTCTTAAAAGTTAGGTTCTGGAAAACCAAGTAACCATTCAATACGCTCTTATTGATAAGAATCATAGATATTAAGTAGATTGTAGCCTAGCCCTAAGAATTACCCTATAATTTCATAGTTGGCTTTGTTGATTTCCTCAAGTAACACCTCAATAACAGATCTAGATAGAGGTTCATTATCGAATACCATTCTTTAGATGATCAGCTTAACTGTTTCGAAATCCTGACATTCTGTCAACGCTCTTTTATAAAAGATCTAAGCTTAGAGACAAATCATATCATTTTTTGATAGCACATAATTCTGGTCTTACAATAAGTAGTAAATGCATTAGAAGAGTTAAGAATAGTATGGGACAACCATTTTGCTTGCCATTGTTATTTTCTTCTCAGAAATGAATTCATAGAATTAAGTTTTTTGCAATCCTTAAGGAGATTACTTTTCCATAAAGAAATCCGCAAAAATTGAAACCAATTCTATTTAACTAGCAAATTTGACATTGATTGTTGATGATTTGACAAAGTCCCTCCAAAAAGTGAAATATTGAGTGAATTTAGTTGGATTTTTGGCAACATCATTTTATAGTTTCTGTAGTAGATCTAATAAGAATCTCATCACAACTTGATCGCAACTTACAGACGAATTATCTGGCTATAGTACTTAGAGTAATTCAGTGTTCAATTAAAGAGCATGGATGTAAGTCATGACATTTATGTAATGCAAGATAATTTGCTGGATTGCTAACCTAATAGTGTAATCAGGAGCACACAATAATACATTAAATACTCTCTATTGACGATCGACTATCAATTGTTTGAAAACATAAAAAGCACCTGTTGGTATAATATTAATGAGATTCATGATGATAAGCACATAACTTTTGATGGTGGAATGATCAGACGACCTAGCAATCAATTCTATTGCTATATATGTCATATTGGATAGCAATAGTTGAATCTTTTCAGTTCCCTGCAAGTCCTAATAATTATTGTAGATGCCGAAATACTAAGGAATTTATTCTGGATTTGTGATTAAGGTGTAATCCTTAGGATATGGAAAAGCCTCTCCAATTTCCTTAACAAACCTGAAGAATTCCTCACTGTAAACATGTCTCTCCAACATAAACCTGTGATTATCATGCCAAATTTCCTAATACAAAGAGTCTGGTATGTGTTGTTAAGTCATAGTCTTATAATCCATTTTATAAGTAAGTTCTTAATTGTTCTCCTCTTAAATGACACTATCGAATTTCTGCATAATCTCTTGCTTTTATTATAGATCAGTGAATTTCAATTCAACTTGCTCTTTCTGGATTCTCTCATAGACTAAGATGTACGCATTAGTACTACTGCCAGACTCTTGAAAGTCTTGACCATCTTCTGTATCTTTGCCTCCGTAACATTCATGTGGCAATCTTTTGACATCGAAATCTTCAATCACAGAATCATTGAATTTCAACCACTTCTCATCTTTGGTATTAATCAAACTATAATAGTGTCCATATAAGGCAGTTCC